TTGTTCATCCCTCCTAAAAAAATTGATGACGTCACCCTTAAATTTTGCTGAATAAATCCTATCTAAAATGCAAAAAATATGATGAGTTTGTACTTGTGATTTATCATTCCATTCATATTTTTTAGATTTTCTTAAGGGGTGGTTCAAAAAAATTAATGAAGTCAATATATTTTATTGATTAAATTAAAGGCAACACTTATTATTAGTATTACACCCCAACCAACCCAATTTGGTAGACACAAAATTTGTTAAAGGAAAAACTCGGTTGAAACATAAGAGTAGCACGCTTATTTACATCGACTTTAACATTACAGACCTGCATTTGTTTTATGCGGTCACTTGGTTCCGCGAATGCGAAATAGACATGTTTATAATCAACCAATTGTGAATTTCACCGTCAAGAATTAAAATAAAACGCAATGTTTTATATAATAAGCGGACGTCGAAGCAATAAAACCGATGGTCGTTTTGTTTACAGTTTCTCTGTTTGGCTCTTACGTATGCTGTTACGCTTGTCATCTTAAATTAAGAATGTTTATACATAAACGATTTTCAGTTGCCCCTCATATTACTAGACAGCGGATTTCTGTCGGGCTACGTCACGATTATAGGTGGGGACGCGCTGGATCGCCGGGACTCAGTAGCGGGTGATAGATAATCACTGAATTTAATCAGTACTAATTCCATAAATATAATTAACGATTTATTAATCAAACGGCTAAGTAAATGAGAACGGGAATTAACAGCAGAGTGCAACGAAACAGCGTTATTCTAATCTCAAATAAACGAAGTGCAGTCGAGCCGTACCGAGTTTGGCCTTGCCTAGCCCGACAGAAATCCGCTCTCTAGATATTACACACCGACGCCGTATACGTGAGTAAATTGTTTCGTTATTTTATTGATTATAAGAAATCAATATTCAAAACGACCCAATTCATTTTCCCGAAAATTTGGGAATACAATAATTTTATTCTTAGTATTACACTACATCTATCCCAACTGATATACGTGTCCTTGCAAAAATGTTGAAGACGTCATCACATTTTTTTTTTAAATTCCCACTACAAAAATGTAATGAGAAAAAAAACACAATAGGCATGCAGTCGTCAAGTTTCCGACAGCGAGGGAAGTACTGTCTAAACTCTTTAGACCAATTTTTATAACATACTTTAATAAAAGATCGACACAAGACGATAGACGGACGACAGAGAGAGGAAAAAGGGAGACCTAATTCTTCATACTCTAGAGGTCATGAAACGTTGAGAAAACATGAAAATAGCTATTCGTCGGATTGATCATATTACAATACTTCTTTAGCTAACGCTCGGGATGTAAAAATTTAAAAATGATTTACATTAAAAAATCACGTTTTTAAGGTAGAGGTTTAGAATTTTGCAGAGAACTTTTTTCCATCTTTCTTGATATGCAGGGTGTATTCTGTAAAGTATACTAATTTACTTCTACATATACCGGGTGTTTGGAAAATAGCGGATTAACTCTTCAGTACGTTATGTACCGAGATTTCGAGAGTCCCAAAAAAATAATAAAAAGATCTTTATGATTTAGATTACGAAAAAAACGTCATTTTATAAAAGTAAAATTGACAACACTGCATGCACGTAATGCGTGAATACCTCCGGTTTACTTTTTGATTTCTTAGTAACGATGGTGACTGAAATCCTCTTTTATTTTTTTTAAGACAATAAGCGTAACAACCAGTAATCGTTAGTTGCATTATTATTAATAAAACAGGCTGTTATTTTTCATTAATAATTAAAAAAAAACATTTAATAAGACATTTATAAATTATAAACGAAAACAAAACCAACAAAAGAAAAGCATAACTAACTAAACACTAGACACTAGAGAATTCCTGCCTTGCGTATATAAGTAAGCTCATAATGTTTCCAAATTTTGATCATTTTTTGTAAAAGTTAATCATCAGTACTTACTAAGATTAAACTGAATTTGACAAATGACATACCCTCTAATTAAAGAGAGGGTGGGTGGGCGGGGCTAGGAGCTGCCAAGATAAGACTGATTTTGGCTAATGAGATACATTCTAAGAAAAAAGAGGGTGGGTGGGTGGGGTTAGTACCTGCTAAGATAAGGCTTGTTTTGGCTAATGAGATACCTTATAAGAAAAGAGAGGGTGGGTGGGTGGGGCTAGTAGCTTCTAAGATAAAAATGATTTTGGCAAATGACATATCTTCCTTAGATCATATAATAAATAGATACCACCATGCCGTGTTCTTTCCCTAGCAGAGCCTGTGACGACATCCTCCTATCACACATCTCTCTCGTGCATGGAGGGATTACAATGAAGCTATCCTTGCCTGATCACTATTTGAATTTTGCGCGCCTAAATTTTAGGAAGTATGTCTGAACTAACTTCGTACGAAAGATATTGACAGCTTGATTTTATAAATAATTCACAGTAGATAATGAAAAGAATAGCAAATTATTGGGCAGCAATTGTGATCCTTTATGATTACATCACTTAAAATAGGATCTTTGTTCTAAATTCTAAAATTGTTTGTTGTACAACAACTCGAAAGAGAGGTTAGAAGAAACATCTGTCAAAAGCGATTTGTTGCGCTGGTGCGGTACAAGGATGGAAGTGAAATAGACATATACAGATGAAATGCATATAACAAAGATGAAGATGTGGTGAACACACAAGGATATCATTATACTACTCCTCTTGATGTAGAAAACGACAACAGATAGCTTCATGTCTAGTCACAGCTTTCAGTTTGAGTATTGGTATCTATTTATTATATGATCTAAGATATCTTCTAAGAAAAGAGAGGGTTGGTGGACAGGGCTAGTAGCTGCCAAGATAAGACTAATTTTGGCAAACGACATACCCTCTAAGAAAAGAGAGGGTGGGCGGGCGGGGCTAGTACTTGCTAAAATAAGACCGAATTTGGCAAACGACATACCCTCTAAGAAAAGAGAGGGTAGGTGGGCGGGGCTAGTTCCTACTAAGATAAGAGTGATTTTGACAAATGGGATACCCTCAAAGAAAAGAGAGGGCGGGTGGGGGGGCTAGCACCTGTTAAGACTGATGTTGGCAAATGACATATTCTCTAAGGAAATAGAGGGCGGGAGACTGGGGCTAGTACCTGTTAAAATAAGATTGATTTTATCAAATGATGTATCCTCTAATAAGAAATTTAATTAAATTATTACAAGAAAGGACACTAGACGCTCCAAAGCAATTTCAAATTCTTTCGAAACAGGAATACCTAGAACCTCAAAATTGTTTTCAATTAAAAAAAAAGGGGTTCCAAAATTAACTCAAAAACAGGTCAAGTTAGAATTTTCCAAAATTAGAATACGATTGTGTTAAATAATTAAAAAAAAAATCTCCATGGGCTCCCAAAATAATACACCATGGGTACTTAAGAGTCTCCCGAATTAAAAAAAAAACACTGCGACACCCAAGACTTTTACAAGTTAAAAAAAATGAAACACCAAAAGCTCAAAAGATTTATTCGAGTTCATCCAGCAACAAAACACTAGATTCCTTTAAATTTATCCGAAAATAAAACACCAGGGGACTTAAAATTAACTGGGAACATTTTAAACGTAGGGTTTTAAAAACTTTGACAATTTTTGATACGTCAAACATTTTTAACTGCTTACGCGATTTTGCTGATTTGTACCTTCGCTTTATATCAAACAAACATTGTTGTTAAATAGAATTTTATCAAACTATTACAAAAATTACACAACCACATCTTTGTACATTCTAACTGAAATGGTAATTAAACATGGTCAAGGGTTAGAGAACTATTAACTAAAAGTTTTATTACTAGTTATTGTGATAATGAATGTGTTGTTTAGTGGTTAAACGTAGCAAAAGAACCAATTTTAAAATCATTATAACTCCATTAAAATGTGAGAGGGATTTTTTTTACTATTTTTCCCAGACTCACCGGTAAATCGTAAATCAGCTTTACAAAGAGTACTTCTCTAACACAATTGTATAAAAGCGATAGACCCAAAGAAAATTTTGAAAGAGTATTTAATGTGTACTTCATGTTTTCCCTGTTTATCTTTCAATTTCAAATTAAATACACGAAAATTTTAATTTGTCTAATTATAAAAAAGTGTCGAATTACCGAAAAACTTACATCGACAACCATCTAAGTATCAGTTTTTGGAAAAAATAAACAGCAAACTTGAAATTATCATCGCGAAGAGTATAAAAACAAACTCCCAGTGCTCGATAGTAGCAAATTATTGTACTGACATCCAAATTACACACCCTTGCAAGTTTCAAATCGATACGATAATTAGCATCATAGGTTAAAATCGACTTCCTAGATTTTTACATAATTTAGTTGTTACAAGTGAAGCTAATATAAGCGTGATAGAAAGACAAAAACACGAAAACAAATATTTCAAATTTCAATAATAAAAGTAAAATTTGGAAAAAGGTCACTAAAATTTCAACTATTATCGATAGACTAAATTGTTATAAATATTTACAATCAGTCAAAAACAAAAACTCGTACTCACAGAACTTCCATAAATGCAGTTTACATGTAATCTGGGTTGAAATTTTGATAAAAAATTGTACACCCAACAATTTTTAAAAATTTACACTCAGAAATGAAAAACTGGCTCCAGAGACCCTTCGAAAAACCGACATTTGTTAATAATAGGAGTTATAGCCGCAGTTCTTCTAAAATGAACTGTGACTAGAAGAGCTGATTAACTGTAGGCCTTAAATCAAGAACACACTGTACAACAGGACCTACAACCTTAAAACTGTATTAAACTGATCATTTCTCTTCCATAGCCCACAAGAATATAGGACGTACTAATGCGCCACGTCGCCGAGTATATTTTTAACTGAAATAAATGTCTTCTGAAACGTCTAACCGTCTTTTTCCAGACCAACTCGCCTCCCAAGGGCCCTAAATTCCACTTCGCCACAAACAAACCACGCAAATCGAGTAAACAAATCTCATCCGTCCTTTTTCCAGGGTGACTGGGTGTATCCGTACCGTCCCGGCGATTACGCTACTCTAACACGAAAATATTTGGGCTCCCTCTATTGGTCCACGCTGACCCTGACCACCATCGGCGACCTGCCGACGCCCGAGACAAATGCCGAGTGAGTCAAACCCGCTTTTACCTTAGCGCCTCTTCCTATAAAAATTCGTCCGTGCAGGAAGACCAACTCGGTGGACGGCCCCCGGTCCCTGCCGCGCAGAGGTGTCAAGTCCCGCCTGTTGCAGTTCAACACAAACAATGGGTACGTCCCTCCACATACGTGTATGTGTGTGATGTCGGCACCCCGCGGCAGGACTGGAGGGCTGTTCACCCTCCGAGACTTTTTCTAAACACATCCAAGAGAAAAAGACCGACGCAACCATACGCTCACAGTTCTCGAACAGCCCAGTCCTGCCGCGGCCCCACGTCGTCCCCCATCGATCGTCCTTGAACGAGACGTGTTTTGTCTGTTCGAAAACTATGAGTGTCACAGTAGAAAGAAGTAGTCACTTTTAAATTAAAATCGTTCGCTTGTGGAAATAATTGCATTACAGGAGTATTGTATCCCTAGTGGAAACTGAAAATGCTGAAACAGGCCGGTCAATTAGTATTTTTAATCACGCTCTTGTTAAGTTGCTACACCTATTTGTGACGTCATCCTCTTTCGAGCTATAACGTCATCTGCATTTTTTTAAAGAATATAAATTTCTATATTATTTGTTACATTATTATATTTGTACACTCCAATTAAATTTGACAAAAGTTAGAAACACGTAAAAATGCTGATTGTTTGAGCATTTAGTACTTAATTAATAACGAATCTTCAATTATGACGTCATAGCTCGAAAGTTGTTATGAACGAGTCAAACAGCTGAAAAGCGCGTAGTTGAGAATAAAATTACCTCTTTCTGAGTTTTCCACAAATACTATTAGTTTTTCAATCAAGTATACTGAACATTTAAGCAGTTTCCACACTAAACCAAGCTGACTTTGACCCTTCTTGCCATAAACCATGTCTCTAATGCCTGATAGTATATGTAGAACGAAAGAAAAAATTTAACCTTCGCACATTGATCATCAGCAAAGAATTTTCCAGTTCTCCGAGTACCACTTTGTCGACAGAACTAGAAAGTAAAACCAATAGAGAACGCTTACCGCTCTTATACGAAACCAGTATAAAGACCTCTATCGAGCACAACGTTTTTGTCATTGAGATTTATATTTTAAATTAAAGGCAGAAATAAAGAAAGGTCAGTAAAGCAAAAAATGACCGTTGGCAAAAAGCATGCAACGAAATAGACGGATAGTACTAGGTAGTACTAAATCTAAACAAGCCTGGAAAGAAATTTGGTGGAAGTAGATAGAAGTACCTAAGAGACGTAAAACTATCAGAAAATGAACGGTGCAAATTGCAATGAGTGCAAGAACTGCTACATTGTATCATCTGGAACAAAGAAATAACAAACAGTACTTGGGAAATTAATAAAAGAAATATATCAAAAATAAAAACCCTCAAAATGAACTACTGGAGGACATATGCTGAAAAACGAGATAAATAAGAAATGACGAGACGAGGAAAAATGTGATTAACGCAAAACGGCTGAAATGGTATGGACACCTTCGCGTTGGCCGCAACGAGTGTGGAATTGGACCCCAACACTCGTTGACCCAAGCTGAAAACAACAAAAGAGGAAGCGAAGACCGTGAAAATGGTTTATTCTGTTGAACAAGACACTGTCATTGTTATGTCTTATTATCGCAAGGGGACATTAGTAAACGGGGAGTGTGTGTATTCTGTAACCGCTTGTAAGGAAGAATATCTGGCCAAATACCGTGATTTGATAATTCAAGAAACATCGTTGGAGACTCACATTCGAGATGTAATCAACAAATTTGTTCGAACTGGCCGTGTCGAAAATCTGCTGGAAGATCTTCAGTATCTGAAGAAGTTGTTGATGATTTGAGAAGATTTTCTCAGCAATTAGGAGTTCCTGTTGCAACATGAAATTGAACAATTGGTCCAAGGTATGGACGAAAGCATGTTACAGAACATTTTTGAAATTAAAAAGAGAGTGAACATGTGCCTTAAACAAAATGGTGAACATTTTCAACATTTACTGTGATGTTTAACCGAAATGAATTTGTTTCTTTTTATTGTAATGAATAAGTTTTATTATTTAATAAGAAATGAAGTATTTATTCAACCAGTTATACAGTGGTATTTGTCGTGAGTCCTTGAGCATTTAGTAAAGTCCATATAAAGTGAGAGGCGGCACGTTTTCATGACCTACTTCGATTCAATAATTATTTATAGAAACCGTGTATAATTTGCTGATGTTTGTAATATTAGTATAAAGTCTAATAAATAATGAGAAGTAATACGTTATTATTTTATTTTGGGTTAGATAGTAAAAACTCTAACTTACCTAAAATTCGCCCATGTGTTTATTTTTGAATAAATAAATTGTTGTTATTAAAGTTTTTTCTTTATTCGATGCAGCACTGAGGAGATCGCAGGGTGGCATTAAACATTTTGTACCCAACAGAGGTCTTTATACTCGGTTATTATAAGAACAATTTTGTTAAAACATTTTAAGCATTAGGTGCTCACTAATCATTTATTTTCAAATCTGGTTGTAAAGCCGGCAGAAGATTACCATAAAAATATTAACTTCTGTCAAATAATGTTTATTCCTCGTCTATTTACAAATAAACATTTGCACAAGAACGAGATGAAGATGAGCCAAGCGAAGTGGTATTCAAAGCAAAAACAGATAGAGAAGATTGAATTCTTTCAAAGAATTACATGTTTTATTAATATTTTATTCTATTTTAGAATAATAATCTTCTTTATAAGCACCAAAATGCGGGTATAAATTGGCTTTTATGGCACAAATCAGTCAAAAATTGCTAAGCAACGATTGATTATTCATTTACATTAATTAATTATTATTCAAACAAGCTTCGATATTCAACATTTTTATTAAAGTTGGGAAAATAACATTTAATGAAATCATTCCTTGGCCGACTTCAAATTCTTCTAAAATTTTCTTTTGAATAAACCTTTTCCACTTCTTCAGTTTGCATTTTGAAAATCGAATAATCACATCAAAATAATAGCCAGCTATAAATTAAAGTTCGCATCGGTACAATTCGCACAATCTTGCCGGAAATACTCAATAATATTTCGTTAAAAATATTTTAGAAACTAAAATGTTTTATGTACCACGGGCATAATTGTCGATTGTGGCCCTTGGGAAATTAAAAGTCCTCCTTCGTCAGGCTTTAAACATTCCCTCGTGCGCTAATCTCCTTAATTATGCCCTTAATACATAAATAACTATTATGTACAAAGAAAAGCGTAGTTGAGAGTATTGGGGGAAACTATGGACTAGATACAAGGAACGAAAGAGGTGACAAATTCACATAGACCATTTTTTAACACATAAAAGACCACAATTCTATTATATCGATAAAAACGTACCCCAGGACCAACATACAATCTGATCATACATTGTTGCTTGCAAAAATTAAAGTGCGCCTGAAAAACATTCGTAAATAAAAAATGTACATAATAACAGATACAAAAATTTAAATAAAATACTGTGAAAGAGAGTGTACAAGAAGAAATAAACACAAAATCTGAAAAGACTTCACAACAAGGTAAAAATAAAATTAACACAATGTGGGACGAAAATAAAAAAGCTCTTGCAACAAAGAACAATCTAAAACAATAGAAACAGATAAAATAACCCCATGGAATACGGAGTTGTTCTGGAGTTTATGGAGCAGAGACGGGACTACAGAAATAAAAACAGAAGAAAGTATAAGAAAAGAAATGAGATAAATATCTTAAAACAGAAACTCTAGAAAAAAAGCACAACATATTTAACTTATAAACAAAAATCAAGGAAACGGCGACCCCCAAATAGAAACAATAAGAAAACAAATTGAAAGTTGACCAAAAATTAAAAAACTGCGATCGCCAACACCCATACAGGAAAGGCACATTAAGAAGAAGAATAACAATTTAAACCATTTACTTTTTAGAAACAATGAAAGTATTTTTGCAACTGCAAATGTTATTTTGGTTATTCTGCAATTTTCGCAAATAAGTGGAAATTAAAAAATGAAATGAGACAACTAGACAACATTTATTTATTAAAAGTCAAAAATTTCATAATCAATATCACCCTCTTCATCATTTACGTGACATTCAGTTTGTTCTTTTTACGTAGATAAATAATGAAATAAAACTCCGAAAACGTGTCGATACTTTGTACCTGACCCTTCTTTCAATGTCACTTCCCTTGACTCACTTTCAGTTTGGTCCTATTCAGATGTTTTTCCCTAAAAAGACGGGAAATAAACATAATTTGACAGAGGTTAATATGTTCATGGTAATTCAATGGCAACCTTAAAAGGTAGACCTGCCACTTTAAATTTCCCCGACTATACTCCTAGAACTGCCCAATACTTTGCTAGCGATTGATATGTGGAGGGTATAATTTCGCCTAAGTTCGATGGTAGTAGGTATCACCTTGCTTCAATATTGTACAGGAAACGTGATGCAGATTTCTCATAAGTATGAAAGTTTGAACTAGCCATCAAGCACAGAGAATGTTGGTGAGAAGTGAGTTTTTAATGAAAGTTGTATACTCTACTTTTTCTAGTATCATCATGTTGTTGATCTAGATTTCACTTATAAGTAGGCTAATTAAATTTCGTTAATATCGCAGAAAATTTAATAAAACCGTTAAAACCGATTGCTTTGCTCATAAATGCTCATAGAGGCCGACACGAAACCTTTCTTATCGTTTTTTATTTTTTCTTGTTCTGGAACCCAAAAACGCTACAGAAATAACAGGCGTAATTAAGATATTAAAGTTATGTTTTAAATATTTGTGTAATAAAATATACCTTTGACTTTCATTTTTGATAAATTTAAACTGAAAATTACAGGAAAAAGGCGACATAAATGACAAAATTAAATTTTCCCTCCATATTTATTTTTCTTTTCTTAGATCCATGTGTAATAAAACGAGGAATACCCCAAGGATCCATCCTGAGGTGCTAATTTTTCATTATTTTTATAAACCATAACCAAGCCTTAAGGGTTTTCAATCGTTTAACTCCAAGCAGAAATCTTTTTATAAAACTCTCTTGTTTATTTAAATTTTGACATCTTAATCTACACAAAAAATTAATAATATTATACCCAAAAGTTCATTAGAATGTATGCTAAATGTATATTAATGTTTATTAGTCTTGTATATATAGGTCTATACACGGTTTCTATAAATGATTATAGGGTCAAAGTAGGTCACTTTTGGACTTTATTAAATGCCCAAGGACTCACAACAAATACCACAGGCATCTGCATAACTGGTTGCCTAAAAGCTTAATATCTTATTAAAAAAAATAAAACTAATTCATTAAACAAGTTTATTGCGGTTAAAGATCACAGTAAATGTTGAAAATATTCACAATTTTGTTCAAGGCACATGTTCTCTTTTTAATTTCAAAAATGTTGTGTAATATCCTTTTGTCAATACTTTGGATCCATTGTTCAATTTCATGTTGCAAGAGGAACAATATTTGCGGATTCTGCTCAAGTCGTCTCAAATCATCAACAACTTCTTCAGATACTGAAGGTATTCCAGGAGATTTCCCTCTCGCGACACTGTCAGTTCGAACAAATATGTTCATTACATATTCAATGTGAGCCTCTAAAGATGTTTCTTGAATTATCAGATCACGGTATTTTCCAGATATTCTTGTTTACAAACGGTTACAGAATGTCACCGTTTACGAATGTCTCATTGCGATAATACAACATAACAATTTAACTATTTTTACGGTCTTTGCGTCCTAGCACAAAAATTAAAATTTTCGTACGCAAGCAAGAGTTTTGAAAACGACTATTTAGTTGTTTTCAGCTTGGACCAACGAGAATTACCGTAATTCACACTTGAAAAACGTACAAACAATAAAAACGAGGACTTTCTACTAAATTCACTTGACATATACCTAGTAAAACTTTTATGACTTAAGTGGCTTAAACCAAATCACCCTTAGAAGTCAAAGTGGCTATTGTAAGATTGTAGATCTTTCCCTTTATGTTTCCTAGTTGCTATATTACTTTCTAATTTTACCAGTTGTTACCACATGCCAACTAATAAGTATGTATTTGTTCCGGCGCAATAAATTACTATATGCTATTGTTACTTGCTTGTAGAGGGCAGACATGTAATGAATGCTTTACTTTACGGTCGTAGAAACAATGTTTATTTTTTATTAAATGTACATTCTAATTAATTAGAATAGTTATAAGAACTTAACGTGTGTCCATTTCCATTTGCAGATACATCTTCACGATAGTGAGTTACTTGATCGGAGTATTCATTTTCGCGACCATCGTCGGTGAGTTGAGTTTCACCTTTTTCCGTCTGTCCTTACGCTTTCTCTCCGTCTTTAATTTTTTGCAGGGCAAGTCGGTAACGTGATAACAAACCGAAACGCCAACCGTCTGGAATTCGAGCGACTCCTCGACGGGGCGAAAACCTACATGCGACATCACAAGGTAAAATCGAATTGATTTCTCTTTCGGATTGAATTGACCACGACCTATAAATCAGTAATGAAGGCATTCGTCCTCTCCCGTCCAATTTAATTATACACGTTTCGCACAAATTTCCTGATCCTCTATCGATCGCGGACTAACGTCTAATCCTACGTAGGTCCCAGGTGGGATGAAACGGCGCGTATTACGATGGTACGATTATTCCTGGTCCAGAGGGAGGATCCAGGGAGGCGGCGATATCAATACCGCCCTAGGACTGCTTCCCGATAAGCTGAAAACGGAGCTCGCCCTCCACGTCAATTTGAGCGTGCTGAAAAAAGTCACGATCTTCCAAGAGTGCCAACCGGAGTTCCTTCGAGACCTCGTGCTCAAAATGAAAGCCTACATCTTTACACCAGGTGATTCGATATGTCGCAAGGGCGAAGTCGCCAGGGAGATGTTCATAATCGCCGACGGAATCCTCGAGGTGATCAGCGAACACGGAAAAGTCCTTACCACGATGAAAGCCGGCGACTTCTTCGGCGAAATCGGCATCCTCAACTTGGACGGCCTCAACAAGTGAGTTTACACGTGTGACGTCTCTTATGCTAACGGAGGCTTTTAGGCGAACGGCGGATGTTCGTTCCGTGGGTTATTCTGAACTGTTTTCCTTGTCACGCGAGGATGTTCTGGCAGCCATGAAGGATTATCCCGAAGCTCAAGAGATCCTGCAAGCTTTGGGACGAAAGCGGCTGATGGAGGTTAAGGCATCTGCCAGGATTCCGCCACACCACAAAGAGCACCATCACCACCACGGACTCCCGCATGTGCCGGACCCGAAAGGTCTGGTCGACAAAATCAAGAACGAAGCGAAAGGGTTAAGAAACGCCTTAAAAAAATCACGAACGAACCGAAAATCGGATGAATCGCTCGAGTTACAGCCTTTACATACACCCACTAACAATAATAACAAAGGTACGTTGAAGAGAATGTCCAGGGTGAAGTCGCATGATTTGAGTCAGGAAGAAAACGACAAGAAAGAAGTGGTTTCAGAGCCCGTAACTTCGCCACTAGGTGCTGGTTTACCATTACTACACAGGCTCAGGTACGTAAGATATACATACAAATTCACACAGTGCCGCAGAATATTAACTGTTAAAATCACATAATCACTTTGTTCGTTTTGGGACTTTGTGACAGGTTGTTGAAAGAGAAGCAAGAAAATGAAGAACGTGCCAAAAGCGCAACACCCCCCATACTGTCCCCTTCGTCTTCCAGTGTCAAAAGTCCCCCTCCGATTCCCGAGGATCCCGTTTCTGAGCCGATAGGAGCCGGTCTCCCGTTGCTGCAGCGAATCCTCATGCTCAAAGGAAAAGAAGGAACAATTAAAGAGGAGAAACCGAAGTTATCGAGGACCAGCTCCGTTGCCAGCAACCCTACGAGTCCCACTCCGCAGACATCCACGACGATAGCACCCAGAGGATCCATCTCTTCCAGGATTACAAACAACAAATTATCTTTTCGGTAAGTGATTTTAGTACAGGAAATTGGGGGAAGGTCTGGAACATAACGAATAAAATTCGACCACTAGAGACCTTCAGCAAAAACCTTATAGTCATTCTGTGTAACATGCTAAAAGTCTTCCAAGACTTGGAAGGCGGAAATATCTACATATATCGCAAAGAAAGGAACGCATTTTACTGTTACAAATGCTGAAGATACGCAACAAAAACCACGAAATCTTATCATGTGATCAGTTTTTAACAAAAAGAGCAATATTTAAGTATATAATAATTAGGCTTCGGATCTTAGGTTTTTTGCCTTTTTATATCTATTTCAGGCATTGCAGCGAAATTTATATATTTATCCGAATTTAAAAAATTCTGTTTATTTAATATCAGTTACTTTACGTGAAGAAAACAGAGGTTTCGAACAAATGTAATACTAAAAGAAAGAAAAAATTTTAGATGTGAACCAGGAAAGTATTGTAATAGGGTCATTTGACGAATGGCTAATTTCATCTTCTCTCGACGTTTTATAACCCTTAGAGTATGAAGAAGTGGTTCTCCCATTTCCGTCTCTCTATAGTCTGTTACCTGTCCCATCTGATCCAAAAAAAAATAATTAATGAATCAAGCCTTTTATTTTATTGATTAAATCACAAACAACTTACTTCTATGCTTATCCCAATAATATATTAATTTCTACAAAAAAGTTGATGACGTCATCACAAAATATTATTTTGAATTTAACTTATAGGAAACCCCTAGTAATTTGTTTTTAAAAGAGTTTGAAAGTAACTTGTTCGTGTCCAATGCCTATTTTTTTGCAAAATATGAAAGAATCGCCTGAACTTCTTGTGTTTTATTTTTTTAAAAACATGAAAAAGACTCGGGGACACATGGTGTTTTGTTTATAAGTGAATCTTAAGTACTCCTACAGGCTTTTTTCAAAAACAAAACAAAAGGGACCTCTTAGACTCATTCCATATTAAAAAAAATGCCAAGGGGCCCTTAAACTCTTTCAACATCTTAAAAAAAAAACGATAGAGGCCCACGAGATTTTTTTATTTTTTGAAAAATAAAAAACAGAGCTCCATTGTATTTCGTTTTTGAAAGAGTTTGAAAGAATCCAGAGAGTGCCTAGTGTCTTTTTTTGTTAAACATATGAAAGCATTTTCGAAACTCCTTTTGTTTTATTTTTGACAGAATTTGAAAAAAGTCTCATTGAACCCCTAGTGTGTTGCAACATTTTAGAGCTCCTTTGTGTTTCGTTTTTTAAAGAATATGAAATGATTTTGGAGTTCCTTGTGTGTATTTTTTAAGAATATGAAAGTATCTTCGGAGCTTCTTATGATTTAGTTTTGACATAATAAAAAAAATCTCGTGAGCCTCTGGTATTTTATTTGTAAGTATCTAATTTTTTAAATATATGTATGAAAAAATCTTAGGGGACCCTTGCGTTTTTTTTTTTTAGGAATTTGAAAAAATGTAGGGAATGGTTATTGTCGTTATTTTAAGAATATGCACGAATATTCTGGTTTCCTTAAAATTATTAGTTATTTTTCGGATTAATACCTAAAATACATCTTTTTTGGACTAATCTTTGCTGTTTTTTAGAACTAGTACCTAAAATACAGTTTATGGGGAATAATCGTTGCTATTTTGGAAGCCTTACCTAAAAAATTGGTCAAAGAAGTTCCCTCGCCCCTGAAGTACAATAAAACATATCCAGCGTTTAAAAAAAATATATAAAATTTGATTTTGCGAATTTTATTTTTTTTTATCGAATCGCTAGATTCTAAATACAAATATGTATGTAATGTTTAAGTAAATGCAAAGAAACATGCTACAGATGTTTCAAATAAGTTTATCCTTTGCAAAATTTTGCGGTGCACGTCATCAACATTTTTGCAAGGACAGGTATATCAATTTGGATAGATGCAATGTAATACTAATAATAACAGTATTCTATTACCAAATTTTCGGGAAAATGGAGTGACCCATTCCTGGTTTAACCAATAAAATAAATTAACTCATTTATTAATTTTTTTGACTCACCCGGGGTAAGTAATCGTAAAAAATATAAATTCAATGATAAGTGACAAGTATAGACTCATTATATTTTGCACATTTTCGATAAGATTTATTCGGCAGAATTTTGAGATGACGTGATCAGTTTCTTGAAAGGGATAAACATATATATTTTGATTACAAATTTACCATCCTTACGATAACTTTAAAACATTTGCAAGATTTCAAAACATTCCGTTGTGCAGTTTCTAATTTAATCAATAAAATAAACTGACTCATTCATGAATTTTTTTGAGTCACCCTTAACGATTCACCATCATTACGATAATCTTAAAAAGTATGCAATATTTCAGAGCATTCGGTTTTGCAGTCTCAAAGTTAAACTGTAAAATGTGGTTATATATTTTTTTTACAAAAATCTGAATGTCTATGTTGAAAAATAACATGGATTTATACACCGCAAGGGCAACAGTATCATATTTTAAAAAATTAAAAAATATATATTACTAAATTTTGGTGAGCGTTTTACTATCTACATAATATTCCTAATGTGTATACAAAGTTTGACAATAATCGGGCTACTATTTCGGAGATTATCTGTCTAATAAAATCCGGACAGACAGCAGACATACATACAGACAGACAGACAGACGGAAACAGGAAACCTATTTCTTCGTACTCCAGGAGTCAGGAAAGGTCGAGAAAACATACGCTCAGCAAGTGAAAATGTTGTTTGTAACGCGTGCCTAAAAAGTTTTTACGAATTCATCTGGTATTTCGGACTCGACTACGCCGCGTTCGTAAACAGCAACGATTCGTCAGCAAAAACTGTATTTTAGGTACTTATAATAGCCATTTTGACCGTATTTAAAAGCATCTCTAAAACCCGTTTGTTTTGTTTTTGAAAGAGTTGTAAAGAATTTGGGGCCCTGGTGTGTTTTCTTTTTAACAGAATTTAAACAGATCTTGGGGGTCCTTATATTTCTATTTTTGAAGAAGTTTGAAACAATCTTGGGCGTGCTTGGTGTCTTTTTACTTCCCGAGCGTAAGCAAAGGAAGTATTGTAATCGAGTCCGTCGGCCGACTCTACTTTTACGTTTTCTCGATCTTTCATGACCCCTAGAAGACGAAGAAATAGGTCTCCCATTTCCGTCTGTCTGTCCGTCTGTCCGTCTGTCCGTCCGTCTGTCTGTCCGTCTGCCGTCCCGGATTTTTATTAGACAGATAATCTCCGAAAGTACTCGACCGATTGTTGTAAAATTTTGTACTTATATTAAGAATATCATGTAGATGGTAAAACGCTAACCAAAATTTGTCTAATCATCCCCACCACTAATGCGATGACGTCACTTCAAAATTGTACATAGTAAATGGGTTTTCAATTGTATAAAATAACATAGTCCTACACATGTAGTTTACAACTCTGAATCGACTTTTCACCCGAAACGTCCAGATTTTTGGAAAAAAAATCAAAATTATAAAACAACATTTTGAAATTTAATTTTTAATCTGCTAACCAGAATGCTTTGAAATGTTGCAGATGTTTTAAGGCTATAAAGAGCATCATAAATCTTTAGTCAAAAAATATTTGCTTATCCCCTCCAAAAACTTGATGACGTCAGCTCGAAAATTTGCCGAATAAATCATATCTAAAATGTACAAAATATGATCAGTCTGTACTTGTGATCTATCACTCCATTCATATTTTTTGGATTTGCATATACAGAGTGATTCAAGAAAATAAATCAAAGCGTAAATTTATTTTACTGATTTACTCAGGAACTACAAAACCGAATGCTTCGAAATCTTGAAGATATTTTAAAATTATCATAAGCATGGTAATTTTTTTATCAAAACGTATTTGGTCGTCCCCCCTAAAAAATTTATGACGTCACCACAAAATTTTGCTGAATAAATCCTATCTAAAATGTACAAAATATGATAAGTCTGTTCTTGTGATTTATCATTCCATTCAAATTGTTTCGATTTGCATATACAGGGTGACTCAAAAAAATTAATGAATGCGTAAATTTATTTTATTGATTTAATCAGGAACTACAAAACCGAATGCTTTGAAATCTTGCAGATGTTTTAAGGTTATAAAGAGCATAATAAATTTTTAGTCAAAATATATTTGGTTATCTTCTACAAAAAACTGATGACGTCAGCTCAAAAGTTTGCCGAATAAATCGTATTTAAAATGTACAAAATATGATGAGTCTGTACTTGTGATTTATCATTCCATTCATATTTTTGGATTTGCATATGCAGGGTGACTCAAAAAAATTAATGAAGGCGTGAATTTATTTTATCGATTTAATCAGGAATTACAAAACCGAATGCTTTGAAATCTTGAGAATATTTTAAAGTTATTATAAGCATGGTAAACTTTTGTTCAAAATGTATTTGTTCATCCCTCCTAAAAAAATTTATGACGTCACCCTTAAATTTTGCTGAATAAATCCTATCTAAAATGCAAAAAATATGATGAGTTTGTACTTGTGATTTATCATTCCATTCTATTTTTTAGATTTTCTTAAGAGGTGGTTCAAAAAAACTAATGAAGTCAATTTATTTTATTGATTAAATTAAAGGCAACACTTATTATTAGTATTACACCCCAACCAACCCAATTTGGTAGACACAAAATTTGTTAAAGGAAAAACTCGGTTGAAACATAAGGGTAGCACGCTTATTTACATCGACTTTAACATTACAGACTTGCATTTGTTTTATGCGTTCACTTGGTTCCGCGAATGTGAAATAGACATGTTTATAATCAACCAATTGTGAATTTCACCGTCAAGAATTAAAATAAAACCGAATGTTTTATATAATAAGCGGAAGTCGAAGCAATAAAACCGATGGTCGTTTTGTTTACAGTTTCTCTGTTTGACTCTCACGTATGGTGTTACGCCTGTCATCTTAAATTAAGAATGTTTATACATACACGATTTTCAGTTGCCTCTGATACGTATTGTTTCGTTATTTTATTGATTATTACAAATCAATATTCAAAACGACCCAATTCATTTTCCCGAAAATTTGAGAATATAATAATTTTATTCTTAGTATTACACTACATCTATCCCAACTGATATATGTGTCCTTGCAAAAATGTTGATGACGTCATCGCATTTTTTTTTTTAAATTCCGACTACAAAAATGTAATGAGAAAAAAAACACAATAGGCATGCAGTCGTCAAGTTTCCGACAGCGAGGGAAGTACTGTCTAAATTCTTTAGACCAATTTTTTAGATTTTCTTAAGAGGTGGCTCAAAAAAATTAATGAAGTCAATTTATTTTATTGATTAAATTAAAGGCAACACTTATTATTAGTATTACATTGGACCAACCCAATTTGGTAGACACAAAATTTGTTAAAGTAAAAACTCGGTTGAAACATAAGGGTAGCACGCTTATTTACATCGACTTTAACATTACAGACGTGCATTTGTTTTGTGCGCTGACTAGGTTCCGCGAATGTGGAATAGACATGTTTATAATCAACCAATTGTGAATTCCACCGTCAAAAATTAAAATAAAACTCAATGTTTTATATAAGAAGCGGAAGTCGAAGCAATAAAACCGATGGTCGTTTTGTTTACAGTTTCTCTGTTTGACTCTCACGTATGCTGTTACGCTTGTCATCTTAAATTAAGAATGTTTATACATAAACGATTTTCAGTTGCCTCTCATACTACTAGACAGCGGATTTCTGTCGGGCTACGTCACGATTATATGTGGGGACGCGCTGGATCGCCGGGACTCAATAGCGGGTGATAGATAATCACTGAATTTAATCGGTACTAATTACATAAATATAATTAACGATGTATTAATCAAACGGCTAAGTAAATGAGAACGGGAATTAACAGCAGAGTGCAACGAAACAGCGTTATTCTAATCTCAAATAAACGAAGTGCAGTCCGTAACCGCAATGAATTCGCATCCCGTACGAGCCGTACCGAGTTTGGCCTTGCCTAGCCCGACAGAAATCCGCTCTCTACATATTACACACCGGCGCCGTATACGTGAGTAAATTGTTTCGTTATTTTATTGATTATAACAAATCAATATTTAAAACGACCCAATTTCTTTTCCCGAAAATTTGGGAATACAATAATTTAATTCTTAGTATTACACTACATCTATCCCAACTGATATCCTTGTCCTTGCAAAAATGTTGATAACGTCATCGCAATTTTTTTTTAAATTCCCACTACAAAAATGTAATGAGAAAAAAACACAATAGGCATGCAGTCGTCAAGTTTCCGACAGCGAGGGAAGTACTGTCTAAACTCTTTAGACCAATTTTTTATATTAATTTGTGTCAAAATAAAATCAAATTTTATAACTTATCTAAGAAACTAACCTTGTTTCATTACGTGTCCTCCAGGAAAAGGAAAGTTTTATTTAAATAACTTTAGACCAATTGTTTCATTTGAGAATATTTAGTAAACAGTTGATGCGTGCGGAAGTGAAATTGTAAATACATCGTCCCAGATAAAACTTCACGACCTGGTATCAGGAGAAAGGAAAGAGATATTGAAGTTCAGTAAACGCCATTATTTCTGGCTTGAAGGGGGAAGCTTAATTTAGTACACTGCAAATATGGCACTTATACGGGGTTGGCCTCGGGACTAAAAGCGATATATTTTTTTAAGCTACAACGTAATTTTTTAACGGATTACTATACTTCCTCGCGAAGTAATAATTTAACTTATTCGTTGTTAATGTCAATGCTCGTAATGTCCTGACATGGTCATTATGTGTAAAATTATTTTAAATAATATGTTGTCGTTCGTTTGTAATGACAAAAATTTTCCTAAATACCAGCCTATTATAACGACTATTGGTGTAAAAAGAATTGGCCAACTATGCTGAATGAATAATAAAAATACCCCGGAATTAAGTACGCACCGGGATAATTAATTTTCGGTCGACTCATCTTTACAACGTCCAACTCGCATGGACTATTATTGATTTCTCACCCATGCATAATTGTGATAAATGACTACAGCTCTGCATTTGTTATTCAGTGTATTATTTTTCAGCGTGTCATTCAGAATAAAACCAATTAGAGTTGGCGTTGCTAAACAAGTTTTCAGTGATACTGTAGTCTTCAATTTGAGTGAATCAGAAGCTTTAATTAATCACTTTCTTCACTGTCTGTTGACATAATACAAATGAATCCAAGGACTGCAGTGTTCAGTTTCTGACACTGATAAGTGACAGATCTGTCAACTGACAGAATTATGTAAAGCGTCACTTGTGTATTAGTACTAAGTATTTATACAATTGGTCTCAGAGTCCACTTTAATCCATAATCTTTCGACAATAATCCTTATGCAGTAAATATAATAAAATCTCAAAATATGAAATTCATTGCACACATTTCGAAATCTCCTATATTTTTAAGAATGAGGTCAAAAAACCAAAAAAAATGTTTAATTAAATAATTAAAAAATAACCGCTAATGATTGCAGAATTTAAAATCAAATAAATAAAGACTATCAAGTTACGCCACTGGCAAGCAATCCGTCAAAATGGCTGTCCGACATCCGATGATCCGTAAACGGTTAAGGACGTGGCCCTAAAGGGCAGAGGGTCTAGAAAGATGGAGTTTCGTATTGCTTTCCCTCTTGTTACGTTTGTTGCAAACAATGAGCAGCATGCCGCAACGGGTAACTCAAATCAATATAGGTAGAGGACGGAGTGATTTCTGCTTCAACGACCAATTAAAGTTAGAGCGTGATTATTAATTACTTTGTCTTTTTGGATAGCTAATAGCAGCTGTAGAGTAAAGCGCTATAAAAATGTAACAGCTTCCAAATGATGGGGAAAGTTCTGTCGAGACAAACTGCATGAGTATAATGTTAAATCTTTCAATGTGCTATATTACAACATATAGGAATACTAAATAGTTTTAAATAATAAGTGACCCTTGGTCTACGAAAATTTGTTTTTTTGGACGAATACCTAAAAACCAATGTTTTCAAGTTTTATTTAAAAAGTAGTTAATAGTTCAACACTTTTAGCATGTTACATAGAATGAAAAGTCAAATTTTCTCGACTATTTCTAAATCCACAACAACTAACAATAATTCTGTCTTTAGGGAAAGACTCAAATTCCACTCGAGCGCTCCGAAAGACGCGTCAGAAGTCAAAGAACCGTCCATTAGTGTGAGTGATAGTGTTAGTGAAACGGACAAGATCGAACCGCCTTGGAGCAAGCTGAAAAAAGCAGCGATATCCCGCGAATCCTCCGATCCATCCACGAGTACTCCTCCATCCAAGGACAGTGTAACGACTGTTAGTGCTAGCGAACAAATGCACCAAAAACCTAAACCTAAATTAGTACTAACTGCGAGAACGAAACACTACAGGTTATTATTCCACCTAAACAACTTCATCTAGTCCATCATCTGAAGCTCAGAGCCTGAGCATTTCACGGATGCACAGCTAAAAACTTTATATCCGATGTGTTCAAATATACAGCGACAATTTCCTTTCGTAGTTAGGCAGGACAGAGAAAACTGCACTGAATACAAGCGTCTTTGACTGTACATCCGACAAATGCTAAGGTCATTTTGAGCGGATTTCAACTCTCAGACCTCTAACCATCGTACTTCCGATTTTTTCGCTGTTTCAGATCGATCGACGACCTATCACCGGAATATGGCGGCCTGCCTTTCGTCAAGAAGCTCAAGATTTTGAACGAGAGGCAGAAGCTCGAAGAGCTGGAAACTGTGATGAAAACGCGTAGTTTTAGTTTAGATATACCCGATTCTAGCCAAAGCACCGTCGAAATGGACACGCTGACGCGATCGCACTCCGAGGGCTCGAAGATGCACCACGACAAAAACCTCCTCACCACGCCTTTAACCCCCAGCGAACTGCATTCGAGCAATGAATCGAACGAAACTCCCGAGCGAAGAAACCTTAGATCGATCCTGAAAAAGCTCTCCGAAGAGACGCAGCTGGAGCCTCAACACACAGCCATGCCGAAGAAGATCGACTCGACCGAGTTTAGAAAATTGATGAGGGCGCCGACGATCGAAGGGTACGCGGCTAGGCATAGTAAATTAGCGAAAAGTGTCACTTTTAACAGGGACACGCTGCAAAGTCCGCCCAATAGTGCGGTGGTAGTGGGAGCACCTAGCCTCTTCACCTACGTCCATTCGCCGGAGAAGAATGACGGTGTCGTGGACCAAGGGAACGGAATTCAGATCGCCAATAACAAAACCAACAATCAGGTGAAACTCATCAAGAACACTCTAGACGACGAACAGCAGTACTTTGCCGATCTCCTTCTGGCGATCAAGCAGGTGATGAGCGCCCACCTTCAAGATCTCCAACAGAAATTCTACCAACGGTTCGAAAAACTGGAAGAAGAAGTGAGAAGTAGGGACGAGATAATCAATCAGTTGAAGGCGCACATATGTGAACTGGAGAACAAGAGCACTGAGGAATCGATAGCTGTAAGTATCACTAAAGTTGGGGCAAAATTTCCAGCTATATAGCTAATCAGAAATATTAATTTAATTTGAAGGAAAAAACGACTGTGCAAGTAAGTATGTTGTTTAATTACGCACATATTTGATTGAAAGTTTAGAGTGCAAATCCGTAATCAAAGTTATCGACCGTTTTATACCGCAACACAAGAGACTCACCAGCGGTTAGTAAGGTCAAGTCATGGACGAAAGACTTATATTGAATACTCTATTTAGTTAGAAAAAGTTGGAAAGTATTGATTTAAGTTTTAGCAATTTTCAACTTTCACAGAGTTTGCCATGAACTCCCGGAATGCCATGTGGGCGACTTCTGTTTAATGAGTTTTGAATAAATGGGTTTGTGATTAAGGAGGAATAAAATAATAAATTCCCGGAAACCTCAATTCGACGAACGATATTTAAATTCACCAAAATCGACGGTATTCATCGAATAATTAGACATAAAAAATACATTCAACGGTCCTACCTTTGACAATTATAATTGTCTATAGCTGTAACGCCTTGAACTACGGTCCATTTCACCCGGATATAACACGTTCGCAACCAATTTGATATATGTAATTTTTTTAACAAAATATCATTTCAATACTACAAACAAAATACTACAGGAATTGCCTTAGCGAACGTTTTGCTTAGAAGAATCAGCATTTTGTTGGCCTTCTTCGCGACGCGTACGACATGGTCTGACCACAATAGATCGCTAAAAACACCTAAATCAACATACGAATCTGTACTAGACAACTCAATATTTCCTACAAAATATGGATCTCTAGAGTTTTTATTGCCAGCAACTCAGCAATCATAAAACATTAAAAAGCAGGTATACATCCTCTCCAGAAACTTTATGACGTCATTTCAAACACTATTAAAACTTTATCAAAACTAGCGTTCAAGGAAACGATGTTATTTCTCCTTCAGTAAAATATGCTTTTATTGTTTTTTTCCGAACGTAAACCGAGGAAGTATTACAATAGGGACAGGGGCCAACCGGCGAACGGCTAATTTCATAACGGATGTTCAACAGAAAAAGTTATCAAGCTGGCGTTGCTTTTTTGATAGAAGAAAACGTAGCCAAAAGCAGCTGTCAAATTTTAGGTTTATTGTGGACTTACAATGTTTACAGAAGACTAAGCAGTGTCGGATTGTGCCGCCAGGACACCGGAAAATTTGCCGGTGGGCATCAAAACAGTCTACTTCTTTTTTTTTTGTTACAACACATTTTTCATATATACAGGATGTCACAATTACAAATGAAATAAATATTCCTAAACATACAATAGACGCATAAAAAACTATATATGGTAAATATTAAATAAAAGCATCTGCCGTCTGTCTGGATTTTTATTAGAGAGATAATCTCCGAAACTACTGAATCAATTGTCAAATTTTATATATGTATTACGAATATCGTGTATATGGTAAAACGCTAATCAAAATTTGGCTAATCATCCCTACCAACAATTTGTTGACGTCATCTCCAAAATTTACAGTAGTAAATATTATTTAAATTTTATTAAAGAAGATATCCCGCACATGGTTTATGAACCGCGGTTGAGTTGTTATCATAAACATCCACATTTTTGGAAAAAAAATCAAAATTGCAACATCTTGCAATTTAGTTTTGAAACTGCAAACCCGAATGCTCTAAAATTTTGCAAACGTTTTAAGGTTATCGTAAGCATGCTCAAACGTTAATAATTTTTTTCCGCTTATGCCCCTCTAAAACAATAATGGCATCATTTTACAATTTTGCGATGCAAGTGTTGTTTAATTTATATTTATCAAATATAAATTTTGGTGATTCCAAAAGCATTGTTCGTTATTTCAAATCTAATTCTCATCTGAAGGGCACGAACGTTTTAGTACAAGGTAAAATGATACGTTTCAGTCCACCTTTTTTTTCATCTATTTAAACTATTTTTTACATGTTTTTCCACCTATTATAAGGTACTGTATCACTTTTTACGCAAACAACCACCAATTTTGACATTGAAGTTTTTTATCTCTTTTTTATACATAAAAAAGTCAATTTTTGTTGTACAATTTTTTTATACATTTTTTGAACATTTCACCCCATCTTTAAGATTAGTTTTTAAAAAGTTGCGTATTTCTAAAAATTTTGGCTAGATTCCAGCGGATTCATATAGAAACCGCTGACTTCGAAATTTTTACAAAAAAATGAAAAAAACACTTCAACGTCACAATTAGCCTGTTTTTATCCTTGACATCGAGATTTTTGGAAAAAAAACTCAAATTGTATTTTACAATTTAACTTTAAAATTACAAAAGCGAATGTAATGAAATATTGCAAACGTTTTATGGTTATAGGAAAGAAAGGAAAAAATAATTGTTCGCTTAAGGCCTTCCAAAAAAATTATAACGTCATCTTAGAAGTCTGCGGAAAAAATGTTTTTTAATTTTTTTTAAATAACAGATTCCTGCATGTGTGATTTATGAATCCGTATTAAGTTTTTACCCTTAGCATCCAGGTTTTTGGAAACGAGTCAACATTGTATAACAATATTTTACAATTTAACATTGAAATTGCAAAAATCGAATGCTTTGAAATGATGCAAATTTTCTAAGATTCTAAGAAAATTTATCTGTCAAATGTAAAACTGTCGAATTTCTTCAAATTTCTTAATGTTTTTTGGAGAAAAAATGAGTATGAATTAATTAAATAGTCCTTTCCTCTGCCTTGAGGACACAAAATCAATCAAATTTCATTTTCAATTAACCGCTGATGCTTGTAATCTGAACGTGCTAATAGTCGAATTCGGTCGAAGCATAAACATAAACAGTCGAAGTTAAGCATGTACGAAGAAATGGAGTGTGCGAACATTTTTTCCTATTAGTTATTTGCTTTAAATATATTTCGCAATTAGAGACGCAGACAAATTTCATATTTTTTTAAAGAAAATGAATTTGTCGGACTATACTTCAAGGGCGAGGGAAATTCTGTCAAAATAACCATTTTTTCAAAACACCAAAAAAACTGAAAATAATAATAGCAATAGTAAAACCAAATAACATCTATATACAATACCATAGGGCCCCACTTTATAAATTTCCAGGTGGGCCCCCATGTCCCCAATCCGACACTAAGACTAAAGCCAACTTGATGACTTTTTCAAAAAATTTGAAAATTTGTCTCAATATCTTGGAAAATACAAAAAACCATTGAAATTTTTCAAACGTTTTAACATTAATGTAAATGCTAGACGAAATTTATCTGTTTACTTCCTTCAAAAATTTGATAACGTTATGTCAGAATCTTACTATACATAGCTATGAATTACAAATTCTATATGAAATGTGCAAAATATTATGAAATATTCACAGTCTTAACCCTGAATGTCTAGATTTTTGGAAAAACAACCAAAATTGTACAACAAAATTTTACAATTTACCATAGAAATTAGTGAACCAGTTGGTTTAAAATTTAGCAAAATGCTTTGAGGTTATCATTAGCCTCATAGATCATCAACCAAAATTTTAATGACGTTTAACTATATCCCTTTAATTAGACATTGTTTTTTTATGTAAATGACATTTTTCCCGCTCCGAAATGACTGTTTCTTCTTAAAAGAACATCATAAATTCATTTTTCTTCAAAACTACCATTAATTATTTCTGTATATTTCTAAATCTCGAAGTTGTGAATTTTTACTCTCTAAGGGCAATATTATTATCCATCCGGTGAACGGTTAATTTAATGTTTTCTCGACGTTTAATAACGTCTGAAGTATAAAAAAGTAGATTTTCTGTTTCTGTATACCTCTTGTCTGTCTGTTTGTCTGTCGTCTGTTGACAGTTTTATTAGACAGCTAATCTCCGAAACTAGAGACCCAATTGATGTAAAATTTTAGATCTATTTTGGGAATATCGACCAACAATTTGATGACATCTTAAAATTTTGTAAAGTAAATCCTATTTAAATTTTATAAAATAACCTACCTGTAATTTATGAATCCGCCTTCATCTTTTACCTTTGACATCCAGACTTTTGGAAAAAAATTAGAATTGTATATATTATATACAATACAATACAATACAATATAGATATGAATTATATTTGCATTGTCAAGTTTAATAATGTATCTGGATTTGTTTGGTTGTACTTCAGGAGCAAAGGAAGTTATTTTTAAATAAGTTTAGACCAAATTTTCATAATTGTTTGCTCAGGTATCCTATGAATATATTAGTACATGGGCTGATTTCATCATCAGACTTAACGTCTAATGCATTTTTTCGAAAATTTTAGGAGAGCAGCAACATTGTTATTTAGTATCTATATGACTGTAGGTATCAAAATCAAATATACTTACCTCCAACAAAAAGTTGATAACGTAATGCTAAAAAATACCTAATAAATATATGTTTAAAAATACGTCCTGATGTGTATATGGTATTTGTTTTGCTTCAGAGATGAAGAAACTCAGTATAAACAACTTTCCACAATCTGTACATGGTTAGGTAGTTTTTTTTTAAGATGTACCAGTTGGTGAATTATTATGTACTTGCGGGAAAATTCACCGATGAATCCTGAACTTTATACAACACGTGAAGTAAGTTTTTTTTCATTCCCATTCATAATCTAAAGAAGTATTGTAGTAGTCATTTAACGAATGGTAGAATATGAAAAAGTAGGTCTCGCGTTTCCGTGTGTCCATCATCTATCATCTGTTGACGAAATGAGTGAACTGGTTATTGAAGCATTTTATGTGTATTTTTGGAATACAAATGTCTTAGACGGTAAAACGTCAAAATTTGTACGATCATTCCCACCAACAATTTCATGATTTCATCTCAAAAAAAAATTATTGAAAAACAACATTGTACACATTGTACAATTTAACGTAGAAACTATAAAACTGACTGCCCTGAAAGATTATAAACAATTAAATGTTTCGTAAACAAGGTAAATCACCTTTGTGTGCATCCATACCAAAAATTTGATGACGTCATTTTAAAATTTCGCATAAATTGCACCTAAAATGTGGAAAGAGTCTAGATTTGTCGTTTACCAGTGTATTTATATTTTTCAGATTTGTGTTTATACAGGGCGTTTCAACAAAATTAATCAATGCAGTAATATATTTGAATTCATTGTCTTGAAAAACGTGTTCTTAATATTTTTTTATACCTATTCAAAGTGATAAATTTGTCCCCGTTAGAAAATCACCACAAAATTATATTATGAAAAACTCACTTGAAACATATTTGCCACATGCGTCTTTACATGTGGTTTAGTCATCTATTTTTATTTTAACTTGTAGGAATTGTTATAAAAAATAAAATTCGTATAATATTTCTTTTTTTAGAAAAATAACAGCTTAATATAACATAAATTTATAATAATTCCGTTCGAAAATATCGACATGTTTCGAATTGTTTCACAAGATGCAATAATGCAATTCCATAAATCATGCATATTTTCATTGTACATTATCATACGACTCTTGATCGTTCTGTCTCTCTTTTCTTCCTCCAGGATTCATTGGAAACCGTCATCAGTCGGGAGCACCAATCATGGGAGGAACCCTCCAACGAAGAAGTAGAAGAACTGGAAGAACTACCCCAACACCCTCTAACTCCACTCCACACGTGGTGCTCTTCTCCCCAACAGAACGTAGTCTTGGACATCGACTCCACCACCGACACAGATGGAGAATCTTCCGAACAATCCGGCGAATTCGAGAGCACGGGAAATAACTGGGAAATCGAAATGTTAGCGGCCCAGATGCGCGACAAACGCTCAGCGAGTCTCGATTACAACACTGCGAAACCTCTACGAAAAAGATTCACCAGAGGAGGAAGTGCGGAAGCTAGAAATGACTGATACATACGGATTTATCGCATCGCCATTGATGCTTATTAGAACACATCAATACCCTCGTCCGAGCAGTTTTTTATTAACATTTTACAAGTATCTCCGGAGTAATAAGAAACAAATAATATTGAAATTACATATCTTGCAAAAATGACAGTAGAGTTGTGCGAGGTTATTGATGGGTTCGTGGACGGTACAGTGCGGACTCCATTTTGTGTCACCGAAAGACGAATTTAAGAAATTGACGTTGTCGTGCCAAGTAAATGCTCAAAAATTGATCTAAGGTGTATCGAAAAGTATTATACGTGCCAATGAATAAAAAGGCGATATTTTTGACAATTAACAACATTATACAAATTTTAATATTGTACACTCGACTGCGTCGTATCTCTGTATTGCGGTGTAATGTGGAGAGACGACGCGATATTGTTAGCAAATGCAATACTACTTACACTTCACTGAATAAGTAACAAATTAAAAAAATAGAGATTTGACCATTTTTAGATCTGTAAAGTACTAAAAGAAATAATATGTAGATACGAATGAGAATGGAGAGTAATATGAATAATTGAGATAGTAATAATGAAATTGTAAATTAATATAATATAAATTAATAAATCAAAAAGTGAAACAAGATAGACCATCATTTCTCCCATCACGCAGTATAGTAAAAACCACCAAAGTTTGAATCCTCAAGGTGTGGCAGCACTGCCTGTCATATGTCAGTTTCAAATTTATCAACAAGAACATAACCTTAAATGCAACAATTACATTTTTTTTAGTTTTAATTGTTACAAAAATGGCTCACAGAAACCCACAGTGCATTTATGACCACAATCACAGTTTACCGATTTTCGATAAAAACACTTTCACTGAAAATAGAAATCTCAACATAAATATCACTGATTTCAACGAACATATTGTAAGTATTGTACCCAAAAGCACAAAAAACAACTAACTGACATATTCTAGCAAATAAAAGTTCGCGATGCGGCTGACTTCGTTTTCAATTACACTTCACACATCGACACAAGACAGTTTGAGCTGATGCGAAGCGAACAATCGTTAGACATAGATTTCGTCGAATTTCGAACAAATTTAATAGATATGTTGCACCAAGTGCAAACACGAGAATTGTAAGTATCATCAAAAAAACACAAACCTTATCAAATTAATTGATTTTAGGTTTTTAAAATGCGAAATTGATGTCAACCGAAGCAAATTAATTTTTTTCGGAAAATCAAAAATAAAAGCTATTGTATTTCTAATAATAGATTTACAAATGACGAATCAGAAGGATGTTTTTAATGAAATGAACAGCAACATCCTAGACCTTCAAATGATAAATAAGAATCTCGTTTCTCAAATGGCTAGGTTGAAAACGCGCCTTGAGGATAAGGATACTGAAATTGAGAATTTTATTTCAATTAATAAACAGTTAGAAAAACGATTTCGAGAAGATTTGGTAAATTTGAGCTACGTTTTTTCTAATAAATTACAAGAGTGTTCAGCTTTATTGCTACATAAAATTGTGTTACTCACCCAGAGGTTGCTCAAGCTGATTCAAGATGTCGAAGTTGTGAAACATGAATCACTGCTGAAGTCAGACTCAAGCGCACGACTTCTTCAAAGCATGGAAAACTTGAGACTGGAATCCATTGAGACTTCGAGAATTGTGAATGAGCTGAAAAGAGAAAATTGTAATTTAAAAGCCATACAACTTGGGAATGAACAAATGATTGATGATTTAAACAGTACAATTCAAAGACAAGAAGTTGAATACATAGAACTGAAAAAGAAAAGGGTAAACGAATAGATAGTTTCTATTGGGTTTAATTAAAACTTTTTAGGATGAGTTTGAAAAAGATGCAAAACAGGCTGCAATGATAATTGCCCAAAAAACCACTACTAACGAAGACTTGGAAAAAGATCTGCTCAAAGCACATCAATTATTAGTTAGTTTTAACCATTCGCTTGCCACAAAAACTCAAGAGGTAATTTTTGTCTTTACCCTGACCCACGTATAACTCAGTTTTTAGATCGAGGAATTAAAAACTACTGTTGCAAGTCAAGATAAAGTCATGCAAGAACATAACCATAGGTTTCATGAATTATGCAGACAATTCGAAGAATACAAAACTGAATTTAGTTTGGAACGTCTCAATAAAGTGTCACAAGATTTATTCGCAGCAAACAGGAGGGTAGAGGAGGTTGAAAAAGTAAACAGAGAAACAGCAAAGCGTAAGTCATTTGAGAATCCATGTTTAAATTTGTAAATTTGTTAATATGGAATTTGCAGTGAATGAATTACTTACAAGGAAGTTGGCCTCAGGTGATTTCGTACACGGAAATTTTCGCTCATAGCTTTATATAAAAAAAATATAATTAAGTTAAATGTTAATACAATTTTTCCAATAAAAGTTTCTGCAAATCCGCCATGTTTTGTATTTCTGGGGACTTTATTTCCTATGTTGGTATACTCCATTTGCTATTGATTGTTTTTAGTTAAAAAATTAACAAATTGAATTGAAGGAGAATCCAATAAAGTTAATTAACTAAAGCAGTACAGCCAAAGCCGGTAATACATATTAATTAAATTTAACAATTTAACATGTTCCAAGAAACCCGCCAGGGGTACCAATCTTCACATTGTAGGAGCTTTATTCATTTAGCCAATTCGTTATCTATCTATTAAAAACTAGATATGTTAACGTTAACGGTAAAATTTAAGACGAACAAATTACGCATAATTATTTATAATTATATTATACCAACAAAGAAATAAAAATAAGTTGTGTTTTTTTTTGTTTCCAAAACCGATCATGGCTGCCAAGCTTTCTCTAGTGATTTTTTTAGTAATTTAGTATTGTAACATCGCTGTCGTTGACATTATTTTGACGTTTATTTCCGTAAATACTCCGTTTGTTTATTACAATGATTTAACCGCTCACCCCGTCCCCACGAACCCATTCCACCCTCAAAACCCCCAAAATGGTGATATTGCAATTGGAAGAGCAGGTAGGCCCCCTAAACATGTTGAGGTTATGTCTAATCACCCTTGGTAGCCCCCCATAGTCCAGGCCATCTTCGTAGGCGGCGAACCGGAAAGAATTAAAGACCTCATTAAAATCAAACAAGACGTCAATTGCTTAGATTGCGATAAACGCACCCCACTACACGCTGCAGCTTTTAAAGGAGACGCAACAATAGCCTCAGTCCTGCTTTCAAACGGGGCTCGCGTAAACGCTAAAGACAGCAAATGGATAACCCCACTTCACCGCGCATGTTCCATTGGTTCCAGTGAGACAGTTTCCGTTTTATTGTATTATCACGCAGAAGTGAATGCGCGAGATAAATTGTGGCAGACCCCACTTCACGTGGCTGCTGCAAATGGGGCCTACGAATGTGTAGAGCAGTTGCTGGACCACGTTCCAAATCCGAATGTTACGGATAGGGCGGGGCGAACTGCGCTACATCATGCTGCTTATAACGGTCATACGGATAGCGCAGAGCTGTTGATGTCAAGGGGGTGCATTGTTAATGCGTATGATAAAAAGGATTGTAGGCCTTTGCATTGTGCTGTGCAGATGGGCCACATGGATACAGTGGAGTTGCTCTTGAAGTATAAAGCTGATATTAATGCGAAAGATAGAAATCAGTATACACCGCTACATGTAGCGGCTGCGGGGGGTACGGATATAGTTTGTCGACTTTTGATAGGTAATGGGGCCGATGTTAACGCACAAAACGTGTTTGGGAACACGCCTTTACACATCGCTTGTTTGAATGGGCACCATTTGGTTTGTCAAGAGTTGGTGAATTCGGGGGCGGATATTGAAGCTGTGAATTACAGGGGGCAAACGCCTCTGCACATCGCAGCAGTTAGTACATATGGGGTTGATTGTATGATGTTATTATTGACTCAGAAGGTGGATATTAATCGGCAAAGCTTAGATGGTAGGACTCCGTTACATATGACTGCGATCCATGGTAGGTTTACAAGGAGTAAGATTTTGATTGATAAAGGGGCCACAATCGACAGCCCTGATAAAAATGACTGTACCCCTTTACACATAGCGGCGAGGTATGGCCATGATCTTCTCACCAATACATTACTGTCATATGGTGCCAATCCATCACAACGGGGCTACGAGGGACGGCAGTCCTTACACATGTGTTGTTTAGCAGGTTACGTTGAATGTTGCCGAAAATTACTCCAAGCAGGGGTCGATTTAAACGCTTTAGACGACTCAGGGAAAACACCTACACATTGTGCTGCTTATAGAGGGTGAGACCACATTTATTTTGTTTCAAATGTCTAACGAAACTTTTAGTTCTGTAGAATGTTTAGATTTGTTGGTGAGTAATGGGGCGAATTTTCACCTCACGGATAACATTGGGCGCCTTCCGTTACACTATGCTGCGTCTCAGGGACATTACCAGTGTGTTTTTACTCTTGTTGGTATTGGTAGTCTTACAAATTCTGTCGATATGGAGGGATGCACTCCGCTGCATTTGGCGTCAGGGTATGATACAGAGGGGAAATGTATCGAGTATCTTCTTCAGCATAAAGCTGATCCTTTTGTCAAGGATCGACGGGGTTTTACCCCTTTACACTACGCTATGGCTGGGGGTAACATCGCGGGAGTTAGTCGATTGTTGGGCGTGATTGAAAATTCTACGCTTTTCCAGCAAGCGGATATGCCTGATGTTACACCACTCCATCTAGCGGTGAGTTGGGATCGTAGACATATTTTGTTTACACTTTGTGCATTTAGCTAGATTTGGCTCCATTGTAGATGATGAGGTTCTCTTAAATTAAAATACCGTGCGATCGAAAAAAAAACGAATTAGAGTTGGCTGTGAGAGCATAGGTGGTACTACTCCATAACTGACGTCTGTATATATACAGAGTGTTCATAACAAAAACAGACCAAGTACGATATTTTCTTTAAAAAAAACAATAAAGGAGGCTGTTGTAGTAAACAGTGTTTTTCATCATTTGATTATAAGTTTGGCAATTAATAAACATTTTCACGGGAAAATAGTTCCGTTAACTGTTCCAGACGTCTCTCAAGGTGTCGTTCTGTTTCTGTTATTTTGTTAAATTAAATTTAATTCTGCGTTTAATTGTGCCAATAGTGAATGGTTCTTTAATAAAATAACTATCACTACTTAAATTAATAATTTTTAAAGCTTGGCTTTGCGAAATTTTTCAGGGTGGCCGGTTTTTTTGCCGGTCAGTGTATTATAGCAACTATAGCTACCGCTAGGCAAAATTGATTAAATAATCTATTGCAAAAAATTGTTAATCATAAAGTTTTACGTAGTAAATATCACTTGAAACTTGTAACAAAAATATTTATAAACATTCTTTTTCGTTTTATTAAAGAAGTTGTTTTTGTCACATTTGTTAAAGGAAATCGACAAACTATGGTCTTTTGATTTTGTTTCATCATTTTTGGAAAAGACTATTTTTTAATTATAACAACGTCGAATCTGTGTCAGGTTATATAACAAAAGGTAAGGCGGTTTAGAAATTCTTATTAGAGTGGAAATACGATGAGAAGAACATATGTTGAGTCATCACAATTTGTCACTTGCAACTTTAATCAATGACGTAACATTTGAGTGCCCATAAGAAAAAGAGAAGTAGGTCATTTAAGCTGAATGACCCTACATTTGCGAGTGGACCTGTTTGGATACGTTTACTACTGGGACGTTTTATTCGTGTGCTCTTCTCAAAGAATTTCCACTCTAATAGTACACGGAACATTATTATCATTCTGGTAAAATTGGAAGTTTTGACTTTCATCTCATCATGTCACTAAGCAGACTTAATTTGTTAATTGTTTTCCCAAATTGATTTACTATTTCGTCCTGGTAGTACTTTAATAATTTTGTTAGATTAGTAGAAATTAATTATTCTGTAAATCAATAAGTTTGGACCAAGAATACTACGCTTAATATTCTCGAGTCTTACAATTATTTGTTTATGTATTCGTCATGCCAATTTTTTTTCTGTTAAGTTGTAGTTCTGAAACAATCGACAGATTAGATTATTTTTCCACAGATTTTTTGTTCTTTTCTAAATTCAGGAAGCATTTATGATAAAATTTAGAGTAGCTATACTTTGAGAAGAGCCCAAAATAAAACATCACAGCAGACATAAACAATCAGCATATTGCCTTTAAACAAACAAAATACTTAACTGTAATTAGTTTAAAAAATATATAGAGGCTCTATATCTTATTAGTTACTAGATATATAAAAAAGTTAAAGAGTAAAGTTATACATATAAATTCATTATCAGCTTGTTTTCTGTACTTCACATTATTGAAAAATTATAATACTTTTTGCAGTGTATCATGGGCATAACAGGGCTTGCACTCTGGCCTATTATTCTTTAAAATAAATAAACAAATATAGTTCTTTGAGTAACATTCACAAAAATTGTTTTCACCTAAATCGAGTGTTCTGTTTTCGAGGTGTAACATACAACTAGATTGATCACGTTATTCCAATTTTCTTGATTTTTTTTCAGCACTGCAAGGGTTCATAAAAAACACAATAGGGTTATTTTTTTACAGTAATAAAATATAGATGTTGTATTTGAAAAAAAAAAAAAACGAAATATCGATATTTGGAAATTGTAATATATTTTTTTATAAATATTCTTGCGTATTTACACTCAATTAATGTAGGCCACAACAAAGCGCGTACTTTATTTATCTCTCCACAAAATATTTTAAGAATTTTTAAAACTAAACCTGTTGCCATTTTTTTTTGCAAAGCAATCTCTGTATTGCTAAAAAAAATCATGAAAATTGGAATAACATGGCTACGGCACATCGCAATTTCAAAAATTGGCCAAGGTTTTAAAGGCAGGAAGACGCCAACGAGAATATGTAAAAATATATAGGTATTCCATTAAAAAGAACTAGTTGTAACGCCTCAAAGACAGAACACTGTAAAGTTGAATTAATGAAATATCGCAACTCACGTTTAGCGACTAACCCTGTATATGAAAACATATTTTTAAAATGTCCCCATACTGATTTAACATATTCTTTTCATATTTTCATCCCTACATTCAATGCCTACAAAAATTCTGGAATTTAATGTGATTTTCGAAAATTTTAAAATTTATTTAAAACAATAAAATGTAATTTGAGCGAATAAGTATATTAATTTTGATACATACATTGTAATATAATAACCGTAATGTCTTCGTTATGTACTTTATGTTTCAAGAAAATTAGATCAGCACAAAAAAAATATATGGATGATAAACATTTATGCAGGATGCTGAAAAAATACGTACAGAAACAAAATATCGATTTAGACCGATTAATCAAAAGACTCTAAAAATTAGCAACACTTGTCCAATTTCATCCTAAACAATTTTTAAGTTTTTTGTTATTTTATAAAATGAAGAAAACTGTGGATGAAAACAAGATACCTCCAAAATTATTTTGAATAATGCAAGTCTAATTGATTTCATGTATCCAACACTTTATGGTGAATTAGAATATGGTGAAATATTGAAAAGAAAAGTCAAATTTTGAAGGGCTATATTTTTTAAATTATTTTTTCTCTATTCCATAAACAGGCCTCAACAACGTGTCATAGAGTTGATACCCCATTTTTTCAGCACCCTGTATAATCCTTTTTGAGCTCTTATTCAGAAGTATAGAAAATGTATTGCATTTCGTTCAAAAAAGTAGTATTCGCTTTTTTGTTTAAATCATTGAATTTATTGACAAAATAAATAAAGTACAAAATAATTAGTGTTTACTTGCATTCTAATGACTTTATGGCAAAAATTAGAACCATTCGGAAACGTAAGAATCCAAGTTCACATTAATGTAAGTGCGCAAAAATTATTTCAAGAATATTTTGTTACTTTAGATTTAAAACCGGATCATAGATGTAACTCTGTATTTAAAATAATGAATTCCTGGATTGATAAATACACCAAGTTCCAGTGACTGAAGATACCACCTCATTTTTTTTTTTAATTTCAGGCCAAATTAGGCAACATTAACGTAATGCGCGCAATTCTCAGCTACTATCATGACGTCAACCTCCAAACTGAACAAGGCCTCACTCCTCTCATCCTAGCAGCCCGTGAAGGCCACGTTCAATGCGTCCACATTCTCCTCAGGTTCGGTGCCAAAGTGGCTCTCTGTGATAACCTCAACGGCATGACCGCCGTACACTACAGTGCAAAAAACGGACACTCACAATGCCTGACTTTACTCTTACACAATAGCGAAGATCGAAACGTCATCGACATGCTCGACGAGTACAAACGCACAGCATTGATGTTAGCCGTATCGGGGAACCACATAGAATGCGTCCAGACTCTGCTCAAGTGCGGAGCAGACCCCAACGTCGTGGACGACGATAAACATTCCTGTTTGTTTAGAGCGGTAGGTAGACATTTTTATATGAAATAATTTTTAACTATTTTATTTTAATTTAATAATAATATGCTTTACAAATAATAATTAACAATTATTAAAAAGTCTAAAACATCAGAAACATCTGTTACCATCGATAGGAGATCTTAAACCGTAGTTGGACGTTGGCATCAATCGTATTGTTTATTAATTTAAACATAAACCACAAAGTGACATTTCAGGTAGTGACGGGCCAGAATAGCATGGTACAACTCCTATTAACGAACAACGCAAGAGCAGATTGCATGGACTGTCACGGGAAAAGTGTCCTCCATCTTGCAGCGGCCTGCGGCCATCTTGTTTGTTTGCAGACAATTCTCGGGTATTTAAGCGATAAGGACACTTCCCTCTTGGACCATCAAGAGTGCTCGGCGTTACACTGGGCCTGCTATAACGGTCAGTTTCGCATGCATTGACATCAACTTGCCTCTCATTTTCACTAACGCAATTTCAGGCAACGCCAACTGTGTCGAATTCCTCTTAGAGAACAACGTTTTCGAGAAACTGGAAGGGAATCCGTTCTCGGCGGCCCATTGTTCAGCGTAAATTTCGCACTTTTCATGAAATACTCAGTGTAATTTGGTTGTTTGTAGATTTGCAGGCTCGGAACGTTGCCTCGACTTGCTTTTCCAGAAATTTGGGAACGATATTGCCAATTTAAGAGACTCACGTGACCGTACACCTTTACACATTGCCGCGTTGCACGGACACGTAGAATGTGCCAAGCTTTTAATCGAAAAGGGTGGGGATGTGAGAACACGTGACGAAGATGGGCGGACACCGTTGATCGCTGCTGCTCAATACGGACAAGTCAGTTTCGTCGGTAGGTTACACCAACTTTATTTTTGCAGTTAGGTTAAAATTTCAAGTTGTAGAGTATTTGTTGAGTAATGGCGACGTCGAGAGATGCGCACAAGATAATCAAGGCAATACGGCACTCCACTGGTCTTGCTACCGGAAATACAATAATATTGCCTTGCTTTTGCTTGAAAATAGCGAAGATACGGAGTTTACCAATCTCACAAACAGTGATGGGAAAACGTAATTTAGTTCATTTTAGATGTATTTATTTAGTTTTATCGGTTACGCGTGCGTACAATAATTCAAGTTTTTATTCACGGAAAGTATTTTTTACGTTATATAACATACGATAATTTTCAAAACTGGCTTAAAATTTTAAGTATGTGACTTACCAACCGACAGAACGAACTAAATTCATCTTTATGAAAATAGTCAGTAAATAGCTTGTTCTAGGGCGCTTCATTTATCCTCTCGCAATGGTTTAGTGGACGTGACCAAAGAACTTCTCCAAAAAGGGGCTTCCGTGACAGCTGTAGATAACGAGGGTCTGACACCAGCGTTGTGTTGTGCTCCTAACCTAAACGTCGCTCAATGTTTGGCGTTAATCTTACGAAACCTGCCCAAAGAAAACGTGTACAATGGTCCTTCAGCCTTAAATCTTCATATACACGATGAACAATGAGCACGGGCCCAAGACGGACCCTTGCCGTAGTATAAGATGCAATCACTAAATATCGTTAACTGTAACTAAATTACAGGTTTAGATTTGTGATATTGACGAATTTTGTACATTGTCACAAGTTGCTTTAATCTCGTGATAATTTTAGCTTTTTATAATGTAGTTTAACATTTTTTACCTTTGGATGTCATTACCATTTTAATCTTACGGTGCTAATTTTTTGACAAGTGGAAATCGAGTATCGGTGGCAATTTTCGTGTACTTATATTTCTAACTCGTTTGTAACTCTGCTAGTCGCTTTTTTGTTCGTTTTTACCAGGAAACAAAGTGTTCAAATAACAGTTTTGGTATGACATGTAGTATTTATTGCGATTTTACAGTTTTTAATAAAACTTCTAAAACCAAGTTTTGTTGAAATCTTAACCGCATTTTCATCCTACCGACTACGCCATTTTATTGCAAAATCACGACGCAACGCAACAATTTTTCTTAAGCTGTTATGAAGCACAAAAAAATATATAAAAATATAAATACAAATATATATAACATTAGGTAGAATTGTTAACTTTTATTTTTTCGGTTAATTGAGTGAGTTGTTTACCCATGCAAGCTGGAATCTTGTGTGGTTTAGGGTTCAAAAAAAATCTGCTTCCTAACATATATAAATATTTTATTCGAGTCAAAGAAATATAATTTCATCAAAAAGGACGGATCTGTTCATAAAATCTCAAAAAGTCACTTTGTAAAATGATCAAATACAAAACGATGGCACTTTTCAAATTTGCTTTCGACAATAAAATCACACTTGAATTGGTCCCCTAAATGGAAGTAGTATTCATGAAATACTGAAAAGGCACAGTCTACGTAACTGAAATTAGTGCAATAAAATGATACGAGATTAAAAACACCTACTCTACAAAATAAAAATTCGTAGAACCTCATTATATACAAAACATAAAAAAATTAAGTACTTTAAAAAATTGCAAGAAAATTTATCACATTTTGTAGAAGCACCATCTTACAGCTGTGTCGTAATGACCGACTTCCTTATGATAGTGGTCTCTGTAGTGTTCACCTTAGCCACAGGTGACGACACCACCTCCTGTGACACAAGCCACGGAGAGAGTTTGCTCAGAGATGGCACCGTGCTCGGTGACTTGGCGTCTTCGTCCACCTGCTACAAAAAGGTGACCTTACTTATAACCTGCTCCGCAACATCAATAACTCACACCTAGCGAAAATAGCGTACGTGTACAATAGTTTAATAAGAGTAGAGCAAACGCCAGTACATAACCACAGTTTCAGTACTAAATTACGTCAATTTAGAGTCCGTAAACCAACCGTAACCAAAATATTATATTGTTTTTTTTTCTGTGTTTACAACTTCTGTTTTTCACTATTCCATAGTTTTTTTTGTTCTTATGCACATTCCGTCGGTATTTTTGTAAATTTTAGTATTTAATTACCTCTTACAATCCATTCATTTCTAACCAAATTACTCAAATAAAATAATATTCAAAACAACTAAAATTAACAAGTTACCTCAATTCAAGTGATCATACACACGAATTAAGCTGTAAACATTTCCACGAACAATCCCGACTTTCAAACAGTCATGGATCATAACAACAATAATTAAAATGAAAACATGTCTCACGTTTACACAAAACACGATAAATGCCGCAAATCTTGCCCTCTGAACTACTTGTTAACTAAACGTTTCACATAGACATCCAGTAACGATGGCGACAGCTTCAAGCACACAGAATCAAATCTGCTGCAACTACTGCCAAAATCCTGCAGTTAAAAAAAGAGCGAAGTGCTTAAACTGTGGTTTCTACTTTCACAACGTGTGTGCAAAATGTGGAATTTGCTGTGATGCGCAAAAATTCGACGAAGAAAAACTCGAAAATAGCCAACGAGACTTCGCCCCAACTCTGAATGAAGACATCACGTCAGATATTATTCAGACTCTAAAGTGGGAGAATGACTTTTTAAAACAAGAAAACGCAACACTGCGAAACGAAAATATGGAACTTTTGGAGCAAGTTAAATCCATCCAACGGGTGGAAAGTAGTATGAACCATATAGATGGGGTGAGCGATCTGGATATGATCATGATCACTAATCTAATACGACATGAAGTAAAACGAGCAATTGAGATAAAAGTAGCTAACTTGGAATTGGAATTACAGTAATATGTATACAAGATAAAGTGAACTTGATGACACCACGAGACAGAGGCGGCTCGTGCCATCGCCAACTCCATTTGTATCCGCTAACTCGCATATAAAGCCGATTTGAAATGTTTCTCACAAACTGGCTGTGGTCACTGTGGTGGTATTCCTACTAGGGCCCTATATAAAAATATTTAATCCAGACATTACAGAAGTTACAGATCACTCTGTAATATGTAAAATGTACTTTAGTCGAAATTCAAATGTATCTTACAAATAATAATCAAATATATCGTTTAAATAAATCTGGTGTGTTTCTTATATCTGTCAGTCCAGCCTTCCTACTTTTGTCAATAATAATAATAGTTGCCTTTAAGAATGGTTTTGGTACCCAAGAAATTGTTCCGCTTGCTGACCATTCTCAAAATTACGAAATTATTTCAAAATTCGTTCAAGTTCATTTATTCCAGAAGATGAAATTGAGAATTTTCAGTATCACTGCAAAAGTAGACGGATTTGTTAAAAAATACTTTATAGCAAATATCGATGACATACTAATAAATGTCGAAATATATTCCTCGAAAATTTAATAAAGTCAAAACATCACTATCTAAAGTCGCAGAGAAAATTTAACGAAAAGGAAATGTCATTTGTGTCATAATTTGTAAGGGGAATTTTTTGTTTTATCTTTTTTAAAATTAAGAATTGCTTTTTTTTATTATTCTGTTCCAAGTTTTTGGTGCAAAACACGTATAATGTTACAAGATCACGAATCTGTGCTTATTTTTGCTGTACGGGCGCATCCACCATTTTTTGCAAAATTTTGAAACTACTACTCAAAACTGTTTAAATCGCCCCGGAGAACCGTTTAGTTCAAGGAAAATTTTCTCATGGTCACGGATTCGCTCTTATTTTTGCTGTACGTCCACAAATAACTGAAAAATATGCGGATTCATCAGGCCTCCTCCACCATTTTTTGCAAAATTTTGAAACTTCTCAAATCGACCCGGAGAGAAGTCTATCTTATCGGAAATTTTCTCAGGATCCGGAATCTGTGTTTATTTTTGTGCTACATCCATAAAGGTTTATGCTGCGAAATATGGTCAAATATTTGAAAAAGGAATAATCTGTAACAAATTATTACGATAAAGTAAATAAAGAAGGAAATAAATGCTAAAAAAGGGGCATAAAAAAACAATTAAATAAATGGGAACATATTTCGTCATTTGAAGAGAAACAAATATTGTACCTATTAATTTTTTATTTTTCATTTGATTTTCAAATTGTCAATATTCCTCAGTTCATTCGATGGCTCGTTCTCATCTAAAATCTGTCCGTAACAAACTTATCAAATTCATTTTTGTAAAAAAAAAATCACTAGTGTATTGTGTAAAATTTTATCTCAAACAGTTATGATTGTGAGGACGCATCTGTAGTGGAATTCAAAACTTTCTGAAATTACACCAGGTAATTTTGGTTCTTGTCCGCTTTAGTCTACCCAAGTGTTTATGGTACTATGCAAATGCGCAAAGAGGAGGCGGAGAAATCTAACGGCCTTGCACTCTTTAAAAAAAAACAAGAAATTTTAGATTGGATGAAACATAACAGTATTGATGTTCCAGAAGGTAAGAAACCAAAGAAAGCAAGGAAACTAGATGTAATTAAACGACTGAATATTTCTCAGCAATTTCTTGCTCACGAAAGTGCAAAAACCGGTGGACGTATGTTCCGTTTACCTCTATATTACTGTGTTTGTCATTTTTGCTTTTAATAGTTAGTAAATCATGTTTTTTCTACATAAATTTAATAATAATGAGTTATTATTCAACAGCAGAATTCTGTTAATAATAGGAGAATTTTAACAAAATTTTGTAACCTTTTCTTTAAATATTTGGTATAAACTGTTAGTTAACGCGTTTTTCAGTTGAAGCTTTTTTTTAACTTCGCCCATAACAAAAATTATTTGTTGAATCGACTTGATCAACGGAATACGGCCTTGAACAGGTACCGACGAAGATAGTAAGAAACGAATTTACCGAGAAATAAGTAAATCCTGTTGTCGAAAATTTTAACACTCCATGATCACTTTAACAGACCATAAAACTCGTACAGAAGTGGCAAGACTACACCTCGTTTGGGTTAGTGCCAACAGGATGGAGCCACAACACACGCAGCAGATTTAACTTTGGTTTGTTTATTGGCAACATTTTTATGACAATCGAGTTATAAGCTTGGGACTTAATACAGCATTTCTCAGGCCACTATATTTTTTTGTTTTTTGGCTAGTAAAAAAAAAAAAGTATTTAATAATTATTAAATTTCACATTTCTGTCGTCGCAGTGTAAATGAAGAAATGTTACGGAACAATTTCAACATCTTTTTGTAGTGTTGTTGCTTAATATTTTTACTACTTTAAACTAATAACATTTTAAATCTGTTCGTGTTTTTTTTTAAATTTTATTAGCAATGTAACTGGCGGTGTTCAGACCCTCAACATGTTCTTACCCAAAGACATCTTGACATTGTTTTGAGTGGAATGTACGTATCAATTTATTTCAAAACAACTTTTTAAAACCGATGCGAAACAACGCGGACTTTTGTAGCCCAGAATCATACATATTTCAAGTACAATAGTTATTTTTCTGCCTATGGATGCGAATTCTGCACTACTGCCTCACCACTTTGACTAACACATTTCGCCATGTTGTTTTTACAACGTAACTAAAGGGTGTTTCAAAATTATTTTCATCTAGTTAGCTTTGAAATCGCTTCAACTCCTATCTTTCCCTTGATGATAATCTGCAACCATAGGCGACTAGATGAAAATCATTTTGAAACACGTTGTATATTCTCAGTACCACACCTTCCGTGCTCAACTCCCGTGGAAGCAAAACCTTTTAAACCCGCTGTAACAAAATAGACCTCTCAATTAAACCGCATATCGCTATTCGCTCTACTCCTATAACAACCCTATACAAATACACTAAGCGTAAACATGCACAAGCGCCACCTACTGACCTTAATCGAACCGTCCGTTTCCGATTTCTCCTCGACCTTGTCTTCCTCGTTCCTAAACGGGTTATTAGCGAGGAAAGGATTGTGACCTTGGAAGGGATTCGTGTTATTTTCCGCGATGTACGTGGCGAACGGATTCGAATTGTTCGTCGACGTGCTCGACTCGGTATCGCTCATCTGCGAATCGGTGCTCAACAAACTCAACGGTTGTTTCTCGTGTAACATGACCTTCTCTAATTTGCCGTTGTCGTTGTGACCGAAAAACGTGACGGTGACTGGTGTCGCGCACCGCTTTTGATCGTTCAGCTCGTTATCGAGTTTGGGGGATTTGAGGATGGGGGCGGTACTGGCGGGACCGGTTACTGACAGTGTTAATTTATCGCCACCCTGTTATTGGTTAGGGGTTGGGGGTGGGGTGAAAGCGAGAGAAAATAAAAAAACCGGGCATTAGAAGCAGACAACACACAAGCGGTATATACAAATACTTGTTTGTGGTACGGTGGATAAAGTCGCTTTATCCACACGTGTCACACAATTTTCTCCAATAGCTACTTTTAAAAACAGTTTCAATTTAAATACGAAAAGTTCAATTTTCAACAGCATCTGTATAGGTATTGAAAATAATAATTTTATTAGTATTTATAAAAATGACTGAATATGTTACAAGTAGTTTTAAACTCATCACCTGAATATAGTTGTGCTAATGGAAGTCTTAAATTTTTGGGTGTCAAGTGTTGCTTTAGAACGTGACATTACCAACACATTGTGAACTTTAAAAGTAGTATTGGAAAAAAATAATTTTGTAATGGGATTGTACTCACCACGGACACAAAAGTTGCTGCATTTAGAGAGTTTAGGTTTGCTTCGTCGTTGTTGGCAGCTGCTACAAACATCTGGTTTGTGAGTTTTGTAACTACTGAAGAACCTAACTCTTCTTCGAGTTTTGCTGTAAAAACATCGATATTAGTAATCACTCATTTTTTGAAGATGTAAAATTAATTTCACTCTACACACACGTAAGCTAAACATCATATAAGCTCATAAATCAGAGAAATCTATTTCATTGTCCCACACGCAAGTTAAAATAAAGCAACACAAAAACATAAGCTTTGGTATTTATAAGCCAACATATTTACAATCAAAATAAACAATTTTGTGAATAGAGCTGAAAGAAAAATACACATTGTAAGATTTCAGAGTTGGTTTTGCATTTTCTAAAATACATTTCCAAATTTTCTTGTATAATTTTGATATCTTGTGTTAATTTATAAAATCAAATTGTAGGTGGGGCCGAGTAGTCCAATTTTGACTGGCCTTTTACATCTACATACACTATACATCTAAAATTTCATGACAATCAGTCCAGTAGTTTCAACAATTATCTATCTAATAAAAGCAGCATACACACAACAGACGGAGACGGGGACTCAATATTTATATTGTATGAAATATAAGAATACTCATCACATCTTTTTATCTGTCATACTCTCCACGTTACATTCAGGAAACAAAAAGCAACAATTAGTATCATAACTCACTTTTAAAATATGAAAGGCTCTGGTAGTTAGATTACCATATTTATATTAATCCATTCAGTCTTGTATTGGATTTTAGAATATTCTCACTCATGATTGATCTTTTTGTAGCGTTTTCAATTTTTCAGTACAGAAAACACAAAAGGGTCGAATTCTTAGTTCATATGACTGATGTTGGCACGTGTGTGTAAAAATAAAATTAACATTACTGTACGTTCAGCTTATTAGTTAAATGTACACATTAAGGCAAAAATAGTGCACAGTTTCGCACGTCAATCCTAAAATATTTCAAATTCCAAATAATAACAACGTTTTTAAAAAATCGAAATCATTCCTACCTTTCAGTATATTACACTTGATTTGCCCAGGCGGCAGCGGCTTGGCCATATTCAAGTGTTTCGTTATATTATTTGGAATTTCTGCAGGAAGCGCCTTCACCTCGTCCTCCTTCCGATCCCTGCTGATCTCATTCCTCGCTTCGTCTCTCTGTATCCCACTGAACGCTTCCTTCGCCAAACTCTTCAGGAGAAAATCGAGCTGACTGTCTGTATTCGAAGGTGTTGGACTTGTCGGCGTCGTCGGTTTCCGTTTCAAAGTTCCATTCTTGCTACCAGTCGATAACACCGGACTAAAATCACAGTTTAGCCAACTTCACGTAAAAAATAACCGTGTTTACCTGTAGGAGGAACTACAGCCCACTGATCCCTTCCCGAATGAATTCTGCCCTATTGAACCTTTCCCGAAGCTACTCTGACTGACCAACCCTAGAGATTCTGGTCCCGTGTTCGTAGGTGTTGATGGTTTGATTACTTCGTCGTTAACTTTGCAATACAAAGGATCTGCTTCTGTGGTCGTCGTTCCACTGGATTTATTCGAGCGCTCGCTGCATCTACTCGAACTTGGTTGTATGGGTTCTACTTTTTCGATTACGTTTGCTGCTTCTTGTGTTTTTTGTCTTTCTCGTAAAACGTGGCTTTGTCGTCTTCCGTATCTAAAAAAAAGGTCGCAAAATTAATATCTTTGTATCAAAGGGTAAGAAAAAGCACGATCTGTTACAAACGTAATCTTTGGAATGTCAAATATTAATAAATTTTGAATTTCTGGACTGTCATCTAACTTTAAGGGTGCCCAGTAGCAGACCGAAAATGAGCTAAATAGAATTTCATTGTACGGGCGTAATTTCAACTTTGAAAAGAAGATCGACATTTCAATTGATAGATTATGTCTAGATCTCTGGGGAAGACACAATATTTTTTAAAAGAAGTGATTGTTTAGTGTTTAATAAATCGTTCATTCTTCGAATGAAATTGCATTTTTAGACGAGGAGAGAGCATTTTTTGTTTCAACTTTTATACCAGTGCAAAGACAACATTGAGCTCTATGGGGAAGACCCGGTCATTTTTGTTTAAAATTTATATTTATCTAAATATTTACTTTTTAAAAAAATACTGAATAATAAAAATAAAGTGAAACTAGGCAACCCTATTTACAAAGATCCGTTTCTATAAATGGTTGAGTTTTACATAGCAGGGAGCCTTACCGACCGACCCTTTCAGATAATCAGTTCAGGTACTTTAGGTCATAAAACTCATAAATACTCTTAGCTGACCAACATTGTTGTTTTACAAGTCGACTTCTTTCCTTGCTAACATAATTTGATTAAAAGTATGCAAATTTTTATAATTTTATACATTCTACTAAAATATTTTCTTTAGAAAAAATTATTCAAATATTTTTTATTAATCTGTCATTTTATATATTAATCAATACACAAAACTGACAAGATTTAGATTCTCATCACTTCACTAACCACTTACTGACCTGAACAATCATATTTATTTAAATTTAATTTTTTGATACTCTTTTCCGCACCACCTGTGAGGTAGAGTATTATAGGCACGTGTTTTACGCGATATCTCCAGTAAACCTATTCCAATATTACTATTTATTCCTGTGTGTGTTTATACTAGAAGGGCAAAAGATTTATATGAACTACACATGACGCGAATGCAAATAAAAAATGTTAACTGTACAATTTTTTTTTTACAATTTGTCTAATGGGTTGACTTGTTTAATAACGAGAATCTACTCTCTCCGGAAGTAAGGTATATATAACATTTTTCTAGGGCTCTATCATATTATTTTCCCAAAATTTATCATCTCCTTGAATTAAGCATTATTTAAATTGGACATTTTATATATTTCTACGATAGCGTTTTTGTTTATTAAGCCGTCTGGCGATGCCGCTAAAAATGTACAAACCGCATTGTCTTACTGTTAGTTTGGTGTTACTGCAAAATGCTTCAGTTGCCCTTGCTTCATTTTCTATGCAAAGATTTTGGGAGAGTACATGCTGAACTAGATTTGCAGGGATGTAAAATGTTTTTCACAGTACAGTAGGATTAGCCGTGTTACTTGTTCTATCATTTTGCAAATTTTACCAAAATAGCGTTCGGTTAGTCTAAAGGATTTTTCTGCACACCATTCTGGATTATTGCGTTCGCCAATTGTGTTTTGTTCGATTAAAAATACATCGACGTTTGAAAGTTTTTTGAGAAATACTTTTTGCGCTGTGACATATCAGGTATTTCAATTGTCTCGTTAGACACATCGTCGCCCGAGAACTTGTACGATCCACAGATCGGAGAGCGCTCAGCCCAATGTCGACTCTATAAGCCTCCAGAAATTCTGCGGGAAATAGTTATTATTTAGATGCTTTTGTTTACACACATCTCACATGTTTCACTCGATTTTGACATGCAACTATTTTTTTGTTTAACTAAGAATTAATTCTTTCATTGCGTTTGATACTAACGTCCTAAATTAGCAATACTAGTGGAACAGTAAGCATGCAATAGATTTTTTTGGGAAAGTACAGTTATTTTTATGTTTTAGCAGCAATGTGTTCTATTTTCTATTAATTTTTACATATTTTTAGTCACAATTTTGGTAGTTATTTTTTACTTTTATTTTTAGCAATAATAAATAGTCCAAATATGAAAAAATCAAAAAAATAAAAATTGGAAAATCTAAAATTTAGAAATCCAGAAATTGAACAATCCTTATAATAGAAAAATCGAAACATCGAAAAACTGGAAAATCGAAATATAAAAAAAAAACGGAAAATCAGAAATTTAATAAATTGCGAAAATTGAAAAACTGAAATATGCATAAAAGAAGTGAAAACTCGAGAAATCGAAAAATCTAGAATTTTAAAAATTGAAAAATTAAAATATCGAAAAGTTGAAAAATTGCGAAATCGTATCATTGAAACATCGGACAATTGAGAAATCGAAAAATAAAAAAATGAAGAAATCGAAAATTTGAAGAATGGAAAAATTGAAGAATGGAAAAATTGAAAATGTCAAAAATTGAAATATTGAAAAATTGAAACATCAAAAGTTGAAAAATCGAAAAACTGAAAAGCCGAAAAACCTCAATAATGTATTTATAAACCACAAGTTCAGGATTATGCTACTAAAAAATTGATAACGTCATCTCAAAATTTTGCCGAATACATTCTACTAAAAATGTGCAAAATATGATGAGTTTTTATTGTAATTTATCATTGCATTCATATTTTTTAGATTTGCTTATATACCTGGGTGGCTCAAAAAAATTAATGAATGAGTCTATTTACTGTATTGATTAAATCAGGAACGACTCACTCCACTTTCCCAGAAATTTTGGGAATACTGTTATTTTTACTCTAATCCAGATTGATTTACGTGTCCTTGCAAAATGTTGATGATTTCATCACAAAATTGTGTGCCTAAAGTAAAAATTTAACTCGAAAATGCTGAATATGTTTCATTGTATTTTAGGTGCGAGGGAAGTTCTGTCGAAACAACTTTCCACCAATTTTTTTTGCTGTTATATTTGAACATAAACAGTTTATTTTATATATTTTTAAAACGTTATAAAGAAAATAAAAAGTTGTATTAGACTGAACCTTGTGGGTTTCTCAATCTATTTTCCGCAGCATTTTAAACTTTCAAATCAATTTCTTTCAAAATACATACAAATGGATTTCGATGGTTATTTCCCTGTACCCTTCATTTGAAAATAAATAAGCTTATCTGGTGTTGTTTACCGATTTGCATTTTATGACGGACTCCCTACAGTGACCATAATCTCTCGTGTTTTTGGGTCGGTACGTGCGATGGGTGGGTGCTTTGGGTTGCATAGTTACAAAAAATAATTATTCTCACTGGAACCGATTTTGCGGGCGACGACTGGGGACCCTTAACGATATTTTTTAATACCAGCAAAACCGTGTTAAAAGGTATATCATACAGTCCCTTCACGACAGTTTACCGAAACATCAACCAGTAAAATTTAGCGCGTTCTTCTCGAGGCGAAGCCGAGTTACAAAATACTGGTGGAAGACCCAAAATGTACAATACTTTTTCGGATATACATATAAAGACAACATAGTATCAAGACAAATAAAAATGAATGGAATTTAAATTATTATAATTATCAGACAAGTGGTCAACAGGTCAAACCCACTTACAGACCAATTGTGAGTACAAAAGAAATAGAGCGAAGACACGTATCATGAAATACGAGACAAATGAAAATTAAATTTCATACAATTGTAGAAAAAGAGAAATATACAAAAAGTAAGCGAATGTGGTTGAAAATGAGAGAAATTAGTCTTCTAACCGCAAAACAGTTTTAATTACACTTGATAGAATAAAAATACTTTGAAAAGGACACCTCAGTACACATAAAAGCGTCCGGATAGGGCCACTAGCGAATTTAGGGGTACCGTCACCCCCAGCGACATTCCTCATTGTTTTGTGATTTGCCACAAAGAATCTAATTGCAAAAATGTATTCTTTTTAGGGTACTATTAAATTTGGTAATTTCAAAAAAAAAAACAACTTTCGTTTGTGTCTCATTTTCTGCATCTATTGTTAATTAACTTTCATTGTATTATTTTTTGTATTTCGACTTCAAACGATAATGTTAAATAAACGTTTTCATTTGAGTCATTTTTTAAAATATCACCAGTTCTTCGGGCAGATTTTTTATTAAAAGTTACCGAAAGCATTACGAAAACGAGAAATATTTATATATCTCTAGTACAAAATATGCTCTAGAAGTTGGCGTTTTTGTCACTAGGTACAACCCGATAAATTTAATTCTTTCATTTCTTTTTGAATTTATTTATTTTTCAACTGAAATTGATTTGTAAGCATTTTAGATCATTATAATCGCCATTAAACGATCTATCAAAATCCGTTAAAAAAATTACATTACAACTTAAAAAATATAGGTATACGTCGCAACATCGACGCCATATATGCGTCATATTTGCAGTGTACTAAACTAAGCCTTCCCTTTCAAGCTAAACACAATGGCGTTTACGGAATTTCATTATCTCTATCCGTTTAGTTATTAGGCCGCGGATTTTTAACTGCGACACTAATTATATCTAAAAAACTAACGCTAACATATGTTCAAAATATATTTGTATCTGATTATTTTAGTAGTGTGGTGACCGAATTAGAATTAAAATTTCGCGCTGAAAAAAATTGACAGCGTCGCGAAATCACATTTGAATAATTTGAATTTCAAAAAAAATTCAATAGGTGCACATTAACGCTTTTTGGGTAGTAGGTAGTTCTGCTTGGAATTTTAGTTAGAAGCTGGATAGAAGAGGGCGGCTTGGTAGAGAGGTGAGAGGCTGCACTGTGTGTTGTGTGGTGTGAGTGAAAACCACGTGGTGAGTTAGTTAGGTTAAGTTGAGTTGGTTTGGTAGTTAATAAAAGGAAGCCTTTGCTTAACGACAATTAATCGTAACGAAGACGACGCCACAGTTTCCCCAACACGCATAGCTAATTCTTGCGGCTTTCTAATCGGAAAAATGCAAATTTTCGGCTGACGCTAACACGTGCTGTAAATTTCTTTTATTCTTTGTAAATGCACCATTCATGTTAGGAATTTAATCGTTAACTGGTTCTAACACAATTTAACAATCAGGAGTTTGTTTAGATAAACACTTGTTAGGAGATTTCATGAAATTCACTTAGTCAAGATAACACCCTTTATTTACAAAGTTACGAATAAGTTTCCGAATGCTTATACTTAAGTGTTACATTATAACACTTCTTAATTCCTCACGCACGATTGCTGATAGTTCATTTACGGCAGCTAAATCAATGTAACGTTATCCCACTCTGGAAAAAGACCGTGAAAGTACGGTAATATAATAATTCATAATATCGTGAACTGAGGTACTGGGAGATAATAAATTTTTCCCTTTAGACAGTTTCCGAAATGAAAATTTTCCCTTATCCCTCAAGTATAGTCCAACAAATCCAGCTTCGAAAAACTATAAAATTTGATTTTACGAAATTTTGTTGATTATGATAATCCCCCAAGTTAAAAACACATCCAGTGGCGGCCAAAAGAAAGTATTGCACCTATTGAATGGATTTTTTCAATAAATTTAATTATGTAAACTGGACTCAAATAGGTATCCATTAACAATGACATTTAAAAATCGATACGAATTTGACAGTTACACTAGGGAAAGAAAAGTGTCCTACTTTATTTTCAGTGTAGGAAAAAAAGTCCCCAATGAGATCGAACCGAGGACATCCGCGTGTTCTGCTTTATTAGTACAGCTCGCTCGTCACTACGCCATCCAACCGTTTAACTTGCTCTTATACTTCTATAAAATGTTATTACACAATTTGGATTTTTTTGGATGCCTTGGGTAAAGTCTCAAAGCGGATTCATAAACCACATGTACCGTACATGCATATGTTATTTTATAAAATTTCAATGGCATTTACCAAACAAAATTTTGAGGTAACATCATCAAGTTTTTGGAGTAGATGAAGATAAATTTTTATTAGTTTTTTACCACAGTTACGAACATTTTGAAACGTTTTGCAAAATTTTAAAACAATCGGTTTTGAAGTTTCAAACAAAATCGTACAATGTTTTACACAATTTTAGGTATTTTTAAATGTAGATGTATAAGGTGAAAAATAAAAGTAGATTCATAAACCACGGATATAAAGGCGGAGTTACAACATCTCATTAATTATTACAAATAAAAAAAAGTTAAAGACGAAAGTTGGTCGGTTTCTTTCAGCTATACAGAGTGTCTGTTTTTAAGGCATAACACACAAATTAGTTTTTTCAAACAGTACATTCTCTAAAAAATAATTTGAATAGTACTACTCAAATAATCGTACTCTAGTCTTGAACTCTGTTATTTTATAAAACTTACATAGTATGTACTTGGTAAATTTTAGATGTCCTGAAATTGTTGATTGATACTCTTAAATATGTCCAAAATTTCATATTAATTAGACCACTAGTTTCGGTGATTCTTTTATAATGAGAAATGGAAACACGACACCTACTTTTTCATATTCTAGAAGTAATGAAACGTCGAGAAAACATGAAATTAACCGTTCGCCGGATGGACCTATTATAAAATTTAGATTCCCAGATGACGTTATCAAATTGTTGAAAGGGGTGAACAAACAAAATTTAGTAAGAATTTTTAACCATTTATATGACTGTCTAAAAGTACATCCAAAAGTACACTCACGGATTACAAAGAGCCACCACCTCGACACCCAAACTCACCTCTGACTCGGCCTCCTCTCCAGCTGCACACTCCTCCTCGGCTTGTTATGGTGCGTGCTCTGATACTCCGTCCTCCCCGAGTACCTGAAGCGCGATCCCATCCTGAAGAAATTCTGCCTGGCCGACGGCCCCTTCACCGGCGCCCTCAACCGGAAAAAGGCGTGATGTTCGATCGCGCACTTCCATAAATGTTTACAAGCCTTCTCGTTGTGTAAGCGGAACACGAAAGTGTGTTCCTGTTCGCGACCCTGATCGTCGTCTTCCACCACGACCAGCGTCAGTTTCTTCTTTTTGAAGTTGAGCTTGCCGATCTTCGGCCAGAAGAAGAGCCCGATCTTTTGGATGCCCTCGAAGACGAGGATGCCGGTGGGGGTCAGGCCGAGGCGGTACTCCATGCCGTCCTTACCGAGGACTGTGTGCATGTCGACTCCGTACATTTCCAGCCACTTGGCTTTGTTTAAGTAGCTGAGTTCGGCTTGGGCGGGGGTGAGGCCGCGAAGTTTTTTAAACTCTTCGAGGATTTCGATCTCCATCTCCTCCGTCTGGTCGGGGACGAAGCGGAACTCGGAGACGGTGGCGGCGGTGTGCTGAGATTCATCGTAGTCGCCTAATTCGGCTAAACGCGGAAAAAAAAATAATTTTATAGTTATAATTTATTTTTTAAGCTGTCTTCTGAACTTGAAATATCTACAGCTCACTCAAATTTCACACAGGAAAAACAAAAAAGAAAATAAGAAACAATTATCTTCCCAAATGCGAATTCTAAATTTTGTAAGAGTACGTTCTTTTTACCATTAAGTCCCATTGTTGTATTATCTAAAGTTAATCGCCTAATGCACTTTCTTGGTAAGTTCAATTAAATATTCAAAAAGGAATTTTCCACTTCTTTCAGTTTTTATTTTTTATTATTTTTTACAAATTCAACCTGTTAGCTTTTGTTTTACTATCTGCTTATTGTTTTAAAATTACCCACCTTGAATAATTGAAAAGTCTGATCCAAATTCATTTGGAACGCTCCAATTTACCAGATTTTAAAGAGAAACTAATTAAAATATTTTTTCCACATGTACAACATGATACCTTTTAACCATTAACCAAGAGTTTACTCTCTTTTATATTTACAATCTATATAGCGAAAAATATTAAAAAAAGGTAAAATAATTCAGTGTCAACGTCGGAATTTCTAAAATACATTGGTTGTAAAGTTGTATGAAAAAGCCAATCAAAATACTATGTATGTAAAAACATATCGGGTGTTTCATTTAAAAAAACCAAGTTGTGTGTGAGGCCTTACAAACAGAACACTCTGTATAGTTAAAAATAATATCAAAGAACACGCGTAGACTTTAGAGGTTTTGCTCTTTTGCAATAGACTTTTGAAAATACAAAATATTTAAAAAAAAAAATCACTACGTTACCTACAATGTAGTGTACAAGGTCATAGTTACCACAATATGGGAAAATTAGAAGGCCTGCTTGTGACACAGTCGATAAAATAAATTTCTATGAGGAAATGAATACATCACTGGCATACATAAATTTCGGTAGTTTAACAAAATTGCGGAGAATTCTAAAGATATGTGTGAAGGTTAAGGATTACTTTTCCGGAGATGCACATAAATTGTAGTTGCAGTTTTACTACTTTGACGGCAATTTTAAAATACACCCACACCTGCTTATTCTAGAAGGTATTCAACAGCCAAAGCATGAAATCAAACATTCAACAAAATAGCTATTACACTACTTCCTGTAATAGTCAGTGGGGAAATATCGCACGTCGATATTTTATGGCCAACTTAAATTAATCTTACTTTATGAATAGTTTAAAATTTGATCAAACTATAAAACCTAACCTTGTATAGTATAAAATATAAATAATTTGCAAAAAATTATAAATACTAGATTTCAAAAAAAGAACCATTAATTAATTGGATTCTGCATGATACCTAAGAAAAATATCTGTAATACAGCCATGTCAACAACGCCTTATTTCATGGTTTCTGGCCATTGCATTTCTAACAGAATACGAAATTGTAGGTTTCCTATTTCCCATTAGTTTGAAATTTAAGATATATGTATTTGAGGATTATCGTGAATGTGAAAAAACGCCAACTAAAAGAAAATTTTATTATCAATTTAACGCTTCTCACGATTTCAGAGCCAATTAAGATTTCTTTGCACCATTTTATTTAATTGTATGTTAATTACGCTACGTCTGATGTTATATGTATAGCATTTAAAAAAAATTGGTCTAAAGTCGCCCCTGAAAGACAATCAAACAACTCCAGTTTCTTATAGATAAATTATAGCATTAGATCCTGCGAATTTATTAATTGTTTTATGATATCCTCAGGAAAATGAGGTAAGCCGTTTTTGATTTAATCAATAAAATAAATTGCTACCTTCAATATTTTTTGAGACACCTGTACAACTATTAAAAAAATGAATTCGTTGATAAACCAAAAGTGTAACCTCATAATATTTTGCCTTTTAGATAGGATTTATATAGCAAAATTTTGAGATGATGTTATAAAGTTTTTGGAGAGGATAAACAGACAAATTTTAATTAGCGAGTTATCGAGTTCACGATAATTTTAAAACCTTCTCATGATTTCTACGAAGGGCCGTTTTATAGTTTCTAGGCTAAACTGTAAAATGCCATTCATTTTTTCCTTAAAAATTTGGATCTCCAAGGTAATAAATCACAATAAAGAAGCACATTTTATAACATTTTAGTGGAGATAATGAAACAAATTTTGATTGGCATTTTCCATCTATCCAGTACACCTAAAATATTCTTACAATTAGTTAAGTAGTTTTTTCCAAATGCTTTAATAGAAGTCGTAAATCTAGGGCAGTTTTTATGGAAAAGGTAAAAATTTACTAAAAAAGTAACATACCACATGATCGAAAAAAAATCCTCTAGTAGCCCGTACGATTTATTTTTAAAACAATTATGTTGGCAACACCAAAGCGTTCCTTGTTCAGTTTCACAGTTACGGTCAAATAACTGTCAACTAAAGGATTAAAAATGGCTGCAATGCCAACATCATTATATATATTTTTTTCCAACATATAGTATATTCTTGCAGTTTGCAATCAAACTTCTTTTGGGTGAATTCACAGAGTTTACTTTCAAATTGGATACTTTAAGGAAAGAATCATGTTAGGGAAGTGATGCGTAACAAATAACAAATTCATGTAAACACTTTAAGACCACTTCGTCCAAACAGTTCTACTAACGGAAATTAGTAAATGCACTCTTATGGAAGAAAAAAACATTGTCAAATGTAACTTTCTTACGGCCTTCAAAAGAACTAAACTAGCAAAAAGTAACTTTTCCGCCTCAGATTTGACTAATAATGGTTTTACTAATTTGGAAAAATCACTCGGTAATTATTTCTGTATTTATCCAGGTCGTATCTTCCCTTACCACTAGGTTAATATTGGGTTGGGAAACCTCACTCTGATTTTTCAAAATATCAAAAAAAAAAAAAACTAAACCAAAATTTGGCATTAATATTTATTTCTTGATTATACTTTATGTATCTCATCATTTCTAGAGTATGTAATACAATTTGAAAAAAACAGAATTAATAATAAAGGTCAATAAAACCCAATTTGTTCTTAAAAACTGATCTTTTATATTCAGTGTAGTTTAATGCAATTTATTCACATGAAACTGTCTTTAGCAAACAATGAATTACACGGTTGAGCGCAACCCGTTTTATCATTATCGCCTACTATCATAATGGGGTTTTTAAAAACGCGTTATGAAAATACTGTTATGGCCTGAATGAACGAATTCCTCGCAAAATTTCTCCATGTCAAAAGATTGTGAAGAAAATTTTAACCCACTACGTCAATTCACAAAATTACAGAATATGACGTACTGAAAACCTTGGAAGCACCTTTAAATCCACTAAAAGTAGGGGTGTGGTTAACCGTCTCTTGTCGGCCTGTAATTGGTCCAATTTTCTGCCACGAAACGGTTACTGCTCGAATGTACAGGAAACATGTTTTAGTTGTGTTCATTATCCCTTCTGCGTGATGAAAAATTAATCGCAGGGTGTTTCTCGCAGGATGGGGCCACAGCTCATACTGCGCATGAAACAATAGAATGCCTTCAATAATATTTTCTTAACTGAGTCATAAGCATGGCAAAGGTAATTTGGCCAGCTCGGTAGCCAGATTTAACCTCTTTAAACAATTCCTGTTTTGGGTACATCAAAAACAGAGTCGAAAATTTAAATCAGTTAAAAGTGAAAAACGAGAAATTCCTGTGCTAATGTGGGTCAAGAAATACTGCAGACTATTTTTGAAAAGAAGAAAAAGCGTGAGGATGTGCTTGTAGTAAAATGGGGGCCACAATATTATTATTTGTGTTATTTTTACATCATAATAAATTATTTGGTAAAAAAACGAAGTGGAAAATTTTTATCAAAAATACAGTCACAGATTTTCCAAAACAACTAGAGCACAAACATTTAAACTGACACATAAAATTGAGTTATCGTCTAATTTTTTTTTTTTTATTTAAAAATTCAAAACTGTTTTAACTGAGTTTGAAATTTAAAGAAAATCTGCCATCTTAAATACACCTATATGCGTATGTGGTATTATTAAGTAAATAAACAATAAAATTTCAAATAAGACCAACTTCTTAAAGTCATAAAAAAGTAAATGCAATGATTTTCAAATTATTTCAAGATTTTTTAGTTAGTGGTACAGTTTTAATTACTTCCTCAATGCAAAAACAACTAAACCAACACAACACAAATACATCGTCACGTATAGGATGAAATTTTCACTGATTTACACATTAAACTAGTTTTGCTTGAAACGCAAAAATTTGTTGTTATTATTATAAAAACTTTCTATGAATTATCATAAGCGGACGTAGGACAACAATTAGCTCATAATCAATGTGATTAGTAATAATTGTTTACCTACATAACCTGGCGACTGACCAAGTTATTAAAATTGCGCCGTTTGTATCTAACACATGACTAGAAAACGAGAATGTGTGGTGAAATCGTTTTAAAAGCATTATTTATTGCATGGTTTATTCTCTCCCATAAAAATTCATTGAAGCAAATTATATTAGTATCTAGGTATCAAGTTCAATGATAACAAACAAGTTTTTATGGAAATACTTCGATGCTTTCACTTAGCATTTTTGCATTAAAAAAAATGGATCAAGTCATATCACCACAGGCATTATACAACAATAACACACGTGAATAAATAATCGGAAGTCGGAATAAAAAAACAATAATTATTTGCACAATAATTTGACTGTCATGGACAACAAGGAAGTATCTGCAATTTGTGAGCATTCTAAATGTTTCTATGTAACTCAAATACTTATATACTACTTAATTCTCCAATTTTATAATTTTCCAAGACTTTGTAGTTTATTTTGCTTCGTTTGGCTATAAAAACTGTGCAAAACTTTTCGTGTGAATTTTTGCAGTATCACAAGATGTAAAAAGAACAGATTACGAAACTGATGACGTCATAATTCTGATAAAATTCATCAAAATAACTTTCGGCCTGCTAAATACAACCCAATTGACAAATGGTTAAACCTATTTAACCGTTTCCTCAAATTATGACTGACTTCTAATATAATCCTTTCTAGACTTAAGTTAACACTTCATTTACATTTATACCAGACACACAAAGTACAAATTATAAATGAACACTGCCTTCCAATAAGTCCTTGAACTTATTAGTATTCAAAGTTCGTTTATCGGTAAAATGAGTAACTAAACCGGAAACAACGCCCGTATTTTTTATATATAGTTATATCACCAATAACCAGACCTTGTAGATAGTGCAAGTGTGTTAATGTTATTTAAATCAACTAGCATTAAAATATGTAGCGTGTTTCTCCTCAACTAACATCCAAAAATTCCCAGGAATGATTTTTTTTAATTCAATAAAAATTTTGATGCATCCCATTACATACATGTATAAAAAAAACAATGTTTTTTATACAAGTAGTAGTTTTGAAGCATATTTGAACCACCAGTTGAAACAAAACACCAATGTGTGGATATATTAAAGCTCAATGTACACTACACCACAAAACGTGACTTACACTGTAGCGCTAAAGCTGCCAATTCAATATCCGTAGGGTGGGGGCATTCCAATTTACCCTCTAAAATATCTGCCTTCAGTTGCAAAAAAAACTGATACCGCGTTAACTCTTCTCTTAAATTATTAGGTTCAGATGAGTAGAATTTCACTTTGAGCCTTAAAGTATAAGGGGGGCCAACTAAAACCCAACACTCGTTAAAATCTAGCAACCTTCTATTTGACACCCCATACTTTTTATTTGCTTCTTGATGGACTTAGTGGGGTCCAACCAATGCTTCACGTGGTTCACATCCGTGAACTGCAGTCCGAAGTAATCTTTCTCAATCAAATCCAGGGAGTAGAAGACCTGCTCATACAAATCCCTGGCTTCGGCCTTCTTCTGCAAATAACCTTATATTTAACGGCATTCACGTGAGAATTAGAAAGTTCAGATCTAATCAACACTTCCCAGTATTGTTGTGTGAATTTAGGGCATGGGGGAGGACATTAATTTGACACGGACTGTACTAAATACGCCCACACACGCATTTCGAAAAAGGATATTTTACTTACTGATAATTCCACGGACAGGTCAGTGCCATCTAAAAGAATCACTCTGCATTGAATTAGGTTCTTGTTTGTTATTTTCGTGGGTTTTATTTCGGTCCCGTTTGTGCGGGTGTTCGTTCGATTTTTTCGGCCACTCAAAAAACGGAACATTTCACTGGAAGGTTTGTACTTTCAGGCACTTTGGGAAGGTTTTCACTATTTTTTATAAGACATAGGTTATACTTAACCGGTAATTAAAATAATTCATTAAATAACAACAAAAACACTTTCGTTGACGGTTTACAGGCACGCACTAAATAGCCGCCATTACAGCCTTCGTTGACTTGCCATTGTCACCTGTCAAAAAAGCACAGCCACCTTTCCACAGGTTGCAACGAAACAAGAAATATTGCGATTCACTAGTGCGAGGAAGATAGCGCAATATTCTAACCAATGATGTAAACAAAATAGATGACTCAATTTTTAAATAAATAAAGTAAATAACAATAGTGGTTAGAATTTTCTTCAGACTTCTTATAAAAATGACATTTTAATGTTGCACCTTTTATTTCGTAGTCTTGTACCGAAGGACTTGCTTGTCAGTTACATGTTTGCTAAAAACTCAAATATGAGGCACCTAGTGGCACTTTCGTAATTTTTTGAGAATGACGTCAGTATTGTAGTCATCAGTTTCGACTCATTCATCTTACTTAATATTTGTTTTATTTATTCACAATAACAGCTTCCAAATTAACAACAAACTAACTGTTTACACAACAATCAACCTAGACCTTGTGCTTATATTTATGGTACAAAAACCACTGAAGCCCAAACATGAAGTTCATTGGACTGTTCACATTACTTGCATTAGCATACTCCAACACTTTCTCCACTGGCATTTCCATCACTTCAATAAGCTCATCATCCACACCTCCTCCCTTTGAGACCCTCATGTCGTCAGTAACCTCGCAATAAAACATCGTAGTCCTCGCCCCTGTTGTCTCTGTCAAATTCTTATAAGTACAAACTTTCTCTAGTTTCTCCAAAGGGACATCATAACCGCACTCTTCTAATATTTCCTCTCGTGCTATTTGTTCCGTAGCTACATTTTTATCTTCCAGTCCAGCACAAAATTCAAGCGTTATCCCCAATTTTGGGGGGTACTTTTCAGTATCAATGATTCCTTTTCGGTCTTGTTCTGGAATGCAACCCAGGTAAGCAGCTGCTCGAAATTGTTTAACTAAAGTTAATACATTTTGGGTTTTGTTGTACACGATAATGAGGACCCCGTTGCGTTCAGCAAAAATGCCGCGTTCAATGGTTTTGCCATTTTGGGTGTACTGCATCGTACAGGGAGTTGTGTAGATCGTTGGAATGTAGTCTGTTAAGTAAATGTTGGATATGTTTTCCATTTTAAGGGAAAAGAGTTTCAAATATAATAAAATATGCACTGCAAAAAAATGTGAGGTTATGTTAATTTCGATGATAAAATCAGATAACTGTTCACCTGTTGAATGATTTTTTATCTAATTTAACCGTGGTTGTGCTGTATTATCACTACGTTATCGTTTATAACAACAACATGAAAATTCATTGATAATGAAGTAATGATCAATAACAATCAGTGGCGTTTCTATGCAGAGTTCCATGGGGAGTGGATACATTTTTTGAAATACATTTTATTCGTTTGCTATAACAGTATTTTTTGGTAAATTGTTACTCTAGCGAAATTTTATTTTTCAAGTAAGTTGAAAACACGCAAGAGTGTAAAGTTTAGTCCATAGTTTTAGAAAAAAAACAAGGCAGGGCCGTTCGTGTCGAGTCTGCGCAAAACTTGACACTTTTGAGATAGTAACTGCGCATACGTCATTAATTTAGTCACTTATCGCGTAGCTGTAGAGGGAACTTCAAAATCTTAACACTGATTTGGGCAAGTACTGAATTTATTAGCTCACAATCAAACTACTACAAACCTAATAAAAGGTGCGACAATGAATAGTTACGTAAGTAAACGATCTGATACTTAATACATATATTTTATTTTAAATAACACTATAAATGGGAATGATAATAGATAATCATACTAAAGTAGATTCCGGTGGGTGTTTAAGGAAACTTAATTTAAACGTGTCTGAAAAGGTTATATACACTGTACTTTTGCCCGGTACATATCAGTTATGTACATTCTAACAAAATCACCCACCTCAAAGTAAATATAACAAAAAAGTTACTCATAAAATACTAACATTTACAATGGACGTTAAATAAAAAAAATCATGTAGTACGATAATGATCAATAAACCAACAAAATCAACTTGTACGAACTAGCTGATCATTTTTAAAGCCTCTACAAACCGGCTAAAATAAGTTAACACAATCAACAGTTTTTATCTGGGTTAATGTTAGTTTGCGTAAATCGTTTCTTTTAAATTGTCAACAACTTCGGCTACACTGTACAACTTTACAGTGACTATTTACCGCGACACCAAACGAAAAGAAATTCTAATTCGTAAAGTTAATGGCTGTTGTTTGAACAAAACTTACTCATTATTTTATATATTACATAACATTAAATTCATTTATAGACTTTGCGATTAAAATAAAAAAAGATTTTTATAATTAGCGTCAGTTGAACCGTTTCCTTTTCTAAACTTGTAATTAGTATAACGCTGGCTAATTTTCTCCTTATATTACATGCCTGGGTAGGCACCGTACGGCATTTGTGGGGCGTAGCCCGGCTGGGCGTATGCCTGAGGCGGGACGTACGGCTGAGGGGGAATTCCTACAACAAAATTACACATGAAACACGAACATAACCTCACAACATCACCGAGTTGCGCACAGCATAAATCAACATAACCTCAAAAAAAAACTAACTAACCCATTCCGGGTCCCGCCGTCAGCATCAACTGTGGTTCGTTGATCATCATTGGCTTGTGTGTTTCTTCTGCAGCTTCACTTTGCCTTTGTGCATCTGATTGTTCAAGTTTTTCTACCTTCGTAGTCAGTTCTCTCGTTACTTGTATCAAGTACGGCATTGCTAGATCCATTATTCTATGTTTCCAGGCCAGTTCCAAAATTACGTCAGGCCTTAGTAAATCGTAACACTGAAATGCGATTATTATGAAGCGACTTATATACTTTGGGGCGATTTTTGTATACCTGGTATAAGCATGCTGAGAAGCAATCATAGGCCTTTCGTTCCAAGAACCAAGCCAATAATTCTTCTGCAAGCTCTTGATTTCGGGATTCTGCTGTGTATTCCATGGCGTCCCGGAAGAGACGATCTTTTTTGCATAATTCGACGCTTTGTTTCCATCTGTTGTTGCCTTTGTATAAATATGCTGCAATACGTCTGAATTCTGTGAGTTCGTGTTTTTCTAATCTTTGGGCTAGACCGATATTGTCAAAGTTGTCGAAAGCGTCAATCGATGTTCGCAGGCCCTATAAAGTTTGTTTTTATTTTTTTATTCTGTTTGTATGTATACCACGTAGTTAAAACAATGAAGATACACACCTGGAAGTCTTCTTCCTCGATCAGCAATGAATTCAAAGCTTCATTAATCGCCTTATTGTTCAAATTCTGCACCGACCTTAGATACGACTTAACCAACTGCAAATGTCCCGTCTTTGTAAAGAATGCCACAGACCTCGTGTGGTCCATCCTTGGTGCTAACACCAGCAGCAAATCGTTCAATAACAAGGGCTTGTAATCCAAGTAGAACTGAATCGCCTTGTAGTACAGCTCGATATTCGCCACCTTTAGTAACAACAACAACAATAAAAGACGACAGCCGCACATAAAACTTGGTAACAACAAAGTCAAATTTCTTTTAACCATGACTTACACACAACTTGACAAAATATAGTAGCTGTAGCCACAACACTTCAAGGGTCAAAAAAAGACCTGGACAAGTTCACATAAAAGCACTGCATTTTTGAGTATAGTGATGCAACGAATAGTACCGAGAAAGCATCAAAAAACACGATCAAAAACACCGAATTTGTAGCGAACAAAGACAAACTTTCAAAAACTTATGGCTGTCTTTGATAGTGTTTGTTATTGCTATACAGACCAGATTCGTCGCATCTCTAATATCCATATAAAAATTTAAATCGCGCATACCGTTCGTTGTAATTGTGTATAATCAATTTTTCCAAGAGAAATTAACATTTAATAAATAATATAATACAGACGTCAGGTACCTTCGTGATGATGTCCTTGAAATGTCCCTCGCGCCACGCCTCCGTCGGATGCGCCATCATTGCCAGCACGGCGTTGTCGTACTCCTCGTACTTGTCGTAGAGGAAGACGAGCTCGGCCCAGAGGTGCGCCTGCTCGGCCGCGCGCAGCACCTTGGGGATGTTGACGCGCGACCAGAACAGCTCGAGATGCTCGCGCATCTTCGCCGGCTTATACTTGGAGTAGAGGATGGCGAGTTCAGTGAACATGCCCATGTGGGCGCGCTCGAGACCCAGCGCGGCCTCCAGCAGCCCGATGAGCTCCTCGAAGTAGCCGCGGTCCTGGTAGTAGTTGATGAGATCCTGGAGCTCGTCGGCGTGGACGACGATGTGCATGCCGCACATCTGCGCGAGCCGGAACTCCTCGGCGTCCACGCATGCGAAGCACACTTCTTTCCACGTGCGAGTGCTGTTGGCTTTGCGGGCGCTGTCGACGGCGCCCTGGAAGTAAAGTCAGAAACGTGGAGAATATTTCGAAGAATATAACATAAGTAAATATTTTCAAGATACTTTACAACCACTTTTTTTCATTATTTATTAACTAATAAAAATGAATTGTGTGCCAATGATATTATATTATTTTCTACTACATTTTGATTTTTTTTTTTTATATTTTTCAATATACTGTATTTTGAAGTGACTCTTGTTTAATTTGTGTTTATTCAGAATTAACACAAAAACAAAAAATCACGGAGAAATACCATAGAACAAATATGGATGTTTTTTTCCATTTGATGACAATAACCGTAAAATTTTTAACCAAACATTGTCAAGTTTATTATTGTACACAAATCTAAATGAGTTGAAAAAATTAAAACCTATTGGATAAAGACAATACGCATTAATTTATTACAGTAACTGGAATGATTATGATCAATGACCTGAATTCAATAGCTTCATTAATTTAAAAAATCACAACAATTTTTATCACTCGTGCAACAGTTATAGTAACTACAAATTCTTTTTTGGCAAAATGTTGTAAAACTGCACTAAATGCGACATATGGTTGTTTCTGTTCCTGTCTTCGTCTGATACACTGTATTACCAATATTAATGATATTGTGATATTATTTGGATCTCCTTAACTGTGTAATTTAAAGTGATACCACCAATTTCTGAAATTTATAGCACATGATGTAATATAGTGTTATATTTATAAATTTATAGTAATTTATTCATCTTTTACTACACATTAGAAAAAAAATTACACTTCCCCCGACTTACCTGGAATTCCTTAAGATGCACCAACGTGATAGCCAACCGCGCGAAATTCGAAACATTATTGTACAACAACTTGGCCGCATCGTACATCTTGTCTTCGAAACACCTATCACCGATCTTCTGTATATCAGCATGATTAGGCCCACTGATAAACTCCTCCAAATCGGCCAAGCGTCCCGTCTTCGCGTACGAATAAATCAGCTCCGACTCTATATAACTCTCCCTCGCTTTCTTGCGCGCCATCTGCAAATACCGCACCAGATCCTCCCACGAGTTCGTCTTCGTCCCAGTCTCCACAACCGCCATATACGCAGACGGATCATCAGCCTTAATATAGGAATCAATCGCCTCCTTAACCAAGCCCTGATTAAGCTGGGCTTTCGCCAACTGACTCCACACAGCCGGCTCGTTGCATCGCTCTGCAAACTCGTAAGCGCGATCCAAGTTGTTGACTTGCTCGATCAAAACTTGGATGGCCGACGTGTTGACGTCGAATTTTTTGAAGATGGCGAACGCTTCTTCGTACAAGTGGTTGTTGATAGCGATGTTCGCGATGTCCGGGGCGTCGTAGTTGTCCAAGCGGTTGATGTAGTCCATGACGCGGGTCGCGTCGGCTTTAATCGCTGTCAGAATCAGTAAGTTTTGCAAGTTTCGGTGATCCGAGAAGACGGAGTTGTCTAGGACGATTTTCTCGAGTAATTCGATCAGTTCATTGGGTAGATCTGCAGTCATGAACGCCTTTACGGTCACTGAGATGTCTTCAGGGTCTTGCGTTTCGCTTAACGCCGTCTGGACGACCTGATCGATCAGCTGGCGTCGGTAAGGGTTACTTTCTTGTAGCACCTGTGGACAAAAAACATTTTGTATTTTTTGCTGAAACACATCTACAGTGCAATTTCAATTCTCACCTCCGCCCATAGTTCAGGGTCGCGCCTCCGCACCAGGTACCTCGCCTCCGACTTGAACAGCGAGTTCTCGTTGCAGACGGCGATCAGTTCGCGGTCGCACTGTCCCCTTTCATAGGCCACGCACGCCAGGTGCGGGTCCCGCTTCTCGCAGTACCTGCCCACCACGCGAGAGTCGTACCACTGGTTCTCTTTAAGGAAACGTTCTGCGTTGTTGTTCGAGTCGATGTAGATCTTGGCGAGGGCGTTGTGGGTCGCCGGCTCGACGCAACCCTCGTGGACGCGGCTCTCGAGCCACGGGAGCAGCAGCTTGAGGCGATTGCGCTTCTCGACTTCCTCGACGAGCTCGTCGGTGGAAAACTGGCCGCGGACGACGAGGATCAAGTTCTTGATTATGTCCTCCGAGCAGTCGACGTCGAGCAGGCCGCCGACGACGACGGGGAGGCGGCTGGGATTCACCTGCGCAAGAAAAAATCCGTTAGTTCAGAGGTTTACCCACACTAGCTTGGAACTGTGGAAATGCCATTAGCAATTTTTTTTATTTATGTTTTAAACAGGTGAAAAAATGATTTGGTATGTACAAAACCCTTACCTTCTGGACGTAAATCTCGATGTACTTCTGCAACGAATTCCTGTACAAATACAAAACCAAATCGTGCACGAAGTCGAACCGATCGCACACGATTATCAGCGGCAGCTGGTCGGTCAACTTCGCCTCCTTCAGGAAGTTCTTGACGCTCTCTGGATTATAACAATTGGATTCTCTGCAGATCCTCTCCACTTCCTTGATCTGGCCGGTCTTGCACGCGGCTTGTATGTACTTAAAGTGCACATCCTGATCCTGCGAAAAATTAACAATCGACCCCAGGAAGTAGAACAAGCCTTCATAGCTCTTGAAGCTCTCGAACAGGTCGATCAGCGCCTTCGTCGTGAGTTGTTCGTGGTATTTCGTAGCGATCTGGACGCAAATCTGCAAATTCTGTCTGATGTTGGACGTCAGCATAGCTTTGAGACACTCTAGACTGTCCTCGACGCTCAACGTGCCGAAGAAACTGACCAACCACTCCATCGGGAGGAGGTGGGTGTGGACCACAGCCCGCTTGATGTCGTATAAATCGGTGTAGTGCTCAAGCGCCCTCTGGAGCAATCCCGCTTTCTCGCAAAGTTGGGCGATGTGGGCTCTGTCGTAATGGGTGAACATGTTGTTACCCAAGATGGCGTCTGCGACTTGTGGAGCGGACATTAAGTTCATCTCGAGAAGTCTGGTCTGTAGGTGACCTTCGGTGGGTCTGTTGTTCTTCAAGGCGTCCAATAGGAACGCAGTGCACTGTTGGACCATGTTCTGTTCCATGAAGATGTCCACTATCTGGTTTATGTCGGCTAGTGGTTCTTCGTCGGCTACTAACATGCTGGCGAAGGCAGCGCCCTGATCGGGGTTTGTGCGCATGACCGATCGAAGTAAGTAGATGTAGTCTGGAGTGTAGTTGACTTTTTTAGCGTATAGAACGATCTTCTGGAACTGGCCCGTTTCGGCAAAACTCTGAATGACTTTAGCTGGTACGTTGGCCCGGAGGTAGACGGAGAGGGCCAATGTCGAATCAGCTTGTTTTACCAGATCGCCGAGTTCTTCCGAACATTCGAGCTTGTCTTCTTTGAGCCATTTTTCGAGGAGTTGTTTACGGCCTTGGAGGAGAACAGGTTTGCACAGTTCAAGGGATTCGTACCTATATAGAAGAAAAACCATGAACTAGGGCATCATTTTTTCGCATTCATCTAAATACAATATTAACAGATATGAGGGCGGCTGCGTGAACTGCGCTTGGAACTTGTCCGCGAACACTAGCCAGTGTGGGAAGAAGAGACACCCCGACAAGAATAAAAAAGGTGGTCAATTCAATAGTAATTTGTTTTGAGCGCACACATTTTCACAAAATGGGTAGAAAATCTTTTTCATTTTTATGTAAAATTGGATATTAATGCTTAAGCTTTATAGTTTGCTCAGTTCTAATTGGGTTTTATGATAATACCCCATTGCGTAAAAGTTAACTTCCGTAACAATAGATTACTGCCGGTGATGGGACAGTCATATAAGGATTTAACCATACCGTTACGATTAAACTGTATAATGCTTAAATCCTGATTTATGACTGTCCCATCACCGGCAATAGTAATCTACTGTTAAATTTGTTTTACACATCATAAAACCGAATTAGAACTGGGGAAACTATAACTGGTAAGAGTACCGAGAAAGAATCAATTTTCTGCAAAGTAAAGTAGTGGAAAAAGTGATAGCTAGAAAAGACCCGGAACTTTCGGATCGCAATTATATTTGTAAAATATCACAAAGAAAAAAAAACGAATTCATAATTTAAAAATGAAACTGTATTTTTTTAAGAGAGGCGGCATATTTGTTCACTTAACTGATAATAGTTGAATTTCACAACATGTTAATTTGTAATAGCATCAAGAGATTGAATAGTTTAAATCTGTTCTAGAAAAATAAGCCTTGAAAATGTACCATACATTTTTTTGCGCAGTGATCACAGTTGAAACGTTTGGTCCCCCATTAATTGTCCATTTGTATTTGATGTACAAACTTCTTAAAATAAATGTTTTTGTTGTTGTTTTGTTTGTTTTAAGTCGCACTCAGTTCACTTAAATTGAAAATAAAAGTAGCTACGAAAGCCCCTTCAACAAGAGATGAGTAAGATGAGTAATACGGTGCGTTATTCAGTACAACTACCACTTTACGATGTAACTTTATAGATGGAATTGTTTCTCAGTTCACTGCTTGAACAACTCCCCATTCATAGTTCTGTGATAGTCTCTACTGTCAATAATACTGTCCAAAAATAGCTCACAACCTTCCAAAAAACCAGACCTACCCCCCAGCATGAATAACAGAACCCTCAAACATCCATCTTTTCACAGGAGAACCTCTGTAGTAAATCCATGTTTCATTCAACTACAACTATAACTTTCTTGAGATAACTGTAAATATCTTCTTAAAAATTTAAATTTTAAAAATTGTTACGTTGTCCCTGCATCAAAATTTTTCTATTATTCATTTTTATATTTATAGCCCATAGATTTATAATTCTGTTCAGCTCGCAATGTATTCGAATACTTTTTATGTATGCTCAAGTAGGTCTTTTGAGATGAAGTACTCGTTTTTCTTGGAGGAACTTTGACAAAGGCTGAAACTAGCATGGGAGAACATACCCGAGCAGATATTGCACATTTAATTTCCAGTTACAGTCTATTAATAATCATGGAGATGTCACTCACTACTAAGTTTGTTATCTTAGGTGTTGCTGATATGGTCCAAATGGTAATTATTTTGTAAGATTGATTTGATATACACGTCGTTAGTTTCAATAAAGTTCGTCTACTACTTCCATGTGTTGCGATTTTTTTAGGATGCAGTGTATGTGCCTACCAAGATTCTTTTTAAACTGTTAGTTTATGTAGAAATAGCACTTTGGCTTTCTTCCGGTTTGAGAATTTTGGAAGGGATAACCGGATCGATCGTTCTGATTTAACTTGTTGAGCACCAATAGACATAAAAGGTAGAGAGTTAAAAATCAAGCAATTACTGCCATATCGAAAAAATAGCGAGTGACTTAAAAGGAGTCGCTACGTTTGGCTCTTATGGTGTTGCCAATATATTTTCAGAATGTAATATCTCCTTTATTAACACACCTATGGTTATGCAATTTTAAACGTAAGGTGTCCACAACTTTCACTAGATAACTGCAACAGCAGTTTTTTTTTTAACAACTTATTATCATATATTTTTTAAATTTTGTTGAAACTTTTGCATCACGTATTTTAAAAATTCAATATTTCAGTTATTTATGGAAATTTTGGAACGGAATTGTCACCACTGTTTTCAGCTTGCAAAACTTTAGAAATCGTACTAGGTCTATTTTTGACTTTATTTGTTGGGACTGAGATATAATAAAAATAAAAGTTAGCAACTTCTATAACACAAGCTTTTTTTACTGTGTATCGTTTCTAATAAAAAAAATCGACCATATATCTGGTACGATTTCTGGAGTTTTGTAAGCTGAAAACAGTGTTGAAACCGTGTTCTGAAATTTCCTTTAATAATAAGTGAGATATTAATTTTTAAAAATACGTTATGCAAAAATTTCATTAAAATTAAAAGAAAAATATGATCACAAACTGTTTTTAACAAAATTGCCCTTGCGTTATATAAAGAAAGTTATGGACAACATATATTTAAAATTGCAAAACCATAGGTCTGTTAATAACGGAGATATTACACTCTGAAAATAGACCGAAAATTCCACTCAGAAGACGTAGCGACTGGTCTTAATGTTTGCGATTTTTTTTATCAAGTTGACAAACTATTTAAAATTTTATGATGGCATATCTGATTGTTAAAGTGACAATTATGAACAAACGTACCAGCATGAATGCCAATAATTCAGAATTGCCAACATAAAAATTTGTTTCAATCATCAGTAGTCACCTGATACTTCATAGTTTGTTTTCTAATTAACTTTTAGACGTCTAGGGACAAAGACGTTTCAATTCCCGGTGGCATTTGACTATTGCCATCTTCATTTCACGGGGCAACAGAGTTCTAGTTAATTTTTCGTAAAATTCCATTTTAAATTCAAAAATTAATCTTTAAACAATTTTTGTGTGCTTGTAAATGAAACATCAAATGTGGTAGCTCCCAACCGTATTGAACAAAAAACCCAAGTAACGTAGCGGAAAAAATTAAAAGGACAAATTGGTTCGACTACATGTGCATCTCGACAGACGAAACCGCCAAATATTTTGAGGCGTTATGTAGTAAGTATTGTAATTGGTATATTGTATCCAACAGAAGCATAATATTAACCATATGTAATCGAGTGCCATGTTTCAGATAAAATAAATACTGAACCTATGTTTTAGATAATAAAATTGATGAAAGTTTAAATTCCATTTCTGACACAATCACGAGGAAAAAATATGGGAATATGGCCGTAGGGATTTACGTGCTGAAACTTTTGGTCAAGTTATTGCGTTTTCTAGGAGGGATTTTCAAGTTGGTATCACAAGAAAACTGACACTTTTCTTCAGGGTACCTCCTATCCCAGAAAGCAAACAATTGCAGCACTTCCTTAAAAAATGCATGAATGTGCCCATTTAAAGTAGTCTAAAAATTGGTCAAGTTTATATATTTTTTTTTTATTAAAAATTATTATAAACTCAAGTTTGTTAATTCGAAATGTGTTTTTTTTAAAGCGGTATATCTCGTATTTTTAAAATGCAACTCCTGAAACCTGAATGATGTTCCCCATGTATTTAAGATAGGACGAAACCAGATCAGACCCAAGTCTTAACTTATGTTTGAGTAAAGATTCAGAGTTGAAATTTTTACCTGATGTATGTAATTTTGGTTATCTTTTGTCGATTTTATTAACAGTTATTCTTTAAACTAAAGAAGCATATTTCTTAAAAAAAACACTGCTTATTTTTGTCAGGCAACCATGTAAAAACAGACATTTCCCTTTCGATTACTGGTTTTTACCGATCGAAATTCGTCAGTATGCCGCAGTACAGAATAAAAAAAAAGTGGAAATGGTCACCGCATACATTAAAGGATTATCGACAAGAAAAATTGCACAAAAATTTTGTCGTGTCATTTCCACATCCGTCATATACTCAGCAAGACCACAATTGAAAAAATTATAAATACAGGCTGTCTCGATCGTGGACATCAAAAGCGCAAGCGAAGCCCTCATGTGATGACGCATGAACTAAAATTAAATTTATGTTTAACAGTTGAACAAGAAAAAAACTCTAGCTTAACAGGATTTTCAAAAACATTTAATGTTTCTCGAGGTAGCTACTATAAAGCTCAACGAAAAAATATATATAAATGTACATACATTATCACCAACCGACTAAAAAAATTGAATTTTGCGAATTGTGAATGAATAAAATTAGTGGAAATGCAAATATTTTAAATTCTATTTTATTTTCGGACGAAGCCACATTTAATAATGGGAGTGTAAATAAACAAAGCTGTAGAATTTGGTCTCGAGAAATGATGTAATTCAGGAAACTCATACTCAATGGCCTGCTGGAGTGAACCTTTAGTCGAGGTTAATGGGAAATTAGAACTTTATTTTACATTAGCAAACAAATTTCGCATGGGTTTAACTCGTTAAAGTTGACAAAGACTATACGATCGGGTCCATACTTAACAAAGTAGAGTTTAATTTAAGCGTTCACAAGTGAAAATTATGAATATGTTTTCATTTTTGTACGTCGTATTGAAAGTTAGTTTCCTCTCCATAATTCAACGATTTTGAACTTTGATTCCAAAATACAGGATATTTTGGAAAAACTGGTTCCATTTTTTCCTCAAACTTTGTATCCAAATTTGTAAAAATTAAGTCAAAATATCCTTCACGCTTACACGAGAAAAACATGACACATTAACTGATCATTACAGAGAAATGCGCATGTTCAAGATGTTCTTTTGTGATTGGTCCAGTGTAATTGATTGGAGACAAGGCTTTACACGTTCGTATATTGCACAACAGTTCCATAAGGGTTGTAATCCACCATGACACTCACCTATTCAGCTGTCCCTGATCCAGCAAAATCCCGAAATACTGCAACAAAGGGCTATTCTGCCCCGCCTGCGTGGGCACCTGCTGGAACATCTGGATGGTCGCCGGCGTCCTCAGAATCCCCTTCGGCGCGTTCGCCGCCACTTTGGCGGCCTCGGCGTACTGCCCGTTCGTGAACAGCATCTGGAACTTGTTGACGAACAGCTCTTCGGCGCCCGCCAAGTTGTTCCGAGTCGCGATTCGCAACGCCAGATCGGGGTTGTGCAGGATTTGGTTGACGTATCTGATGATGTTGTCTTCGTCGACCGAAACGGAGAGGACCTGTCCCCTCCGGTTCACCCCGATTATCCCGCCCGTGGATTCGTGCGGCGCGGTCACGAAAATGGTTTCGCTGGAGATGCGGTTCATGTAGATGCAGACGGCGCTTTCGATGTCGTACATGTGGATGTATCCGTATTTGGTGATCAGGTAGATTACGTCATATTTTGCCGAGACCTGCATGGCTACTGGGAAGTCGTTTTGGGCCTCTGGGGGGAAGAAGACGTCGACGGTTTTCTTGGGGAAGGGCTGGTTGCCGGCAGGGCTTTGGCCAACCTGATGGGATGGAAATTTTTCAGTTAATAAAAAGAAGAATGTGTAACAGTGATAACCACAATTATTGTTACAGAAATGATTCAAAGTTTCATTTTAACTCTTAACCTCAATTATGTGAAGTTTTCCTCCTTGTACTGTCCGAACTGCGAAGCAAAACAGTGTCGACGCTTCAGGATTGCCTTCCATTTTGAATGTGGCAAAAGAAGCGGCATGGCCTTCAATGGGCTGTGAACATTTACGTTCGACTGAGTATAGTTGCATTGCGCCTACGACACGTGACTGCTGAGCGCTGATTCCGACCAATAGGAGCCAGTTTTGTTTAGGGTCGGTACGGTAGTTGATGATCTGGCAACCGTTAAGGGAAGAATGTCTGAAAGTCAAAAAATTCAAATTAATGTTAAGTAAGATGATAATGAACATAATCTGTGCTATTAACTGGGATTTTGCTTTAAATATTACGTGTTATGCTAATTTCAATTTATCATAATTATGTACGTCTACCAGATGTTGGGAACATACGGGACACCTGTGTGCAATTATGTATTGGTAATGTAGTTATTGCGTTTCCTGATAATGACGCATAATTAGGGATATCCTTTTGGAAATCAATAACCGGCGACCGATACAAAGTTTTATTCCATAATTACTATATATTTTACGTACCGGGACGTTTGCGAGTGGTCAAACTGGTATTATTATGCAAGTTTCAACCGGAGGGGTTAAAATTATTTCTACGCAGAGTTCAGGATTCTGGGAAAAAATTCGAAGACTAGGTACAAGTGTCTATTTTTACTCTTGACACTAAATTCCGACTAGTATTTTCTAATTCATAATAACCTAAAGTGCATAATATAACTGTAAAATATAAGTGTGGACGGCAATTAAGCGTTAAAGACGCAATTACTATAAATGATAAATTAAATGAATGAACGCCTATTTATTTATTTTTCTTTATAATTGGTGAATAGCAAACTTTCACTTTCAACTTGCCATTAAAATCACAAAAACATTCAATTTTATTTCATACAAAATATTTAAAAATACATATGTAACAATTGAATTACAAGTCACTAAATTGAGTTTTGTGGTAAGTAAATTTAGAACACTGAGCTGAGTATTTGTACACAACACAAATTTCTTTGTTCTATACATATGCCAAATTGATTAGCATAAAATTTGTGCAGAAATAACCAAAGACTATTATTACCTTTATTGTTCTATAATCACTAAATCAATGTTAATGTCCTAAAGAAAAGTTCTTTGTGGACTTCCAAAAGCAAATTGTAAAATCGGTTTGTGATTATTTTCAGCTTCAAACAGACTGAGAAATCTACTGTAACGTATTCCATAAATTATGACATGCTAAGTATAGCATGTCATTAGCGCTCGATAAAGTGAAAAGTTTAGCAAAGTGTAAAAATTATAAAAAAAAGTATTGTACTTATAAGAAAAAAAAACTTGTCAATACATTTCATATGTGATAGTGTGCTAAACTTCGCTTATTACACTGATCTGAGTCGGATAATATTAATTTTTTTTGTGTAGATCCAAATTGTTTGTAATTTTGCAATTAATTATTGTCACAAAATATATTTTGTGGAATGAAAAAAACGATTATCTAAACTAACGTGGAGAAACAAAATTGTATTATTATAAATCATTTTGACGAGTAGAATTAAAGCTTAATTTACATATTTTTTTGTTTATAAATTTTACTATAACTCGTTATTATAACGAAATCAGACTTGAAAAAAAAAACACAAAAATAAAGAAAATACGTTTTCAATATTGATGGTCTACCGCAAGTCTTCACATCGAATGTCAATTTTTTATAGTACAGAATTTTTCTATTGGCACCCTATATCCGCAGGCATAAGAATTCAAACTTCAATATCTGCGGATTTATGAGGGAATTTTTATCATCATGTTCGATCTGTGAAACCTAATATAAGTTTATATGAATAAACGCGGTCTATCACACGTGTCATATTTAAAAGCAAATCGCAACTGAACTACTCAGATCAACAAAAGATCGATTTATTTTATATTCAAACGCTTTTTCTGGAATTATTAAAATCAACTTCATTGTGTGGCTTTGTCAGCGATTTTATTGTTATGCAACAACAAAACAAAACGTGCAACTCGTCATTAAAAACACGTTATACGAAAATGCTTCGAAGTGTGTTTATTTTTAATCGCCTACAGCACCAAAACGGATTACTGGTCAATTTTTTATGTTTTATATTTTAAGCTTTGTATTCCACTGAAATCGTTTGAGAAAAATGCCAAAGCAATGTCGTTTAAGAGTAAAACTATTTAAAATCTAAAAACAATTTTTTGGCAACTGAAATAACCTGGTGACAGTCAGTTGATTGAATAGCACGAACCATGAAAAAACAGCCATACAACAATTACTACATGTTTACGTATTTAAAAAATATAGATAACGTAATAATTTGTGACCTTAGTGTTAAAAAATGTTAAAAATGAAAGTGGTTTGAATTATTTGCTTTTAACACAACATAAAAAGTAAAAACATATTACATATAAGTATGATCAATAAATACTGTTGAGTTGGCGACAAAATTGGACAATTAGAAGTTAATTCAAAAACCTATGGCTTGAAGTTACGTCACTTTTAAGCGCTCAAGAAAATAGGTTGTCAAATTTTAACATGAATCAATAACAAATTTTGACTAAAGCTAAATGTCACTGTCAATCATGTCAACTTTAGCAGTTCTACCAATTTCAAACACAATTTGTTAGTGCCAACTAATTGTTAATGACGGTGTAAAGTTTTGCCTTAATACACAAATACTGTGAGGACGATTTATAATTCCCCCACTATAACGGCGACAATTACGACTTCTGCAGCACAAACGTATTGATTAAACAATGAAGATTTTACTAACATTAATTAAAACTGATTAAAATCCGGAATAAATACAATATGACAGGCAAATCCTTTTAGGATTAAATCGAGCTGGGGTAATTAAGAGGCTGACACTAATCATTTTCGCATATTTAGGTTTTTTTTCATATTTTTCAAGTTTTAACGAATTTACCGGATTCAGTATGTTACACTCGAACTTCGATAACTCGGATCTACCATGCAAGAATTCAAGTTACCAGGGTTTGAAGTTATTAAATTACTCAATTCAAAAACGAAAAAATTATTTAGAAAAAATCAATAATACCACTTTTATTTATTAAAATCCTCACACATTCAATTAACTATAACAAAAATATTATGGGGTCTAAAACTGCACTAGTAATCACCGAAAACTAGATCGTTCGGCATCCACAGTCATATGGTAAGAAGAGGGGATTTCCCTGAAAAAATGTGTGCGTTTTTTTTTTAGTCTCAGATATCGAAAATTCATCGTGAATTATCGAATGCGGTGTTATCTTTTTTATCTCGGATATCGAGAAATTCTACTTCTGGAAGTTTATTACAACTAATTTCCAGTCCTGAGTCATCCATGTTCGACTATACTATTTTAATTTTGAGTGTAGTATTAATAAACATATTTTTCATTTGTAATAACAAAAGTGACTGAAAGCTACTTTTCTGGTAAACTTTAATTTTTTGTATTAATCTGTTCAGTTGACATAAATCTGAGGAAAAATACCGAAAATTTCAAAAAAATATAAAGAACCAATCATTACAAAAATAAAAATTGGTGGTTTCAATGGACATTTTGAACATATTAAAGCTTATTTAAAAGCGGACATAAATGTATAATCAAAGCTTTAAAATATTCATGAAAATAAATATGTATTCATTTTCAGGAATTTACTGACGATATAGTGCACCAACGAAGATAGAGGTGTTACGATATTGACTCCTCCACCACCGTCACCAGCAGATAATGCAACATATTATTAAATGTTAATTTATAATACCACCCAAAACTTTGATAGCGGCTCTTTGTTGAGCTTAAATGGTACACTTTTTATAAACAGGCACCGGCTTATCTGTTTAGCAGAATTAGTTCAGTTCGCAAACGAGACTCGGAAAAGTCAAAATCATAAAAACACTATTTTCGTTGGAGCGCTATACCAACACTACAATTTAGATAAGACACATCTCACTATTCTGGAATATTCTGATGATTTATTAAGATCAGTAAATCCCCTATTGTAATTTAGTTCTAGATAACAATGTACACATTTCTACACAATGATAGCAAAAACTCACAATTTTGTTTCTACTAATACATGGTGTTGGTTAATTCCACAATATTTTACATATTGTGTTAAGGGTATTATTTGCCCCTTGAAACAGGTGCGTCGTTGTCCAGATGGAAAAAATTTATCTTTAGATTCTTATCGCAAAATTCAGACGAGAAGCTTTCACAATTTTTTTTGTTTCTTAAACATATTTTCTTTACGTTGGATTCGCGAAGGCATGTCATTTATTAACTTTATCGAACTGTGCACCTCCAAATCACAATTCCTATTTTGTTATCTTTTATTTATTTACTCAATGATGTAAAAAATTACGACTTTCCTTTTACAGATTATCTTAATGCACAGGTGTCCCGTAACAATGACTTTTTTAAGGTACACAAAAAAAAAATAATAAATTTTAAAACTGAATGATTCTTAAATTATGAAACCCAGCGTCATAAATCGGTAATGTCCTTGAAATAAGTTAACATAAAGGCCACATTATCGACTCCACTGCGACCACTGTCTGCAGTTGGCAACAATGCCGGCTGCAGTTTCGACCCAATTTATAGAAGGTCGTAGTAAAAAAATCTTCTCAATTAGAGGTAATAATCTACTTACTGATACGCAAGAAAAAATGGTAGTCATGCATTAATATTGTATCTTATCGCAAAAAAATGAATTGATATATGCAGGCGCCAAAATATAACAATAAAATAGATTTTGTGTAATTTCCTGGAAATTTAAATTTACACGTTAATGAAATGTGGATAGGTTTTTCCCACTGATTGAGTGACGAGGCAGTCTATATTTTGTTAAAATACTAGGTCAGAGCAAGTATAGCATAAAAAAAATTGTTCAGATCAAAAAAATTCGAATCTTTTTTTGTCTCCCCGTTAAATACTACAACCAACGTAAAAATGTTTCCACAAAATTAAACATTCAAACATTACTCAAACAAACAAAGTCCCTGCTACGCGTGAATCGCCTCATTTAAATATGAATGTTTAGCGGGTTGCCGGCCTGCAACGGCAATTATCGCCAGATCGAGATAACCCGTCCGCGCTAATAAAACCCCCATAAAACCGTCAAAAGCAGTGATAAACGTATAAAAAGCAGCCCTACCGGTCGAACATTTTCACCGGCGTAGAATCGCCCTCCATCGACCAGTGGTACACCGACGTCTCCGTGACCAGCGCCAGCGTGTTCAGAGAGATCCACTTCCAGAAAATCACGTCCTCTGTCATGGTGTGTGCCTTCATCTTGGACTTCATTTCGATGTTGAAAATTTGCAGGGTTTTTTGCGCTTCGACGCCGGCCTTGCCTTTGAGGGCTATGACTTTGGACGCCGGGTTCATGATGGCGCTCTCTGCTGTAATGGGCCTTCGGATGGGATTGGCTGTATCGGCCATGTCGATGATGACCACTTGCGAGGTCTCGCCGACCTTCTCTCGCACGCAGATGAATTTGTCGCTCTCCATTGTAAGCGTGGCGAAGGAGATGTTCGCCACGTTGATCCCCACATTGGTGAGCTGCAATTTTCGAAAATGGAAAATGAAAATTATAAATAATGAGGTGGTGGGTGTCAACAACAGATGTCACTCGCCGGAATCGATTAAAAAGAAGATAATTTCGGAGGATTGACCCGTTTTGCGGCCAGGATGTGCCGGAATTACAAAATGCGCAATTCGAACGTAGATTTCGAATCGATTTGGCACTATAGGGCTAAAAATAAGTAAAAAAAAATGCGGAATTTTTGTGAGGAAAAAACCGAGGAAGGTTGGTTTTTGAACGGCGGATGGGGGCGACGGTAGAAACGGGGTCATGTTCTTGTGAGTTCTCAGTGGAAATGGTTCTAGGGGCGTATTTTTCGACAGGGATTTTACCTGCAAGTGCTCCTGGAACTTTATCGGTAATAATTGCTGCGTCATGCTGCCGGATTTTTAACAACAGCAAGCACGGAACTAAACTTAAAACACTTTTCAGTCTTTTTCTGAATTTTCTTTGTATTTTTCACCGTATGACTAATTACAAAGCTACACTGACACTGACAGATAGTCAAACTGCGACACCCAAGATGGCGCCGGTTTGCTTGTAGACGTTGGAACTGCCATTACTCCGAATTCCCATTTGACATAATACGCCTACGTGAATTTACGATCACATTACGCCGCCCCTGACGCCCACACTATCAATTAACCCCATTTCGACCCCCACATAACACAAACTTCAAAAGTCCCACAAATCCAACTTTTATATCAATTCCCCACGTGCCTTTCCCACTTAATCAAAAACGTCATTTCTTAAAAAGTCTTTATTATAAAACAAAGTTTGAACTTAGATATACGATTTTTTAGTCGAAAAGACCAAAACCCATATCGTCATCCTCTGAGTCTGATTCCGGCTTCTTCTCCTCCTTTTTGGTCTCTGCAAAAAACATGACATTTAAACTCTGGTAACATTCATCATACCAACATTAAAACACAAAAACTTCAGATATGAAACTGACAGCATGTGTTTCTCAGGCGAAAGATGGTGTTTTTGGGAATCATCATTGTACATACACGGAATAAATTATGAAAAGCAAAATCAACAAACCTTTTTTCTCTTCGACGGCGGCAGGAGCGGCGGCTTCAGCAGCTGCGGGGGCGGCAGCACCACCTCCAACAGGCATGCTGCTCAACTTTTCACGTCCTGAAACACACAAATCGTTATTCGTACATTCTGAATCGACAAATCTCAAAAATTGATTGAATTTATCAGATTCACGTGGTTGTAATCACACGGAGTCATGCGAAAGATGGTTAATTTTGGGTCATCACGTTTTTACAATAATAAACGTTGGAGGACGTTTCGTGTACACGAAATTAATAATTGCGCGGTTTTTGAGTTTTACATACCCTGGCTGATGAGGTCATCGATGGTTTTGCCATTGAGTTCGCCCAAGACTTTCTTGAGCCTTTCGGCGTCAACTTCGATACCAACGGAGCTCAGGATTTTTTCGATGTCTCCAGAGGATGGGGAGGCCTTTCCGCCCAAAACCGCCAACAAATAAGCCGCCACGTAACGCATCTGCAAATTTGTTTGTGTTAGATATAACCTCAAAAACAAGTAATCAACAAATATTTTCGAGATCGCTTGATTTTTCAAAATTTGTTAGCAACGATTTGCAAACATTTGTCTAATTGAAGCTTTTGCGATAGATATTTACTTTAAATAATTGTCTTTTTACTTACTTTAAGTCTTGTTGACACGAAACGTGAACTAACTTTCGAAATTACAATTGCGAAGGAATGACAAATGACAGAATCAGGTAATGCCGCCACGCGATAGTGGCGCCACCTCGTGCATTCGGCGAATTATAATTGTTTGCGGCAAATTTTAAATGTTACCTCTAAATTACAGAAAATTGTCTAATAAGCTGTAGAAAAAATGTTGTGTTGAGATTTTCTTCATCTAAACAGATGATAATATATCTACTTGGCACTGGGTCATATTGTGTAGATCCATCATCTGTCAGTTCCCCCAGAAATTTATTGTTAAAACTGCATCATGTATCAAAAACTAGACCAAATTTAAATAAAAGCTTACTATGAATTCCATTGTTCTCTATCTCTGATATATTCGTAAATCGTAATGATTATAATTCAAATAAAAAGAACAATTTCAAAGAATTTTCTTATAGGTACAGTCGCGGACAGTGAATTTCGTTCACACAATTCACGCGAATTCACAAAAATTCACTGTAGTCAGTGCTTTATTGTCATGATGACTGACGTAAGTATTGTCAAATTTAATTTAGCTTCGAACCTGCCATCGATTAGTTATTTTAATGAAGGTAAACTAATCTCCCTTTTCCAAGACGGGATGTCGCTACACTTTTGGGCTTACCGCGGAATAGTGTTACTTATCGCATAAAAAAATGTTTGCCCCTCTATGTCAAAATGACAAAAAAAGGTTAGAAAGATCTAAGGACTAATTTAGAGTTTTTTTTCTGTCAAAGAAATTGGGTGAACGAAATTCACTGTCCACGACCGTACTTAAATGATCACAATATATTTATATTATTTTATTATTAATATTATTATTATTAGTTCTGTGTTCGGGCAGAGGCCTAGCCTATTATGCCCGCGCTACCTAGCTACCTAACTAACAAGCAGATCAAATTAATTTTGTCCATTATAGTTATCAAATTTAATTTTGAAACTCAATCAGTTTCGACAGTACTGGATGGTTCGGAAAGTCTGTTAGAGATAAAATGTTGCCTCACTGTGGAGCGAAATTTATCCTTCCCTAATTTTAAGCAAATAGATAAATATAAGAATATTTTTCATTATATCGTCAAAACAGTGAATAAATTCTCTTTCTCAAGTCCCAAATAAGTCATTATTTGAGTCCACAACACACGGTATTGGTTGGGAGACTGTTTTATAACAACAATGATGTATCTTTAGTTGCGAGAGAGAAAGAAAAATAACATATATAACATCCTTTATTACAATTTTATTCATAGCGTAAAAAAATATGAGAAAACATATTCTTTTGTGAAAATAAACAAATATTAGTTCGTTTCACAATTTTATTTCTAGTATTTATGTGCAGTATATGCATGCGAACTGCAATAACCATTCACAAACTAACTATATAAAAACTCACAAGGATAACACAATAAGACTCCGCAAATAAGTAAATGGGCCTACCACGGCAGTACCTATCAAGCAAAACTCTTGTAGGTAAGCGAAGAAAAATGTTGCTACCTCGGTGGGAATCGAACCACACGTCACCCGCTTGCTGGGCAGGTATCCCGACCACTAGACCACGAGGCCGCTTATCTTTCTCCGCTTACCAACGTGTTTATTGTGTCGCCACACTCTTTATATAAAAGAGGACTATAATAATATAATTAGGTTGTGTTGTCATTATTATTAGAATTATTATTATTATTTCAGACCCCTCACTGAAAGACTGTATGGGTCATTGTACTTCATACAAATTATATAAGATTTGGATTCCAGCACCGGCGTTCTTATATGGACCGCATCTGCAGACGCCTTTAGAAAATTCCCGATTTCCAGATGGTCCTATCCATCCCTGTTGAATACCTGTTGTGACTGCTTGGGTGTTACAGTTCTCTATATCAAAGTACAGTTTGACGTTTCCAGAAAACTGTTGTGTTACTTTTAAAAATTAATCATCATTTTTCGTACTTTGCAGATATTTTTACACCTGTCATCTATATATAGTGTGATGAAAAAATGACGCATAAGCTCGATGGTACGTTGTTAAGAAGGCTCGAAACAAATGTTAAAAAAATATCTGCACCAAACTTTTGAAAATACTAAAATTAAAATTTTCTGTTTAGTTGCAAGCAAAACAACAGACCGACGAAATTTCCTTGAAAGATGCTTATTCTATGATTATTATTGGATTTGATCTAAGGATTTGATCATTTAAGGTTATTTTGCATTTCAAAATTCCAATGAACATTTGAGAAATAAGCACATTTTTGGATCGATCTTACCTATACATTATAACGAAGCGAAACGAAGAAATTGCTTCTTAAAGTCTTGGGAGGAGAGGAAGTTTCTCGCTCCTGTAGAGGAGTTGGAAAAAATGTGTAGTTTGTGAAAAGTGCAGGACCCCTGTAAGAAACGATCACCGTAAGTACCTGTAGGTAAGCGAAGAAAAATGTTGTCGCCTCGGTGGAATTCGAACCCCACGCCTCTCGCTTTCCGGGCAAGTATTTGTGTCTCGGTGGGATTCGAACCCCACGCCTCTCACTTTCCGGACAAGTATCTTAACCACTAGACCACGAGGTGACTTATCTTTCTCCGCTTACCGACGTGTTATTGTGCCGCCACATACTTGGGTTTTTTACCTGTTTGCGTACAGTTTTTGAATCGCCGTTATCGTTTTTTCCGTTACTGCAAGAAGCTGAAACCGTTAAGCACGCGTCGCGTTCCACCATCGCGCTAACCGTTCTCGTACGAATGCCCGTTCCAGGATCGCCGCCCTCAGAACCAGGAGGAGCCCGTCCCGAAGGAGGCCACCGTTCAGGAGGAAACGACCGTGCCGGACGTTTTATTCTTTTTTTTTGTAAAATTTGTTTTGTAATTATTTAAGTACTAGCCATAAGATTATTTTAGCCGTCTAGCTGGTGGCAGGGAATAAAACCCGATTTATTGTTAACAAAATTCCTCCGTTTGGAGATCCGTGTCTCCGGCTTTAGAGCAACCCTGATACTTTCCCTCCGGAGAGGGAACTGGCGCCCGAGCACCGCCGCTCCCGGCCGAAGGCGCCACATCCGGTGGTGTAAAGGTGACCGCATAAACCTGTTCAGCGGCACCAGTCGGCGCAAGGCTTGGCTCCGAGGCACGCCACCCCGACGCGTTATCACCGAAATTCCGGACCGTCACGGAAGTGCGAGAATAATTTATAAGCTTTTTTACTTTTCGAGTATAAGGTGGGGAAGTATTATAATAGACATTCAGTAAACGACTAATTTTATGTTTTCTTAAGGTTAGAGTATGAAAACATAGGTATCTCATTTTCGTCTTTTTGTCTGCATGTCTAATTGTGGTCTGTTGTCGATTTTATTAGATAGAGCATTTCTGAAATTATTAAAGTGCTTGTTATAGAATGAGGTTAGCATTTTCTAAATCATTGTAAACATGTGATAGGTTTGTATTTTGATAGATTTTTTTGTGTCATTATCTTTTGTTTTTACGTTTTATTATATTTTAATCTTCTTTTTTATTATTTATAGTACTATGACTAAAAGCGAAATAAAAAACTACCCTCTTAGAAATCATACAAAGAGTCAAATATGAAAAAAATAATTATGAAAGAATGCATTTCCTCAAGAGGTTGATAATTTGATAGTAGATGGTTAATCAAACATACACAACAGTAGCTGTTACACAACTGTTGCTTAACCAATTACGCTGTCAAGAATATTTAATCCTGTGGCGGCACAACATAACGAATTTCTTGAATCTGCAAATGCCAGAATGTGAATGTGGATATACTTACCCAATTATCTCCTTTTTGCAAATATTTCGATTTTGTATATCGCAAGTGCGTCGTGACGATCATAAGCGTTTTGAGAAAAGTTATGAATGAGGTTTCCACAATAACACAAAGTTTATAGAGGGCACAAAATTATTTATTTCTCCACTGACAAAAAAAGAAAAAAAAAGCTGCGACCAAGTTGTGTCGGATAAGGACACTCCTTAAAGCTCTACTCCAAAAAAAAACTTATTGAACTTTGGTTACGGTCGAAAACTCGTGGTTGGAAGTGACGGCTATAAATAGCTGACAGCATCACGTCGTCTAGACCGTTCCCCTAACTTCTATACAAAGCCTGCATCCTTTGTGCAGATGGCGCGATACATCCCGCCAGCTCGACTAGGAACCGCGGCCTCCGCTTCAACCACGTACTTTGGTGTTATTTAACCTCAATTCCATTTTAAATGTTCAATTTCTATGACTCTGATATTAACGACAACTAAACAAGTGTTTCAAGAAGGGCAATAAACAACATTTAAATTCGCCATACACTCTTGTGAAATTTTAAACAACAAATAATTCTTATGTGAGATTAAAATTGGACATCAGACAATATAATTTATTCGATGAAAACATTCATCAACAAAATATTTACAAAACAAATACGATCAAAGATAAAAGAAAAAATAAAAGATTTGGTGTGAAATAAACTTGTGAAGATAAAACATTACGTGAGGTTAGAAACTTCAGAGCATGAAAGTTTACGTTCAATTTAAATTATACAACAAAGAAAATTACTGAGGTTAAAATTGTGAGATAGAGAAATATTGTATGAGGTGAAAAATTGCAAAGCTAACAAATTTACATGAGATTAATACTTGCCACATTTTATCAACGATTCAAACAAAGAGTTTACATTATGTTAAATTATGTCTTGATCCAAGTGATTGGTTACTTAAAACAATTAACTTTCATGAGAGTTTATCGTGAACTGGTTACCCCAACAAAACACATAATAAATAAACACAAAAATATTCAGTCATCGTTGCGAGGAAAAAGCGTCTCGGTGATGTAAATTTTAGCGTTGCGAGACAATGATCTCGGTAATGTAATTTTTAACGTTGCGAGGAAATGCCTGGGTGATGTAATCAACCTTCAACGTTGAGAGGAAATGCCTCGGTGATGTAATGATGATAACTGCCTAAGGGAAGAATTTATTTTTACCCCCCCCCCCCCCCGGCAGTTTACGAAATTATGAATTTTGTTAAATTAACTGCCGTCAATGAATTATTAGCAATCTTATGTGAAGAATTAAGAAGTGTTATAATGTAACACTTCAGTATTAGCATCCAGAAACTTATTCATAATTAGGTCCTAACCTGATCGGTGAATTGACTAATAATACAACAAATTTACAGTACGTGTAGCATCGGTCGAAAATTAGCACCTTTTCCGATTAGAAAGCCGCAAGAATTAGCTGCGCGGGCTGGGGAAAACTGGGCGCCATCGTTACGATTAATTTTCGTTAAACAAAGGCTTCTTCCCTTTTATTAACTATCAAACCAACTAATTTAAGCTAGCTAACTTACAGCGTTTTTTCACCAGGCTCACACAACACCGAACCAAACAATTGACGCTTTCATCATCCTCTCGCGATGCCGCTCTCTTGTCTACTCTACCGCCCTCTAACTTAAACACCCCCTAGCGAGGTACCAACTACCCACAAAGCGCTAACGTGCACATGGTTGCCTATGTTTAACGATTATTTTGACTATTTTTTTTTTTTAATTTAAATTATTCAAATGTGATTTCGCGCCGTTGTTAATTAATTTCAGCGCGAAAATTTGATTCAAATTCGGTCACCACAGTACATATGTATAATCTAAGATTAACATTATATATATTATTATTATTCCCAAAATCTATATCTCTCAAAGCCTAGAAGGTTGCCAAAAGTAATTGCAGCAAATGGGGCTGTGACGAAATATTGATTTTAATTCCGTTTTTTTTTTGTTAACTTTTTAGAAATAGGATACACATACCAATTTGGATCGGTACAGTGTATTATTGTATCTTGCTGTATTTCTACATTTTCGGAAAAATGAGGTCAGCCGTTGTTCGTTGCTGATTTGATCTATAAAAGAAATTACTTCAATCATTAATTGTTTTGTTATCTCTATAAGTGCTCATTCACAATGGGCATAAAGCATAAAGATGTCCTAAGCATTAATGCATAAAAATTTATATTTAGTGCTCTATGCTTGTATTCGCCCACATTCAGCATAATGCTTACGACATCCTTATGCTTTATGCCACTTGTGAATGAGCATTTATGCTTATTGTGAAGGAATACAAGGATAGAGCACTAAACATAAATGTTTATGCATTAATGCTTATGCTTTATGGCCATTGTGACTGACCACTAAAGTGTCGCTACATTTTTTTTACAGTATTGTCATTTGGTCTAAACCTTCAATCGATGTCCCACGATTAAGCCTTTAGCTTAATAAGCACAGAACAACACAGAACAGTCAAGATAATTAATAAGAACCATATTTCAATGTCTTAACAACGCTGTTGTAAAATCAATAATCACTAAGCAACCCGATTTACTCTGTTATGTCATTTTAATTCTTTTAATAGGGTTTAATTCGCGTCCGCGTTTTTTTTTTTAATTTTTTTCGATGTCGAAGATAAAAATGAAGAAAACGCTTACAAGAACATTTCCAAGAGTTCCTGTTTACGACCAAGTTCGAGAATATTTAACATCTGTGGCGACTGCTCAACAAACTTTATCGTGAGTACTAAATCTTAAAACTGCATTTTTTAAACAACTTTTTGTTTCAAGATCAGGGTACGAACCAGAAAAGGGAGACACAAATCCGAATTTACAGTTAGTATTATCCCAAGCACTTTTTTCCGAAGTTAATGCGGATTTAGGAGCAAGGAAACAGTTCTACAAGAAGGAGCGAGTGGTTTTGAACCAAGAATGGGAGGATTTAGAAGAGAAGGAACGCGCTTTGAGAGATAATTTCGTTAAGTTGAATAAAGTGAGCCATATTTTGTGTGCGTGTCCGTGTTTATGCTTGCAAAGTTTATTCAAGGTAATAAGGAGAAGAGGCAAAGAGCTGCAGAGAGACTACACGAAGACATTAAAACTGTTAAGAAAACGAAAGCACATATAGAACAATTGAAAAAGGATTATGCTGACTTGGAAGAAATTAAATTATTATTTGATAAAGAAATTGCTGCACATCGTTTGTACCAAGTACTAACCTGACAACGCCAGTTTTTTTTACTTGTGTACTTCTCTAATTGTAGGAATATCTGTATCAAACAATGAAGTTAAGTAACGAATTCAAAAATCCGTTCAACATCATTGATCGTTACGAATCCCTCATGGCCACCAAAGCAGAATTAGGACAACGCCAAACTCACGCTCTTGAGTCCTTAGAATTTGCAAAACTTCGTTTGGTAATTTCTATATTTAAACTTTTATCTTTGCTAACTTTCAGTTTCAGTCAAAAAAAGCCGATGAAAATAATTTAGCTATATTAGGCTTTTCAAACGTATTATCCTCTTTCGTTTCCCGCTATCAATTGGCAGTGGCCACGTCCTTGCAATGGGAAAGAATTGTGAATAATATTAAAAACAACTCCCTTAACAAATACAAAGAAATAACTGAAGTGAAGCAGTGCTGTAGAAATACTTACCTGTTGATGTGTAGGAGAAAAGGAGAAGTTCCCAAAATTCCAGAAGACAATGTCGAGAAGCAACTAGTCTATATCAAGAAAACACTTAAGCAGTTGGCATCTGTACGAACGGAAGCAGCAAGTCGTACCAAGGAAACTTTCAGTTCAGTAAGAGTGGAACTTTCGAAGTTAACCTGAAGTTGTTGTTCTCTCTACTGTAATTTATGCAAATACAGATGTATAGCTGTCGTTTCTTAACTAGTTGTTTATTAACAGTGAGTAAGAATTTTCAATGCTTAGTTGGATCTTCACAATATTAAAGTAAAGAAACAGTAGATTTATTTTATTTGGTTCCTTTCTTTGATAACATCTTCTTCGCTCAGTCACAAGGCCGAAACGACCTAAGCTCTTGACTTAAATTAAAAAAAAATGTGGGAAGACACCTTAAAAAATCCTTTTCAAGTAGGTAGTGTAAACAATAAATAACATTATGACAGTTAGCGCGCGTTAGACTAGTCTAGCATCTAAATGTTAGAATAGCTCTTAGAACTGCATGTAGGTTAAATTCGCGCCTTTTCTGCGGTTATTTTTTTTTGTTCGGAGAATGGCGAAAAACTGGAATACAAAACTTCGCCCCGAAAATTTCGTGAGTGACTATCTATTATCAAAAATAAATACGGAAGTTTTAGCGGATCGGAAGTAAGTACTACAGACGAAAGCATCATCATTATTAATTTATAAAGGTTTGCAACCCCATTAATAAATACAGAACTGTATCTTGAAACATGGCGGAAGAAGTTTCATACTGCAGAAGAATATTTGAAGCATCAAAGAAAAGAATATGAGCAAAAAAGAATCGAAATGGATGCAAAGTGGAACGAAATATTTCTAGAAGGTCAAACTTTCCAAGATAATTTTCTCAGTTTTAACGAGTTTATTATTGCCAATCATGATAAAAGAAAACGAGCCGTTGAAAACATAAAATATAACAACAAAATCGTTAAAGATAGAGAAGAGGGAATTCGCAATTTCAGCGCTAGTATTTTGGAATTACATCAGTTGAAAAAAGAAATCGATGTGGAAATCTACAAGCATGCAATCTATAAGGTAATAAAATATCACGTTCTAGAGTGGACAACATGTGTGTGTGTTTTTTTTTTTTAGAAATATCTGGCTTCGGTGTTAGAAAATTCTACAGACGAAGGGTTTATAAACGCTGATAGTATAGTAGAATGCTACGAGCACTACGTAGAACTCGCCTTAGACATAGTAAAGAAACAAACAAATGATTTTAGTATATTACAGAACGCTAAAGGAGAACTAGCAAGTCACAGTTTCCTTACTGTTACATATTAATAACTTCAAAATTTTAGGCCAAATTTGAAGAGATAAACCGAAATGTAATATTAGGCCTTCACACCCAAGTAGCGGGTCTTCATGGCCGTTACGAAGAAGCTGTCCGCAAAACGCGTCACTTGGAATATTTAATCGGTAATATTAGGCGTAAAGCTCTTGAAAATTTTACAGACATGATGATAACAAAATTGGCGATTACAAATTTGTATGTCCAAATGTGCCAAAAGAAAAACCTGAAACCGACAATCGCCAAACATAACTTTGAAGGCAAGCTTATATTTATCAGCAGAATACTCAAGCAGTACGACAACCTTTTCGCTAAAATCCAAAAGTCGGTCAAAAAGTAAAGGAAATAAAACTTCAGCAATATGATCCTCTTTATTTAATATTCAAAAAGAGATGAGTCCGTTTGGTTCATCCATAATACACAAGTGATCTAGTTGACTAAGTTCTTCCCTTCTTTCACGTAGTTGGTTTTGAAGTTGGCGATAATCTTCAGCTTTCAAATTGTGGATTTCTTGACACGCTTTTTGCCACTGTTCTTTGAAATACGTCTTTGTCTGTTGAGCTACTTCAAATTTTTCTTCCAATCCCTTTAATTCTTGTAGCAGGTTAGTCGTTTGCTCTTTAGTCAGAGCGGTTCTCTGGTTATTCTCCACTTCCTGTTTTTGTTCATTTAATATCTGCTTCAAATTCTCATTGTCATACTGCAGCTTACTGATATAGTCGATCAACAACTCCTTGTCGCAGTCGGCAAATTTCTTCTGATTTTCTTCAATCACACCGAGAATATTCCCCGAAGTCTTGCTCTTTTTCTTCAAAATTCTCGACAGCTTCAACTCGTTGAGTTTTTCCTGCAGCTCATCCTGCAACTCTTTACATTTTTTTATGTTCTCATCCAAATCCGCTTTTTTCTCTACGAGTTCTTCGCGTTCTTTTTCTAACTCTTGGTGTCCTTTCTCTAACTCTTCGCGTTCTCGCTCTAATTCTTCGCGTTCTTTCTCCATCTCTTCGCGCTCTTTCTCTAACTCTTCTTCCTTTACTTTGTGCAACTGCTGTTCAAACTCGACTTTCTGTCGCTGTTTCCACTCCTCCAGCTCCTTCATGTGCTCTTCAGTAACCAGGAGAATCTGCTGTTGTGCTTTGGCTTCCTCGTGATCACCTGACGCTTTAGACACATCGTTTTCCACATTTTCAGCGCTAGTGCTGACACCGACAATCAAAGCAGAGATACTCCCTCGATTTTGAACTAAGAAGATTTCCAGTGCTAGGACAGGCTTCCTACCGTCTTTACCCACAGGGACTATTCCATTGGGGGAGGGAAATCTAAAGTAACACGTATTCAGCAAAAGTTTCTCATTGGTGTTTATTAAACCGTCGAAACTGACAGTCGTCACTCCCAAAAGGTCCTGTCCACAGCTGAAACCCACTTCAAATTTTTCTTCGGCAAAGAACTGCTGCAAGATATCCACATTTGATAATAATCGTACCACGATCTTCTCTTCGAAAACGATTTTGTCGTGGAGATCTTTTGAGAACTGTTTGGTTCTGATGGGGATTCCAAATATCTTGATGCTCATGCAGTATTTATTGTTGCTTTGAAAGACTAGTACTTCTGGCAATAGTAGGTCCAAGCTGGTTGCCGATTTGATAAGAATGTTCAAGGAATAATCTTCTGAACAGAGCCGTTCGTCGCCCACTGCAATGTAACCGTCTTCGAGGTATTTGATGGGTATGGCTCCTTCGCTTCTAGGTTCGGCTTCCCAGATCTGTTCCAACGATTCTTGACATGCTACTTCTATTTGATTTCGTATGGTCAGCGACAAGTACAACTCAGGAAAACAATTTCTTTTTTTGTTGCGTACCGCAATCAGTTTCTGCCATTTGAAAGGCACTTTGTCGTCTGGATTTTTCACAATTAGAGCACTTCTCAAGTCTAATAATACGTGCCCAAACTTCTCTCTACGATTTTGGGTATCGACACTCACACATTCTACCCTCAATGGTTGGTTGGAACTTCTAATTTTTCTTAAATCTTTTTTCTCGATTTCCCAGATTAAATTTGTGTTAAACGACGGACAGTCTTCGGCAGTTACCGGATCCGATTCTAGTACTCTCCCATTAAAAATTGCAGAGATAAATGTCAAATTTTTTATGGATTCCATTCCTTTACCTTCTTGGATGGTGAGGACCACATTTACCACTTTACTTTTAAGTTGATCCATTTTGTATACTTGTCAAAAATTTTGACATAACAAAAAACACAGTTAACTTTATAGAAAATTTATTGGGAGATAAAATGGTCGTTGCCTCTTTTTCATTGGTATCTTCTCTGGATAATTTCGCGCGACTCTGGTAAGAAACACGCAGAGACGTTATGGACGTGTTCCTGGTATTCCGAAGTCTTCAGGCGTTCTGCTAGGATTCTTTTGGTGGCACCTTTCGAAAGTGGAATTTGGCTGACATCGACCATGTCATTGATCAACTCATGTCCGACGCAACTGTTGGAAGAAAAATGATCAATTCGTAGTAATAAAGGTATATACTAACAGTGGACACGGAGACGAAAGGTGGGATTTCTCCCAAGAACGGATTTCTCCTTTGGTGGTGTCGTCCCAGACGTATCTTTGGGCAGTAGTAATCTTCTTTTTTTCATACTGAAACAGAATGTATATTCGACACAACCAACTACTGTCGCTACAGTTCTCACCTCAAGTTTTTCATTATTGTAAACGGCAATCAAGGCGGTGTGAATCGCTCGTTCGATCATTTGAATGTACAGCATGACGTTGTATACAGTGATTGATTTATCGTCATGGCCAAGAAGTTGATAAATAGGATCCCCGTTACATTTACAGATTTTGAAAAGTTCATCAATTCCTTTTAACATAGAATTAATGTAGATGTTCATATCTTCAAGATTTTTTTGGCTTTCCTGTGATTCGTTTGTCACCTGTTCGAGTTCAGCTTCTAATTTTTCTAAAGTAGTTCGTCGATGTTCTTCTCTTGAATCCTCAAGATCTTGCTCTATAGTGATCTCACTGCGAAGATCAAATAATTGGTCGTTCAAAAACTCCAGTTCTTCATGAAGATCGTTAACGCGCTTGAAGAGACCAAAGTTCTGCGATTCTCTTTCGCACCATGTTTGGGCTATAACCTCCACGTCGGTCTCTTTTGCAAATTCCTACCGAAAAAAAAACAAAAAAAAAAAATCTCAAAGATCCATACGATAATACCTACAAAAATATTCTGCACGTGGGTTTCGAATTCCTGCATACGCTGCTTGACCAACGTTTGATGTTCTATCGCCTGCAATCTCTTCTTCTCTTTTAAATCTTTCATGATTCTCTTCTGTCCTTTGATATTAAAGAAAGCTTCCAACTTCTTATTGTTGTTTTGTTTCCTTTTTAACTCCCTCATTTCATTTGTGTGCAAGACAAAATCATAGTGTGCTTTGATCCTCAAAGCCTGCAACTTGGAACACCACTCTTCTCTCTGATCATAGGCAATTGTTGCTTGTTCGATAAGATCCATCATGAATTTCTTCCCCAAGACTAACTTGTTGATCAACTTATCCCAGATTTTCATAAACATAAGTCTTTCCCACAGCATTCTTTTGACTTCCAATTTCATTTCTCTGTTTTTTGCACAGGTCATCCCAAACTTCTTGTTCTGAACGTCGAGCTTGTTCATCAACTGATCTATAGTTGTCATGGCAGCCCAGGTCCTTTCCTCGTGTTGTCGATCCGTAATTTGCATGGAACGCAGCCTGGTCACGTCCTTCTGTACTATCTGGATCTGGCCTTGCATTTCAATTAGGTATGTCCGTTCGTCCCCTATGCTTTCCCCGAGGAAGTCGTAGTCTTCAAGTAGTTTGGTTAAGCGATCTGAGTCTTTGGCGTCTTCGCTCTTTTTACCTACAGCCACTTCTAAATCGACTTCGATGTTGAGATGTTCTTTTTTGTAGATACCCAAGATCTTGTTAAGTCTAGCTAGTTTGAGACCGCCAGTAAACAGCTGGCGATCTTTTTCCAAGATGTAGTACTGGCGTTGTAGACATTGTAGTTCTTGCTCTTGTTGTTTTTGGAGTGTTAACTTTTCTTCTTCGGTTAATACCGGTGGCGCGCGAGGCATGACCGCAAAAAATCTTTAAGTGTAACCTACCGTAAAAAAATGCCACTCACATGACATAAACAAAAAAAATCAATATCAAATTACTACCAAGTTGGCCTTGCACGCATCGCCAAGTCAAATCTGGACGTCATCTTGTTATTGCCATTCAGTTGTTTTACAAACGTTGGTATATATTTTTCTGTTTCTTTTATTACAATTTTTTTCGAGTCAGGTATGCAGAAAGTACGTATATCTGATGAAGAGAAACAGTTTCAGACTCAACTAGCTCTAGAAAGAGAACTCCGAACGTTAATTCGCGAGGTTTGTTTCCAATAATCCCTCAAAATTCACTAATTACATAACAATTCCAGTACTTTGTCTTAGATAGAGGGAGTAATCTCAGTAGATTTTCCAAAAATAGTACTTTAGCGAGACAAACTAATGTAATATCAATATTCAAACATGAGCATGCAAACATATTAAGAGATTTAATAAGGGCGAAAGCCCCTGGACGAAAACGTGAAGACGAAAAGCTGTTCGATGAATTGTCAGGACTTATAGAGGAATATCACTGGTACGACAACGAAGTGAAGAGGTCTAAGGTCTACATAGAAGAGTTAAATATTGAGATAAAGTTAGTCCAGAAAGGAGTTCAGCTTTTGCGCAAGCAGCAGATCACAGACAGACAACATGAAGACCGTTTCTGGCAGGCAGTAAAAACAGTGGAAACTTTAGAGAACAAATTGGAGGCACAAATGATTCAATTTGGGACGATCTGTACAAAGAATAAACAATTAAGGGAAGAAATTGATGGCCTTTTAAATGAAAGAAATGTTTTTATGACCCAGTGGGAACGTCTTATTGATAAGTTAATAGAAGGAAAAAAAATTATGCTGGATTTGATCGAACAAGCCACTATAGCTTACAACCAAAGAGAGGATTGGTGTACCAAACTGCAGATTTTACGATATAAAGCTCTCCACGATTTAAATACTAACAGCCAAGAAATGAGAGAAAATGCTAGAAAATATGATCATAATTTAAAATTAAAAGAATTTTTTGACATCAAAGGACAGAAACGTGTTATGAGAGACCTGGAAATAAAGGAAAGAAGGAGGTGGGAAATAATAGAAGAAAAACTAAAGAATAAACTGGAACTTTATAAGAACATGCTAGACGATATTAAGGTTTTTGCTTCTAGTGGTTCAACGAAAATTATATTTCTGTTTTCAGGGTTTTACCAAAACGCAAAACATTAAAAAAATAGCTTCCACTTTTGCCGCAGAGGAAGAGCTAAATTTGTCCAAGTTCAAATACATCCTTTATATGATCAAAGAAACTGAAGAAATAGGTGAACGTTTAGGGTTCTTACATTTCGATATTCAGGAAAAGAACATCCTTCATACTACTAGAGAACTTCAGCAACAAGGTACTTTAGAACAGCTACACTATGATTTAGAGGATGCGACACGCATAGCTGATAAAGCTGAAAAGAAAATGAACGAAACACAAGCAGTCTTTGACGAACTCTTGAAGGGAACTTTTAGTCTCTTTAAAATCTGTAAATGCAACGAAGACCCGCTTATTCAGCTCCTTGGAAATAACACACAGGTGCAGTTTTACAATGTTGAACTATATTTGAATATTCTGGAAAGAACAATACACGAACTTCTTGTCATTGCTGGCTACAAAGACAGCTTGAGAAAACCGGATGACCCCAAGAAACTAATTGTGTTTGAGCCCTACCCATCTGAGATATATCCAATAGAGAAGGTCATAAAGGCCACCCCATGTTCACTGTTAGACTTCATGTATGGTAATAGATAGAAAATATTAACTTCGTTTTTTTTTTTCAAGATGTGTGGAACATGAAATGGTTTCCGATGTAATTGACACGTTGCAGCGAATTTATTCATTGCCTGAAGCTCGAGACAGGTTGAAAAGACGTTTGAAGCTGCCAGGTGGAAAGGCTAGGCTTCACACCATCTCCCATTGTCAGTTACCCAAATCACGGCGTTTGATGCAGAGGAGGTACGAGTAATTACAATGACATTATGCTTAAGTTTTTTTACTAATAAATATACACAGTATTTTGCATTTTATTGTAAAAAGTCGTTTGTCATAACTCTAGAGGCATTATTATTAAACTATTCTAATAAACACGCGCGGGAACTACGTTGATACTTTCGGGAAAACTATGTTAACCTCACTAGGTTGACATCGCATTGTTGTGAGAGAGTGAAGCGTAGATAGTAACAAACATATGATTTGAAGGTAAAATGGATAGAGTCGCCAGTTAGTTTTCTAGTTCTTCGAACAAAGGTCTCTAGGTCAACTTGAAGTGGACCAGACCTGACCTGACGTGACTTGACCTGTAAACGGCCGATTCGGGGAGGTGAGAAGAGTAAATTAGAACGCGAGGAGGATTCCCACCGTAGGTAATTTATTAATAAGTAAGTGATACAGTTTCGGAGGCTTCCACGGTCGAAGTTAATACATGATCGTTTTCCGGCTTGGGACCGTATCAATTGAGTTTTTGCCCCATCTACTGGTCTTTTTGATAGAATCACCCACATCCAATCCCAAAAAAACTCTAGACCAAAAGAAACAAGTCCATATCCGAAAATTTCAGTCCCTTGCTCCAAAACTAAAAAATCGTAAGCAACCTGCTAGTAAAACGGTCGTCAATTTGTCATCTTACTCCCTTTCTGAATCAGAGAACACACTTTTGTCAAAAGGCCTATTAGTGCTGTCGAAACTTCCATCAGAAATCTGCGAAGAGAAAACGCAGACTCTACTCGTTTCGAGACAGCAAAAATCCTGCACTCAGCACGCCCAAGAAGAATTAAAGGACCGCTCGCACTTCTCTTAAAACTAATACCGACCTAGGCATCCTGCCCGCTGACAAAGGCAATGCCACTGTCATTCTGGACAAAGCAGAATACATCGATAAAATACACTTCTTGTTACAAGACGGTTCCTATTCTATTCTTCCTCGGGACCCAACTTCACGCATAGAACGTGAGATCACAACTCTGTTGAGATCGGGTGACTTCCTAACCGATGTGTTCAAACGTCTAATACCCCGAAACTGCAAACCACCACGTATATACGGTCTGCCCAAAATTCACAAAAACAATTGCCCTCTCAGATCCATCGTCAGTACTTTAGAGTCTCCCACTTACAATACAGCCCAATACCTCGGCCGTGTTCTGAAAGAATACACCGGAAAAACCTCTTCACATATTCTTCTGTCCTCACATTTTGTCCAACTGATCTCCGAAATCTTTTTTGACCCCGAAGATAGAATTGTCAGTTTATTGGGGCTTTCCAGAAACGTAGTGCAGGATTTGGCGGAATCCTGGGAAGTCGAGGGGGAATATGGGATTAACCTAACCATTCTTATTGAATAGGGTTTCCGGTGTTAGGGAGCCATATCTTCAGACCAGAGGAATGTTCGGTCGCTGAATTGAACGCGTGAATGAGGTAAAAACGTGGGCAGGGTCGTGGGGGACAAACTCACCCAATGTGACACATAGGGCCTGAATACAAGCGAAACAGGAAAACCCGATTAGGTACAACAGATGATCAGACGATGGTATAACAATACGAGGGCAGAATATTGTGCACACGCATAATTAACTAGGATAGTGATAACTTGTAGTTACAGGGTTTCTATAAATGATTATAGGATCGAAGTAGGTCATGGAAGCGTGATGCCTATCACTTTATATGTATTTTACTAAATGCTCAAGGATGCACGATAAATACCACATGCATCTGTATAACTGGTTGCCTAAATGCCTCTTGTTATTAAAAAATAAAAATAATTCATAATACAATAAAAATAAACACCCAATCTCTGTTTCTTATTTTCAAAAATGTTTTGTAACATCCTTTCGTCAAACGGGTGAGTCAGCTGGACTCAACTACTGCAGTGATCTAAGGCTTATAAAATATGTTTCTCACGCTGTTAGGTTAGATAGGTCATAAAAAACGTTTGGACTAGACATACTTGAACACCGGTGTCTCCTCTAAACCCAGGTCATAGTAGATTCTAATCCCCATTGAAGTGATGATTGGCGGTCAGTACATTCCTATATTATACATTTACATACACAAAGGTGGCGGATAGGGGAACGCCTCTCAGATATGAGTGGTACCGAGGAAATCAAATACTCGGGGCAGACCAAAACCAGCACACAAAGGACACGACGGTCTCCATGTTAGGAGCGGTAGTCCGACAGCGTCTGTTCTCCAAGTAGGAGCGGCTGAACACATAGTCAGGAAAGCAACGGGAAACTACCTGACTCATACAAATTCCCCAAGATATCACGATGAGCACACAAAATAGAACAATGGCCCTCAGTCCCGGACACCCCTTAGATGGGGAGAGGGTGCGAAGAATCCCCCGGTTACCCAATAAAAACAAAAATGATTTTAAGATTCACAAGGAAAAAAGAATTGGCACATGGAATGTGAAGAGTATGTATCAACCTGGAAAAGCAGCGAACATAATAAAAGAAGCAAAACGACTTCAAATCGACATACTAGGATGCAGTGAAACAAGATGGCCAAATTCAGGTCAATGCACCATTAATGAACATCACATATACTTTTCCGGAGACAATACTACCAAAAACAAAAATGGCGTAGCAGTAATTCTAAATGACCAAACCAACAAAAGTGTAAAAGGATTTATCCCCATTTCAAGCAAAGTAGCATTGGTCAAAATCAAATCAAACCCTTTCGACACAAATATCATTCAAGTATACGCACCAACAGCTAACAGTAATGAACAAGAAATCGAAGAATTTTATGAAGAAATAAGAATAGCAACTAAACATACGAAGAAAGAAGAAGTTAACATCATCTTAGGCGACATGAATGCCAAAATTGGGCTGGGAAAAATAGAAGATGTGGTAGGAGATTTCGGACTAGGAACCAGAAACGAAAGGGGTGAACGTTTAATAGAATTTTGTCAAGAAATGAACTTCACCATTATGAATACCTTCTTCAAACTACCTCCCAGAAGGCTATATACCTGGAGAGCTCCTACAGACAGCAACGACAGAATCGTAAGAAACCAGATTGATTTTATAATAATAAACAAAAAATACCGAAACGCAGTAACTTCTTGCAAAACATACCCAGGAGCAGACATACCATCGGACCACAACCTATTACTAGCACGTACTAAACTCCGACTAAAGAAGGTTGGCAAAGGAAGACCATTACGAGGAGCTGACATGCAAAAACTAAAACAACATACCGTGTTTCAACAAACAAAGGACAGGATAAATACTGAACTCAAAACAATTTCCGAAAAGAACGCATCTGACCTGGAACTAGAAGATTTATGGGACAAAATAAAGTCATCGTTAACATCTGTTGCGGAAAAAGAACTAAAACCCGACAAAAGAATTAAAAAACAGGAATGGATGACAAATACAATTCTCGAACTGATGGAAGAAAGAAGACAACATCGGAACAAGAATAATGATAAATATAAAGAGCTACACAGAAGAATATTACACGCAATCAAAGAGGCTAAAGAGAGATGGATGCAGGAGAAATGTGACGAAATGGAGATTCTACAAGCCAAACATGACACTTTTAACCTACACAAAAAAATCAAAGAAACAACAGGAACACAGAGAAGGAAAGTTAATGGAATATTGCTGGACTCAGATAATAACTGTATTAGTGAAACAAAAGAAAAACTCGCAAGATGGAAGGAATATATGGAAGAACTGTTTGGAGACGAAAATACCGACATCATGACAAACACAAACACAGAAGAAGGACCAGCAATAACACAAGAAGAAGTAGAATCATCTATAAAAAGACTAAAAAACAACAAGAGCCCCGGACCAGATCAAATACACGGTGAAATTTTGAAATTATTGGGATCAGAGCAAATACAACTGTTGACAATACTCTTCAACAAAATATACACAACAGGAAAAATACCAAACGATTGGTTAACATCAACCTTTATTCCAATCCCAAAAAAGAATAATGCCACCAAATGCTGCGAACACAGAATAATCAGCTTAATGAGCCACCCGCTAAAAGTGTTCCTTAATATTATACAAGCACGCATATATAAAAAACTTGACTCAAGCATAAGTGATACCCAATTCGGCTTCAGGAAAAGTCTAGGTACCAGGGAGGCGCTGTTCTCCATACAGGTTCTGATTCAACGTGCCCGTGACGTCAATGCAGATGTATTCGCATGCTTTACAGACTTCGAAAAGGCTTTTGATAAAGTTAAACACACCAAACTCATATCAACTCTACGAGAATCAGGCATTGACGAGAGAGACATAAAAATTATAACAAACTTATATAAAGAACAAAAAGCCACAATACGAATAAATAATGAGGTATTAGAATCATTTAACGTAAGAAGAGGAGTACGGCAGGGATGCATATTATCGCCTCTCTTGTTTAATGTGTACTCAGAACAACTTTTCAGAGAAGCATTGGAAAACACAGATGATGGTCTTATAATAAACGGGGAAATAGTAAACAATCTCAGATACGCGGACGACACCGTCCTCTTAGCTGACAGCGCCGAAGGACTTCAAAGACTCATAGACCGTGTAGTTAATGCATGTAACATATACGAGATGAAATTGAACACCAAAAAAACGCATATACTAATCATCAGTAAAAATAATACCCATAATCCACAAATTACCGCTAACAACACAGTTCTCAAGATAGTCGACTCTGTAACATACCTGGGATGCACTCTGAATGAAGACTGGGACCACTCACGAGAAATAAAACATCGAATAGAAACAGCAAGAGCCACATTCAACAAAATGCGCAATGTATTATGCAACCTACAACTTAACATAAAAACCAGAATTAGGATACTAAACAGCTATATACTACCAACTCTCCTATATGGAGCGGAAGCATGGACGCTCACTGATGCATCGTGCAAACGTGTAGACGCGTTTGAGATGTGGTGCTACCGCCGCATGCTAAGAGTATCCTGGACCCATCACGTGTCAAACGAAACCATTTTGCAGAAAATTCATGAAAAACTGAACTTCCTAACAACTATTAAATACAGGAAATTGGAATACTTCGGTCACATAATGAGAGGGGAAAAATACCGCGTCTTACAGCTAATACTGCAAGGCAAAATAGAAGGTCATAGAACAGCAGGACGCAGAAGAATATCGTGGCTGCGAAATTTAAGATCATGGACCGGATTGACCTCAATGGCACTATTTAGAGCGGCGGTAAATAGAGTAATGTGGGCAAATGTGATAGCCGACATCCACAGAGGATAGGCACTTCAAGAAGAAGAAGATACACAAATATCAATATTTGGGTAAAGAATGTCTCTCACGTGTGGGCCGTTGAATGATTTGATTGGTAAACCGTGATTTCTGCCTTATGGATTTGTGAGATCATGGGAAGTAATATGTGATTTTGTTTGAATATGACTGAAGAATAGGATTCATTTAAGGGTAGAATTTTCAGCTATAGTGGCTTATCTCCTTGTATAAACTTCCTGCTGAGAACAATCACCGAAATATACTCCATATCCAGATATGGGCAGCACCCTCGCTCTCAACCAAATCACTTCACTGGTAATTCACTTCGAGCTCATGTCTTTGTCTACGATTTTTTTGTGGAAATATCATCAATGAATGCATGAAGACTCTGGGTTCAAATGCGACACTTTTGCTCAACGACGACTAGTCTGACCATTTCTTCAGCATTTTGGCTGGACAGTCGGCGACAAAACTATGGAAAATAAATTTTTATGCATTCTTTACTTTACTGCGGACTAAAATTCCTATAAATAGTCGATCAGTGAGTTCGTCAGATCACGTACAGCACCATGTAAACCCTCAAGATATCTTGAGTCGAAAAACCACAACATCGAGCTCCCCTTGACTCGCTGAGCTGTTGAAACAATCGTATTATGGTGTAAGTTATCATTGGTCTGATTAAATTTCGCTTGCATGCAGTATTTTTTCCTCGTACAGCCGTGTTACTGCCTCATTAGATATCGCTACTCTGCAATCACCAATAAGTTGGAGCGTCACATCGTGAAACCTCCGCACCGGTCTAAATTTCACCTTCTCGGTCTATATTCTGAGAGTCCTCTCACTCAAACTCCGTACTCGCGCCTGCCTCATCCACATGCTTAACCTATGGGCTGGACAAAAAGTCTGTTCAGTCCCTAGGTTAAGCATGTGGGTGAGGTAGACACGAGTACATAATTTGGATGAAAGTACTCTCACAATACTCTCAAGGCGTGAGTCCGAATCGCCGGTACGCCCATTCGTTACGAACGAGTAGATAAACTACTCCCTCTTGACTTTCTATGGTTCCCTCAATTAATATACCGTGAAGATAAAGTAAATGGAGTCGTTTTCTGGATAAAAACATATTCAAATCAGTCGGACTAGAAGTGTTCGTCCACATGCGGATCAACTAAATTCAACAAGGTTGCACGATAAAACCGCTTGGCCGAAGCGAGGTGAGAAACAGGTAACCCAAACGAGGGGAGGTCTGAGACACCGGCTGAACAGAAAGAGTAACGGCACCTGCGTTGGCCAAAGTCGAAATGTGGGCAAAACCCAAAAGAGTTGAATGTTGTAGATAAGTGAAAATACATTCAACTGCAGTACAGCGAAGAATTTTCCGCAGTGTGACATGAACATTAAATAATTCAATCAGTCCCCTCAAAAAGTTATCTTCTTAATAAGGGAACCTTTTTGATCACTCGGTGCGCTATAATAATGATATAATGTTTATCCCCACAACACCGAAAACATTATAAAGACAGTAAATATTTTTAAAACTTTATTTTTTTTCTACTCTTAAATCTTACATTCTCCTCCCTGTATTACTGGTACCGTAACTGTTGCATGCGCCGAGCTTGCGGCATATGGCATTTGGACAATGTATGCAAATACGTAAGATTATCGTCCGGTGCAGTGATACGAATCTGCAGTCGTTCTTTAACTTCTGCCCGGCTCCACACCCGTTGGGCTTTCTCAATAACATCAGAAATCATTTCATGCTCCAGACACCTAAAAAACAAAGTTAACACAAGTTGAAAATATTTTTTTCTATGTACAAAGCGCATGGGTGATTTTTGACGATTTGATCGATGGTGTGCATCTTTGTGGGCTCTGTGTCTTCTATAAATACTCTCTTCTGAGCAAATTTCTTGTCGCACTATAAAATAATTACAGTTTAACAGTAAAAAAAAATAATAAAAATGAGACTGACTTTAGTTTTGTAGGTAGCATTAAGGATATTGTTACAAATAGTGTTTTCTAAAACTTGAAGATAAAGTAGCACGTTGTAGTCTTTGATCGTGCTTTGATCACCCAAGAGCCGCAAAAGAGGATCCTTATCACAGTGACATAATTTGAAAACATAATGAATGTCTTTCATCAGACGCTCCAACTTATTGTCAAGTTGGTGTATTTCATCCGTAAGTATTTTAGTATCCTGGGTGGATTTTTGTAATTGTTCCTCCAAATTTTCAATTGTTTTAGTCTGCTGTTCTGCCATATGATCTAGCGATAACCTTTGTTCTTCTATACTCTCGTAGAGAGAACCAAGTGTGTCATTGGCCAACGCCATGTTGTTCATCGCGTTAATTACATATTTGAAACTGGAGAAATTATCGGCTTCCCTTTGACGGTATTTTCTGGCAATCACGTCCGTGTTTGTTTGTCTTGCAAACTCGACTATCTCTGTCAGCATAATCTTATATTCATGCATTTTTTGTTCCATGATCTTTTGCATTTCCACCCTCTTTAACGTTTCCTTCTGAATTAAATCTTTCACCACCCGTTTCTGTCCTTTTATAGAAAGAAACTTTTCTAGTTTTACAATGTGGTCTATGTTCTGTCTGTATCTTCTCATTTCTTCCACATTAATGACATAATCTTTATGTCCTGACGTCCGCAATATTTGCAATTTATTGCACCAATCTTCCCTTTGATCGTACGTTATAGTCGCTTGTTCGATCAAATCTAACATGATTCTTTTGCCAGTTGTCAATCTATCGATCAGTTTCCCCCACAGCGTTTGAAAATTTCTTCGGTTCCACAACAAATGGGTGATTTCGTCTCTCATCCTTGTATTTTCGGTCACAATCATATTAAATTTCTTCATTTCCGCATCTAGTTTATTTTCTAAGGTCTCAAGTGTTTGCACAGCAGCGTGACAAGTGTCTTCGTATTGTCGATCTGTAATCTGCATCTTTTTCAACGCATGCACGTTTTTAGTAACGTCTCGTATTCGTTGTTCGAGTTCAGCCATGTATGTTTTTTGTGTTTTAACTTCTTCAGTGCAAATTTCGCCGAATTGGAGAATTGCGGCCAAATTCTTGAATTGAACATTGTCTCGTTTTCGTTTTTCTGGACCTGTTGCTACTGCCAAATCCTTGAGAATATTTTCGTATTCTTTTTTAAAGATGTTGACAACTTTACTAGCTTTGGTGAGTTTGGTGAAGCCAGTAAGTTGAGACATTGCTCTTTCGCGGTCCAGAATCCAAAACTATAACAACAGAGTAATGTGTTTTCTTAAAAAGGAAACCTACCTCTCGAACGAGTCGAACGAGTTCTTTCTCTTCATTTTGTTTGTCTTTATTCGTGTTTTTCTGTACTGTAACGAGGGAAGGCATTTTTACAACAAAAAATCACAAAAAATGAACAAAACGTATCACGTGAAAAAAATAACAAAAATGACAAAGACGACGTTTCACGACAAACAACTAAGCATATACTACGTGATTAAGAAGATCAGCGAATTCTCTTCCTCATGAGCTATAATCAAATGTGTAGAGTTACAGCAAAGTTTGTTTGTACTTTTACTCACAGATTTCTCTTTGAAGTATACCGCTGTTATCAAACCAGAAATTTTCTTTTCGATCAGTCCCAAGTAGATTAAAACGTTATCTTCATTGACGTCTGGGTTTTGGCCTGGAACAACACATCAAAAGCAATATATTCATCTGGTAGACTTGTCTCTTACTAACCCAAAAGACCCAAAATTGGTGTAAAATCACACCCGACACTTTCAAAAATACCTCTTATGCCTACCAAAACCTCCGACAATGCGTGTTCCGCCTTCTTCAAAATTTCTTCATCGTTGTCAGCTATTTTTGTCGCCTTTTCTAAAGCTTTAGTCAAGCTTTCTAATGTATTCTTCTCCTTTTTGGCTTTTTGTTCACATATTTCTTTCTGTTCACTAATTCTCGTTTTAATGTCTTCAATAGACTCCTCTAAAACCTCTAGTTCGTGATTCAACTCATTCACGTAATTAAAGAGGGCAAAATTTTCTTCTTCTTGCTTCGTGTATTTAACAGCAATCTTTTCCACATCACCCTCTTCACAAAACGACTTGATTTTATCCAGCGTTTCTTGGAAGATTTTGATTTGCTTTTCTAATTCTTCCTTCTCCTGTTCTTTCTTTCTCATTTCTTTTTCTTCCAAGTCACGCATGACACGTTTTTGGCCTTTAATAGTCAAAAACTCTCTCAATTTGCCGTCGTGGTCCAACTGGCGTTGCATTTCTCTCATTTCCTAGAAACAGTAAATGAAGAACCAGAATAGAAGAACAGTAGTAGTACCTGGGTATGCACTATGACGTCATTATGGGCTCGTATTTTCAAAGCGTGCAGTTTCGAGCACCACTCTTCCCTCTGATCATACGCCATAGTGGCCTGTTCAATCAAATCCAGCATGAACTTTTTCCCCGTGTTAAGATCAAAAATCAGTTTTTCCCAAATTGCATTAAATCTTGTCCTCTCCTTTAACAGGTGGTCGATTTCTTCTCGCATTTGTTTGTTTTCGGTCAAAACTGTACAGAATCGCTTGATCATGGTTTCCAGTTTGTTTTCGAGCATCTGCACGGATTTTCGGCCAGATTTGATCCTCTCTTGATATTCTCCTTCTGTAACTTCTTTCAGTTTGAGTTTTTCCACTTGTCTTTCTGTTTTCTTGACTTGTTGGTTGATTTCTTCCAAGCGGAATTTTTCTTTCTTGAGTTGGTCGATTAGGTCGTCGTGTTTTTGGAGGAGAATTTCTAATTGGAAGGAAGTCGTGGTGTCTTTGCGTTTTTGGCCGTCGGATGTCGCTACTTTGATGTCTGCCGTCAAATCATCTTTTTCTTTTTTCAGTCGAGAGATGATGCGCTGCTGTTTTTTGAGTTTGTTGGTAACTTCGTCAAGGAAAGCTTTGCGGTCGCCTTCCATAATGCGGTACTAGTAACAAAAAAGATTCTTGTTACAGATTAAGTCAGTCACGTCAGTGTTAATTATCTTAAGTCTAACGTTAAATTTTGCTTTGTATAACGTTAAAGAGTTTAGATAAAACGCTAACCAAAAATTGGCTTATCATCCCAACTGACAATTTAATGACGTCCCTTCAATTTTTTTTAGTAAACACCATTTAAATTTAATAAAATAACATACCCCTATACTTGTGGTTTATAAATCCGCCTTGGCCCTAGGCATCCAGATTTTCGCAAAAAAAATCCAAATTGCATTTTAGTAGTTACCAGTCAAAGAGCACAAATGTTGAAATAAATCAATTCTATATTAAGTAATTTTTTTGTTGCCATTTAAATTAATGATGCGCGACTGAACATGGTTCGCCCGATATTTTTGTTTTCATTTTGGTTACGTGCTCACCACAATGATTATCTACACTCTGTCATTATTGTTCCAACTTCTTGGACAATTACCTGAATTGCTACCTTCCTAACCTCAGATTATTATTGTTTCGTAGAATGTGGGATTAATTCTAGTTAAATCATTTCAATTGAATTAAAGCAACAATGCTATGAATATAACCTCAATAAATATGAGTAATATGACTGTGTTATTCCATCAAACTCTCAATCATACGTTAGTTTTTGCTTATTGTAAAAGAATAATTCTGATAAATGTCTAATTTCACGGTTTAACTTGAAGACTATCGAAATGTCGCTCTCCCGTTTCCGTTTATCTATCTGTTAGACAGAAAATTCTTTAAACCAGTGGATCGATTGTTGTCAAAGTTTACAAAAATTGGGTTCATTGTAAAAGGTAAAACGTTAAATGGATGTGTCATCTTAAAAGTGTTAAGTAAATCTCGATGGAAATTTAAAATATGATACTAGTTACAGAGCTTTAACACATTTTTCTCTACGTCCGTTAAAAAAGTCGCTGTTGATTTGATTTATTAATTAGTGTAGCTAAAACATGTGCTTATTTAATCGTGTAAAAAGTAGAAAAGCGTGATAAAACGTCGTCGTAACGTTTCATTACTTAATCTTTGATATTAAAATCTCATTAGATGCGTTCGGTTTTGAACCCACACAAACATTAATTTTTTTAAACCGAAATTATTTCGATACTACTACCTTTGTCCAAAATTAACATGAAACCCTTTCCTGAATTCTTTTCCACCGTTTCTCCAACAGATGGAATAAAACGCGTCTCATACGCTTATGTGAATTAGTTGACTTCCGCGATGTGATTTCAAATTTTGTAATATCAAGCGTAATTTGAGGTGTCTGATTGTCTGAAGCTCGACAATTTTTTCATCAAATTGCGTGATGTGAGATTTTGTTGTCTCCTCGCTTTTGGCTACATTTAAGGTAATTATTTCCTTGATTCATTCATAATTTTGTATTTTGCTATTACCTATAGATCTGAACCACTGTGTAAGTTGTAAGTGATCACGAATGTGAAGTGATGAGGAGTATAATACACTTTATTGACAAACGGAAACGAAGTGCATTTAAATTTATACAAGAGAATGTATAGTGCTATTGGCTCCTTTTACCGAAAAATCGAAGAGTCAAAATTCATCAACGCTTTAGTCCAGTTACTCAAAATTTAAACTAGCACTGTCGTTATGCAATAATGTGGTAAATCGCAAATTTGCAAAGCTAACAGCTTACTTGAAGGGATAATCATTTGGCTATAAATCGGAAAACGAAAATCTTTGTCGAAAAAACAAATGAATCACATAAGTCACTTTAATTAAATTTTACTGGAATCATTAAAAACTGAATAAAATAAAAAACAGAAGTTTATTTGGTACTTAACTGCCCTTTTCAAAGAAGCGGGATTTGTTGGGCTGCACTTCAGGGGCGATGAAAGTTCTGTCGAAATAATCTTCGACCAATTTTTTTCGTCGGAAATGAGATACGCTAAAAAGAATTTTGGGTCGAAGAAGCTGCTTTGTTACAACTACAAAATCCATGTGACGTATAGAGCTTTGTAATCTGAACTGTGGTGAAAACCGCGTTCCAAAGTTTCCATAAATAATTGAGATATTCATTTTTAACAGGTTTAGCGCCATGGCGGACGCCGGTGTCCGCTCTGGTTTCTAAACTTTGTTGATCATTCCTGGCCAAGCGGACGCACTTTTGAGCTATTTAACGTAGTAGTGTGACCGCTGTGGCCCTGCGAAACTGCATCCTGGTTCCAGGTTTTTTATAGCAAAATTTATTTAGAAAATAATAATGTCATAATTGTTTTATGTTTAAAGAAATTTATTGAATAGTATATTGAATACTTTTGTATTTATACAATGTATGATTAGTACAAATTATTTATTGTGGTATAAGTTAAAGCACTCGAGGCAATATCTTGGATTTCCATCGCATTGTTGACAATAGGTAGTAACTTTCTTCACTTTATTCTTTTCGATAATGCCATCCACCTTTTTTTGGTAGCATCCTTTGCAGTATCGACGATTTTCTCGAGCTTTACAGTCTAGTCTGGTAAATTGATGTGTTTTAAGAATTTGATGTCTTGGCTGACGAGTTTGCGCAACATCGCGTTTATCTTCGAATTTCAACAAGTCTTCAGTTACCAATAAGCGAAAATCGTTTATTGGAATGTTGCTTTGTTCAATATCCTTGTAAATGATGTGAGCATTTACCATTGAAGTACCTAATCAAACATACATAAAAGTCGCAACATTTACAAAAAAAATAAATGATTTCTTACCCAACAGTACTTCAATTGCCAGTTTTTTGTACCAGCGGATGGACTTCCGTAAAGCTGAACTGTAGCTTGCCATTTGATCAGAAAGATCAATCGAACTTTTGCCTGAATTATAATGCACGATAGCTGTGGGCTTTTGAATAGATTTTCCTCGGCGTTGAATTTCTACCATTTGGTCTGTATGACATGTGGACAAAACCAAGACATCCCGTTTGTCTCGCCATTTGACTAGACATATTCCTCTTTCGTTTTCTTGGGAAAATACCTCACCTTTTTTCAGTTTCTTTTTTATTACTTCTGGCGGGTTTCCTTTCCGGTTCGCCCTCAATGTACCTAAGCAATGTGTTTTATGATCTAACAGTATGTGCGCAAGTTGAAGACTTGTGTACCAGTTATCTGTAATACACAGTCTACCGCTACCTAAGAGATCTTTCGCCAACTTGAGCACAATTTGTGTTGAAACGGCCAGTGGATTATCTGTCGTTTTCTCTTTTCCTGCATAAATACTGATGTTCCAGGTGTACCCGTTGTTGCAACAAAGTTTGAAAACTTTTATTCCGTACTTATGTGTTTTCTGTGGATTGTATTGTTTGAACACTAGTCTTCCTTGAAAAGGTACCATCGTTTCGTCGATACAAAATGTCTTACCAGGTGTGTATACAGTTTGATAATTTTTGGTGAGCATATCGATAAGCGGTTGAATCTTATATAGACGATCTCCTTCAGGACACTGTTCGTTATCGGAGAAGTGTAGCATCTTTAGCAATATTTCAAATCTGTTACGACTCATGACGTTGCGAGCAACGTCTGATTTTAGAAGCCATTTCTGAGACCAATAATCGCGAAGGCTGTTCATACGAACCATTCCCATATAAGAAAGCAGACCTATCAAATGTATGATTTCTGCCCGAGTGGTTGGTTCCCAATTGTGCACACGAGATTTGTTTGAAATATTGTTATTACACATAACAAACTGCGTTGCATAAATGTTGGTTTGATCCACAATTGCATCAATTATATCAAAATCAACAAAAGCAAAATAATAGTCAATTGGGTGGTGTCCCATCAATGCGGCCTGCCATTCCTGTTTTATCCCACTTTCAAAATTTTCTTCAAATTGAAGATGATTTCCTACAGGAGGAACCCAGACTGATTGTGTCAAATCATATAGCGTTTGATCAGCATCATTTTCTGTTTCAATCCATTCTTCATGTGCTATATTATCGTCTCCAAAATGAGTAGAACCTGCACTTGCGTTCCGAGTGTTTGAGTCATAAAAACTGCAGAACTATCTTTCACCTGTTCTCGTTCTATATCTTCTTTAGATTCACTTGTTATATCTTGATATTTGCTTTCTATTTCTTTTGTGGTGCGTTTACCACGAAAGATGTTAGAAGGACCTGGCATATTTTCATTTCCTACCGATAAAGAAGAAATATTCTTCGTCTTTTTTACAGGAATTTCGCAATCACTATCGGTAGAATAATTGTCTGAGTTTGAACTATCAGGTAAAACAAAACCTGGATCTACGTCAGAATCTGCTGAGTACGGTTCACTTAGTGAATTATTACTATTGAAAATTATCAGTGTGATATTTCATATAACATCTAATTTTCGGACACTTACCACCAGAATGCTGTTTTTGTTCTAAAGCTAGTTTTACAATTCGTTTTCCACGACTGTTCATTTTTTCTACAAAAATAAACACAACGCCACTAATAACACCCAAATAAATAGCAGATTTTAAGACAAAACCTGTAAAATTGCAATGGCGGACACTTCGGGTCGTCTCGTGTCCGCTCGGTAGTCACGTTCCACAGCGGACACCGGTGTCCGCTAAGATTGCAAACGGGCCACAGCGGACACCGGTGTCCGCTGTCTGTTTTTTGTCAATTGGCAAACAAAAAAAAATTGAAAAGTATTTTTTTTGATAAAAAATAAAACTATATATATCTGAGAAATTGTCAAAAAAACGGTTTGGTCCAGGGTGACTTTCTGTTCGAATTACCTTGGCGCTAAACCTGTTAAAATACATACGTTAATAAAAAATTTCACCAAATTAAAAAAAAAATTATGGTGGTAAATCATTTAAAAAAAAACTGCCCGCTGTGTTGTATAGAGAAAGTTGTGGACAGCTTTTATTTAAAATTTCATTGGAATCAGTTTTGAAACATATTATTTCTACACTCCCTAATTATCCCTACCAAGCTTGTGACGGCATCACTTCAAAATTTTGCTAGTAAACGTTGTTTAAAATTTTTAAAATAAGATACTCCACTCCTAAACTCGTGGTTTGTGAATTTGCCTGAATTTTTTACCCTAAGCATCCAGATAAAATCAAAATTGTATAACAACATTTTTTATTATTCAATTTTGAAAGGATCGTAAGCATGGTCAATCGTTAATCAAAATTTATCCTCCCCAAAACTTGATAAGATCATCCAAAAATTTTGATGAAAAATCTTAGAACAGAAAATATGCAAAATATTTATTATGAGTCTATACTTGTGGTTTATAAATGCATTCACATTGTTAGAATTTCTTATACAGGTGACTCAAAAAATTAATGAATGATGCAATTTATTTTATTGATCAAATAAAGACCGGTTCACTCCTTTTTCCAAAAATTTGAGAATACAGTATTATTACAATTCGTATTACACTGCACCTATTCCATTTGATATACAAGGTGTTTGAAATTTACGCATACCAAAATTCTATTACCGCCAGCAGTAACTCTGAAGATTATAAATTATATGACATGATAAGAATTCGAACCAAGTCTTCGCAGAAATACTAGCAAAAGTTACTACAAATTGACAACACTGTATTTTCTAGTGCACAAATAACTGAAATTATTTATGTTGTATTCTAGAAAATGAAGACAGGTAATACCAAGGGTGGGGAAAAAGTGCAATTTTTTATTTTATAAACAAATATACGAGGGTAATTGTGAGGCTCAAATATAAACCTTTTCTGACAATTACATAAAATCTGAATGAGTTATAACAATTAACAAAAAAATGGCAGCTGATTACAAAAGTATCGGGAAAATTTTGCCATACCTTGGGAGTTCTAGGGTTAATATCTAGCGATCCGCCACTTAAAATTAAACTGATATTTTCAAGGAGCGTGTAACCAGTATTTTTATGAGTTACTTCTTTTAATTTTAATTAACTGAATGTACTCTGTTTCTAGTTTTGTAATCGTCTTATCCGAAAATTCTAAAATCAAATTTTTTATTTGTTCGAAATGTTTCGTGTAAAAAATTGCGACATTTAACCAAGTACTATGGGGTAATAACGGGTTCAGGTGGCAGTGGAGTATTTGGAAACTTTTCTTTATATATTTGCACCCTAAAAGGTTACTATACAAATATGTCTTTAACATTATTTAATAAGGAATTTACAGTTAGAAATTGTTGTCTAATTTCCTCAGCAACTCTATTTAATTCGTGCGCGAAACTTACAACTTGAATCAAATTAGGATATAAAAATTTTCGTTTTTGACCGTCGTTAATTATACGAGTATATGCGGATCCATCGGACAACTTCATGAAAGATTCAGTAATAAATCTTAATACAGTCAGATGGTTGTTTTTTCTATGTTTTCATGCAATTAAATAAGATTTATTAGAGCCTTTACCATTTAAATAATCTAACAGTAGATTGGCAATATAACGCCCGGAAGCATGAGTAGTTTCCCCTACTACAAAATATATTTTTACAATTTCTTTAATACTAGAAATAGTCTCATTGTAAATATAATTTTTCCTCAGCGTACTTTCGTCCGATATAACATTTTTACAACATTTTTCTATAAATGCTCTGAAACAAGAGTCTTGCGAATTTTTAAAGGAAATATTGGCACTAAGCATCGTTTTACACAAATCTGAATTAAATGCTTGCTGTTCTTTTTTTTTTGAAGCATGCTTTGCAGAAAACATTTTCGTCAGTTGAAATAAGTTCACAATAATCTTTTATGTATGAATTTATTAACGTTGTTTTCATTAGGGGCATTTATTTAGTTGTGAATGAATTAGAAATATTTTGTCAAATTATTCTCCCCATCTTTACTTGCCAATATCAGGCATAAAATATTGTAAGCTCAGTCGACATGTATCCAGTTAGATTTTTATGACTTAAGACAAACCGTCCTTCTAAATCTAACTTGTAAACTGCAACACACAAATTTTTAGGTACATTTATTTAGAAAAATACCAAAAAATCCCAAATAGATATTCAAATGTTTTTAGACTTTCGCCAAACGGAAATCATAAATAAATGTTATTGCCACCTAATAAACCGTTCACAAGAGGAGACTTATTAACTTCGGATTTTACGAGTATCTGAGGAAAAGAAGTAGTTTCGATTTTTTTTTTGAACTGACAAAGTAAAATATGCATACATACTCGTATGCTTAAATCGACAGAATATGTAAAATACATATACAACAATTAATCTGCCTCAGTCAGTTTAAAAAAGGATAATTCAGATACACACTAAAGCATTTGCATATTTGTCTACCTATAAGTAGGGGAAACATCGCGGCAAAGCGAAAATTTGATTTTTAGGTCACCTTATTTCATTGTGTCCCGTCTTACACCACATAGATATTTTACTCACCTGTAAGAAAGAATAGAAATTGTTTTCTATGTTGAGGTATCTTACGTCTTTCAGATGGTTAGAAATTACAAAAGAAAGTTCTCTCAGCAATGGTGGTCTGAGGAGTCCATGTAATTAGCAATCCGTGATCTGGGCAACAAGGTATCTCAGGTCGTAAAAATTTAGCCAGAAAATATTTCGTTTAACGACATTGCACAGGAAGAACAAGCCTCTAAGAAAAAATTTGGGCCATTTAGGACTACATTTACAGCAGATCAAGAAAACCAATTAGAGCAGCACATTCTTGAAATGAAAAAGAGACCTTTTGGCTTGACCCTGAAAGATATAAGAAATCTTGCATTTCAATTTGCGGGACGAAGTAGGATGACTAATAATTTTAAAAAGGAGACTGGTATGGCAGGAAAGGCACTGGTTGTCCAGTTTTCTAAGAAGACAACAAACAATATCCTTACGTTTACCAGAAAAGACTTCCTTCGCCAGAGCTGCGGGTTTTTAACAAACCGGTTGCAGCAAAATTTTTCAAGTTACTGGGTAATTTAATGGACAAGCATTGTTTTCCACCCCAGTCCCTAACAAGTCGAGTCGTATTCTTTCCATGCGAGGTAAAAACCGGTGGGAGTCTTATTTTCGGCAGAACGAGGAGTTCTCGAAGTAGGTCTTCCACCAGAATCAATTGTGTAATGTTTTCCGGATGGATGCTGAAACATATTTTCTCTGATGCATGGCTTCCGCATTTCTTAAAATTTGCAACACGATTGAAAAAATCCTGAAGTAATGTCCGACTCAAAGGATGAGGAAGGAAGATTTACTTGAAGAAACACCGTCAGCAGAACGTCTGTTAGGCCATTCTTCAAACACAACACCGTCTCCACAACCGGGTCCATTCAGAAGAGCTTGCTCCTTCTCAAAGCCGGAGAAAACCTTTTGGACTTCTCAAGATAATGTTTGCACCGAAAGAAAACAAACTTGGAACAACTGTCACACGAAGACGTGGAAAAACGATTATACTAACAAGTACCCTTAATACTGCAGAGCTTAAAAATAGTGACATAACTGTAGCTATAAATAAAAAACAGATAGTTAAAAGTGAAATTTTTGCAAAAAAAAAACTACCACAAAAATGGTCAACAAGAGACCAAGAAAATATGATATAAGTACAAGTAGCAACGACGCTAAAGACAGATGGATACACATGATTCGACAGATCAGGAAAACGAAGATTTGCGACAACTATTTGCCACAACATTTACTACAGAACTTATTAACATGGAAAATATTGCCGATAATGATTTTTATTGATTCAGTTATTAGAAGAAAAGCGAAAAATATACAAGCAATTTGTTCCTCAAGTGATTTCCTCAGACTCTGCCAAAAATCAAAATGCTGCAATTTCTGTCAAATTTATACGAAACGATCAGGTCGATGTGTTTGAATTTTCAGATGTGGTAGACGAGAGTATCACATACAGCAAGGAAATAATGGGTAAATTAACTAAATATATGTACATTTTTCCTTCTTTTGTTATCATTTTTCGCTTTGCCCTATCATAGAATCCACTTTACCCCGTCATGGGCCAAAGTAAAAAAAAATGTAGTGGTCTACTTAATATTAAGAAAAAATGTTTATGCTTATTTTTACTTTGGTTAAAAAAATTTTATTTGAAAGAGGATATTTTTTAAATGTTTGTGACATTTGCGTCTTCTCAGTATGTTTATTTGTGTTCCTTTATAATAAATTTTTGTTTCTTAAGTATGTCACTTTGCCCCACCTTCCCTATTTTGTATGGATGGGTAATATCACAAAATAACATACTTATACAAAAGTATGAAAACATATCTGTATTACCAATGTCACGTCTACAGAAAAAGCGCCTCGGTATATATGTAGGTAGTTTCCCCAGTTCTAATTCGGTTTTATGATGTGTAAAAGTTAACTAATGCCGGTGATGGGACATTCATAAATAAGGATTTAACCATTATACTGTACAATGGTAACGGCATGGTTAAATCCTTAGTTATGACTGTCCTATCACCAGCTGTATAATCTATTGTTCAGGAAGTTAACTTTTACACAATGGGGTACTATCATAAAACCGAATTAGAACTCGGGAAACTCTACCTTGTTGATCATTCGAAGCCTACCTGCCTCTGCAGCCTCGCGAGCTCGGCTTCCGCCATCATCTCCATGTCCAGCTCGTCACTGGTCATATTGCGGGTCTTGTCCATGCCCCTTATCAGTCAGCCACCACCGCCGCTGCACCTTATCAACCACCAGTGACGTCACCCGTTCAATAATTTTCCCGAAACCAAACGCACCTGTGCCTCCTCCTGCGCATGCCCCAGGTGCTCGCGGTGTCTTTGAAACAAAACACCGTCAGTTCGTTCTCCGCACGTTCGCCGACAGGTAGTACTTCTGTGTCGTGTCCGTTTTTTGTTTTCTTTTTAAGTTCGTTTGGTGTTTGTGTGCTGTGCTCGGAGGGATTATCGCCTACAACTTCCACATTTGCGGATTTTGCGACGTAAGTTTTGGCCTAACGGGACTTCGCTCTTTTTGAGAGTCGCTGCCTGCTGAATTTCATCATTTTCGCGTTATGCTCAGGTTGCTTGATTCTTTGATAAAGACCTGGAGACACGTTCTGTTTGTTTTGTTTATTACGTTAACGGTTCTCCGTAAAGAGAGGAAAACTTCGGAAATGGGTTTGTTTTTCTTGGGAATTACGCAAGCGATGGGAATAGATTTGGTGGCGAAGGGGTTAATTAGGGAGGGTTCGCTAAAGCGATTGGTAAACGGTTGCCATGGTTACGGACATTTAAACACGAAGTTGTCAAAAGTTGTGTCAATTAACGCATTCCGCAGCAGTGACTTGGGTCGTGGAAGCTTTTTTTGGCTTCCGGCGAAGCTCGTTGAACTTGTAATTAAAAGATTGCATGGTGATGGCATTCTTGGAATGGTTGACAATGCAATGACAGGTGTCAAGCGGCGGTGTTTATTGGCTGTCGGCATCAATGGAACAGTGAGATGTAGTGCGTCATGTATAGTGTACGATAAGGGTTTTGGTAATTTGAATACACAAAGAAAGGGCCATTGATAAAAGTAGTGTAGGTGTTTGCTTATATTTCCCAATAGGCACTGTACATACAGATATTTTAAATTAACATGAAAAATACACGAATGTTTCTTTTTAATCCGTACAGTCGTAGGTGGCTAAGATAAAATATTTTTCAGAGTTGCACCAGTTCAATTTTTAGCTGGGGCAAACCTTGAAAGATTTTTTAACTCTGACATTTGTTGGTTTGTTTTCAATATACTCTACCATAACATAGCATAGCGAATAACAATACTTAATTGATCAACTTTTGAAACATCCTGAGGGGAATCGATTATTACGAAATAAAACGGTGTCTTGTTTATTTCTTTAATTAGTTCTTTTCTTGTTCTTGTTTTGCAACAGTACCGAACAAAACGGTTATTTCATTTCGAATACTTGGCCCTAAGTACATACTTGTTTTTGTTTTCCCATTTTCCAATAATTTTTTTTATTTTGAATAATATTTTTTGCACTCATGATCTTTTTTGATGGCTTTCGTGCATTCACCAGGGTGCGGGAGTTCGAACTTCCCGCACACGTGCATTTTAACTTCCCGTTGCCATGGTAACCTTAAAATACTCGCGTAGTGTCAACATTGTGATGTGTTGACGGCGCCATTGTTTATAAATAACTCACAGTTAATTTCTTCAGTTTAAAGGTTTATTCGTTGCAAAAAATATTGTACACAACACGTTCGTGAGCCTGCTTCCCGCATTCAAGCGTTCATGCGGGAAGCAGGCTATCCCGAACTAGTTGTGTAAATTACTATTCCTTATAACCTACACCGAAAATACTTTTTTATAATTTTTTTCGTACTTATCGACGTTCCTCCATAATGTACTTTAAGGTTGTAATGTTAACGACATTCCGGACAGTCTGTGGATGATTCTTTTCCAATAAGGGCCTCAAGTGCATGACGAATTATTTCATTCAATCAACATTGATCTTAGTACATGACTCACTATGGCTAAGATCTTGTTCATGTCTGTTTATGGCCTGATTTATGTGTATCCAGTCCTTAGATTCTGTGACCATAGTAAATAACCAGCAAGGTTGACAATAATATTTATTAAGAGTTTTTGAATAACATAGCTATAATCGATTTGTTTTCACTCCCACCTTACTGATTTTGTTATTAATAAAACAGATGGAAACCTTCTATAGGTCATCCACAAATTTAATGGTTTTACGACTTTTGCTGCCACCCCTTGTGAGCGAACAATAGATGCAAATTTATGACACCATGCCTAAGTTCGGTAGCAGTTCTTTGTTGTATAGGGCTAGCACGCTTCTCTTCATTCATTTATTCTCCTTCTTTGTTTGTTTTTACAACGGTCAAGGTGATTTGTACCTTTATGTGCATTAGATTCATTCATAAACAACAAAATTTGTGTTTTTGGTCCGGCGTTAACTCGTTCGCCTAGTACTAGCCCCTATATTTTTTTAGAATATGACCGCTATTTATTTCTGCAAAAATGGTGATTATTTCTAAATTAAAATCTGTGTTTTCATCGAGACCAGAGCAATAGGTGCATGAATATGATTGCGAAAACGCTTCTTAAAATAGAATTAGAGTAATTACTTACACAAAAAAAAGCAGTGAATTAACCGAATTAAATTAATATTAGGTACTTTCTGATTGCGAGAATTTTGAACTATTTTTTTTTTTTTAATTTCGGCAGTGTTTGCTTATTTTCCTCAGTATCTTTACATTCTTTGTGCTTTTGTATACACGATTCCTGTTATGGAATAATTCACTTTTTATTTTCTGTACTTAACAAATAATTTGTGACACACCTCAAAAATTTGCTATTGTTCCAATAAACAGACACCGCAAACAGGACAAAAATGGATGTCTAAAAACAAATTTATTTATTTTTTTTTTACTTTTTATCTTGTCATTAAATAGACACAACTTTTTTTGCTGCATGAAAATTTGGCGTACATATACATACCAATAATTATTTTTTATCAAGGCCATAAAGAAGAACTTTTTCAGCCGAATTGAAATCTGAGGCTAAGGTATAGCCGACGCGACGTCTACAAATCAGATAAGGCTGAAAAAGTTGTCTCTTGCCGAGATACACACAACGTTTTTTTTTTGAGCGACCATACATAAAAATAATTAATTATGCAAGTGGTTTTGACGAACGAGATGCTCTTCTACTAAGAAAAAAGTTGGTACTGTCCTATTTCATAAGCTCATAACAATATCCAGGAAAGGTGGGGTTCAAATATCACAAATATTCTGTTTGCCAACGTCGCTTTTGACTTCTTTATTTAAAGAAATGTTAGAAAAAAACAAAAAGCCGAAGGCGCAGATGTAAGAAATTTTGACATTTCAGTCCGAAAAAGTGAGACTTTATGGACGTGATTGGGGAAGTAAAACGACTAAATTTGTAATGATCGCCTAAAAAACTTATTTTTCTAAATGTTTTTACATTTTTTGTCTTCAGTGCTATATATTTTAACTTAAATTTTGTATTTGTGTTTATATACACAGGTACATGTACTTGATTTTCAACATAATTTAAATCATTTGTACCTCAGCACTCAACAGGATCGAAAAAAAGCAAATTAAAAAGAAAAACAAAAATTACGATTTATTCTGTCTGTTTTATACTAGGTGGGATTTAAATTTTAATAAAATAGCATACTCCTGTACTAGTTGTTTAAGAATCCACCTTCAGATCTTCCCCGCATGAGGTTTTTTGTTTTTTACACAGTCACTGCTATTATCTATTATATTTTTTATTGAGGAAATCTCAAGAACAGAACACTCAGTGTTTTGTTATTAGTATTACACTGCACGTGTCGGAATTGATATACGTGTCCTTACTGAAATAATGTTGATCGGAACATGTTTAAATGGGGAAACTCAGTAAAAAAACTCATAACCTTGCCCTTCATCAATTCACTCATAGTTTTGGAGCAATTGTTAATCCGTTTGCTATCATGGGTTTACATGAGGGACATTTCAGAGCAAATACATATAAACAAGCGTGTTTTTGGAAACTAATGCGCTGGAGTGTACGTGATTAAGTATAATACATTAATGAATTCAGAAAAACAATCTTTTAGTTTCTTGTATAAATTACAAAATTTGATTTTTATTTTGTTCGAATTATTTTATTCTAATCTAATCTTATATTTTGATTTAAATCGGATTTAGAAAGGCCGTACATATGCATTTTCGTAATTTGAAAAGAACAGTAAAAAACAAGGATGATCTAAATCAGTGATTTTTTTAAATCATTTGATTTAAATCTGCTAGGTCTTATTATTTTCGTGAATGCAACGTAAATTTCAAAATGGTAGTACATATAATACGTCACACGTTAAGAAAGATCTTTACTAGGGAGGTTGCTCGAGATTATTGCTCAAAACTGACATTAATAAGATATAAAATTTTATTAGTATACAAATACATTCGTTCGCCAAAAATAGATATACAATTTTCTCCTTTAGTTATTATTGTTATCCGTTGTTAATATGGGTATTCAATAATCAAGAAGTAAGTAGCCTATTTTATCGTAGATCAGGCACTGAATGTCAAAATTTGATTGTCTGTAATACTGGAGATTTTATAGGACTATTTTACGAACACTAGCGGTATGTACACAAACCTCATTTGACATACACCTGTTAAAACTTTTATGACTTAAGCGGCTTAAGCCAAAGCACCCTTATAAGTCAAACTGGCTATTGAAAGCTTTGTGGATCCGAACCGCGAGATTATTACTTTCCATTGTTGGTATAATGTAGCTGTGAATTGAGTTAAGTCCTAATACAATAGCCAGTTTGACTTATAAGGGTGGTTTGGCTTAAGCCGCTTAAGTCATAAAAGTTTTAACAGGTGTATGTTAAATGAGGTTGCTTTACGTACTCGGTTCTTTGTACACAGCAATCACGGTAAAATTAAAATATTCTAAATTTCTAGAAACCTTGCCATGACTAAAACATATTATTTTTAGAACAAAGACCCACTCAACTGCATTACACATATCCATAAAAATTAAACACCGCTATGCATTTCATTGGCAGAATTTTTAAAACCTGGCACTTATAAAAAACGTTTATTGCAATTTTATGATTTATTACTTTACATTTGTTTTTTATGATGTATATGTATATATCAAGATGTGGAGTGTGT